ACAAAACTTTTTTTTAATAAAACTTCAAAATAAAAAACTAACTTTATTAATTTTAAATTTTAGTAGAAAGTGATCTTTTTGGTTCACCCTACTTTACACTAATTTCGTCGTATCAAAATTTATGGACATGATGACAATGAAATTTCACAAGTACTCGATCAAACCGTGATCGAAGTCCTTTTACATGTTGAAAAATGTTTGAGAACCCCTGTTCTATACAAAACTTTTTTTTAATAAAACTTCAAAATAAAAAACTAACTTTATTAATTTTAAATTTTAGTAGAAAGTGATCTTTTTGGTCCACCCTACTTTACACTAATTTCGTCGTATCAAAATTTATAGACACGATGACAATGAAATTTCACAAGAACAAGTATTCGATCAAACCGTGATCGAAGTCCTTTCAGATGTTGAAAAATGTTTGAGAACCCCTGTTCTATACAAAACTCTTCTGATGGTGGCATGTCTAATGAAATTGAATATTCGATGTGACGCGGTTAGATACACATATCAGAAGCTTTTAAAGTTCAGTGACACATCTCTTTCTCTCTTACAGGTGGTTTAGGCCCTTGAAATTATTTTTCTTATATCATCGCGAAGTGAGACAAAAATATTCTTTGTTGAAATTATGAATTTAATCGATGTGCGTTAATCGATCTGAAAAGGAAATCGACGAATTGTTACGCAACGTATGTTACATATTGTACATTTCAGTGTTATTGCAATCGAGATTGTAGCATTTTTCAGATTGTAGATTGTATATAGATGGTAGATTTCCGAATACATATCTTGCAAACTTATAATACAATTAAATAGCAATCAACGATCTCACACGCTTAATGTGTGTTCATCACGAACAATCCCGCTTCCGGTTTATGGCCAAACGAAACAGAATAAATGGAAAATTGCGTCATGTAATTTCTAAACACGTATCATTCGCAAGGAATAAAATGCACGAATCTTTTGCATCTCGATTTATATTTTCGTAACCTTCGAACGTGCTTCGACAAAAAGCGGAAGCTGCAAGCTGCGGACTTGTTTATAAAATTTGTTAATGAAATACACGTACCGTTCCCTAAGAATTCTAAATATTACCGTTTCGTATCAATCAACATGCGAAAGTTTACCGAACATTATTGCATTTATAAATTAAAACGTCCGTAAACATTCCGTCGTTACGAAAATTGTTTCAATACCCAAATTGTTAAATCTCTTGGCATCGAAGTATTTTCTTTCGTTTCATGTGAAAATGCATAAACGAAATAAAGGAGAACTATGATTAAAAAGAAAATTGCGCCAATGCTTTAAATAGTAATGTGTTGCGCATATGTACGAACGTGCAATGTATATGTATGTATATAAATACATATATTATACTTCCTTCGAAAGAGTCATCGTGTTCTACCATATGGTTCTCATACTAAAAGATCTGCCTTTTCCGCTTTAAAGAGTATTTCATGAAGTGTTGATAGGTTCGCTTAAACCACGAAAACCGAGGAAACATTGTAAATTTCAACGGACAGCAATGCATAGCACTAAGAAGTCCTATTCCTCTTTAAACTATTAGTTGAAAACAACGTTTTACAAATTGTTATCATTTACAGATAGCGTGACTACTTATTCATATAAAATAATTTTCTGCTTGCACAAGTAATATTTAAAATTGTTCAAAAATATAATATTCAATTTTTATCAACGTATTTTATTTTTAATAGTTTTTTAAAAATTAGGAGAAATAAAATAAAATACAGTAATATTGCTAAATATTGATTCAGAATAATTAACAAACTTACATTAGTTCATTAAACTTACTTTATAATTTAACTTATAATTTTATATCTACATAAACTTAATTTAACAAGTATTATATTCAAAAATAATATACATGTATGTATTTTATAATTTTTGTACAATTTTTAATTTATTAGTTTATAATTGGTTTTTATTTCATATAAAATTCTACACAAAGTTTTCAATTTTTCATTATATATATATATATATATATATATATATATATATATTTTTTTTTTATTTAATACATTATTGAGAACAGTACAGGGAAGAATAAGAGACAAAATTAATGTTAAAAAACTCTTTTATTACTAGATACATAAATTACAATTTGTTTTTATTTTGCTTAATATTTAATCCTCCTAGTTATATAGATGTCTATACGAATACGTATTAATGTAAATGTTTTTTAACTGAAAGGATTAAATATATATGTATCACGTTTTTTAACACATTACGTTAGATATATAGCCTAGATTTTGGATTCCTGAAGCTATCTATAATCCTTTCTTGAACAATTATTTTTCCTGGAATATAACCTGGTACCGATGGTCCTAAAGGTCCACATGGTTCTTCTACACTGGCTTCTTCAATTTTTTTATTACTTATTTCTTCATTGTACCTTATAGATTTGGCATTTATATTAGTTACATCTATAGGTGCATAACCCAAATCTCTGTAAATAGTTAATAACATAATAAATAAATATATTTTTTGCAAATGTTGAAAATTTCGTACGTCATTAAGCTTACTTGTAGGAAATAAGACTTTCCGATAATTGATCAGAAACTTCTTCTTTTGTTATACTTTCGTGCTCGATTGCCTCAAGCTCTGCAAGTCTAGCTTCTTCTTGTTCATCGTAAGAACCAATAACAATAGTTTTTTGAGGTGCTATTTTTAATTCTACAACAGGCTTATTGACGGTTACCAGTTTTTCTTCTGCAATATCAATCATTTGATTTTCAGTTTTTACATCGGTTGGTATTGTACGATGACCGAAGGATAATTTATCTTCTGGAACAAATTGTTTTCCTTGTCTGTAAATTACATTTGGAGCACGAAGATTTTTATACGCAAGAGTAAGAGAAACTGCATCTGCTGGCATTGCTGGGGCTGAATTGTGTTCTTGAGTTTCGCCTAAAAAGTATGCAAATTTGTTTTATATTTCCACACTGAACTAATTCTGATTTATAATTTGATAGTTATTAAACCTGTTGCATCATCAAAACAATCTGAAGAACTGCTACCCATACTTATTTTTGGATATTGTTTTTGTCTGTTTCTAGTATAAATTAAGGGTAAATTATATATTGCAGAATTTGATCCACCAAGTGTTTCAAAATTCATATTTCCATATGATGTTTTGGATGTACTAGATGTAGTATCAGAGGGATCTAATGGAATTGTTTTAATTTTCCCAGTAGCTGTATTTATACAAATTTCATATGGAACTGATGGAGGACAACACACAAATTTGCCAGGATAAGCTGGTGTAACTTTAGTTTTTTCTATTATTTTTCCATGATTAGGTGGAACCACTGGTGGAAGAGGATAACATAAATCACCAATTGGTGAAAACCTACAAATGAAGATTTAATAGAAAAATTTCTGCATGCTCTCTCTCTTTTTTTGCTTGCTATATCATTTATTAAAAAGATAAAAATATATTTATTTAAAAGAATTAGTATAATTATTTAAAAGAATAAATATACCTGGGTGCAACATTGCCATCGAAACTTATAGAATCCTCAATCTCCAAAGTTTCTATTTTTTCCTTCTTACAACTACAATCAGGCTTAGATTTACTAGGATTATTAGAGCAAGATTTAACTTTAATTTCAGATTCTGAAGAGATGCTATCAGTAGATACATCAGTATATACTGAAACGCTTTCACTTTCTACAGTTAAAGTGCTGCCTGTCTTTTGGTTGTTTTTACATCCACAACTATTTGAGTTTTTGCTGCCATTGTTAGAACTGGAGTTTTTTTCACTTTGTGAATTAGAACAATCTACTTGAATATTCTTTGCAATTACAACATCCTTGATTTCTTCTGGCGATACATAATATGTAGGTTTTGGTAGTTTTTGAGCTTTTACAACAACTTCGCTACAGCTACAAGGATTTGAACCTTTGAACAATAGAATTTAATGAGTAATTTAAAAAAAAAAATTAAATTGTATCAAAAATTATTTTATACCTGGTCCCAAGCCTCCGCACGTGCATCCCTCGCTTTGAACCTGAAGTACCAAGCATGCTACTATCAGGATGAAAAGAACGTTTAATACTGTAGACTTCATATTAATGATTCTCGTTCTGTTTCATCCTTAAGTCTGACGACTTTATATACACACAAAAAATCTGAATTCAATGCTAGCTTGCGTAATTTTGTAGCATATTTTATTTCCTGTTATCTTTAAAGATATCTTAAAACTTCCTGTATTTTTGCACAAGCAATTAATTCCTTTCGTGCATAGTATTCATACTTATTAAATTTTTGATAAATACAAATGAATATACGTTTGTATTATATTATGATATGTTTAACGGATGAAGAACGTTGGACGTGATAATTTTATGAATCGATACTTCCGCATTATTTTCATGTTATTGCTTGTAAATCGACGGAGGAAAACTTGCATGATTTTAATTTTATTTGAAATCAAAGATATATTATTTTTTTGTAAATATTTTATTATAAAATATGAATTTTATAATTTAGACAATGTAATGCTTATAAATTAACATTTGCTAATTAATCATATAATAATATATTTACATCTATATACAATACAAAATACATCATTTATCTCACTTATTAAAAAAATCAGCTGCTCTTTGCCTCTGAAGGGGTAAATTAAGTAAATTATCAGTAAGAACAGGACCTTGACACCGTGTATTATTGTTTTTCAATTCAAGATGATTCTCAGATTTTGAAGCTGTATTTATTCGTGGTGTGCTGGGTGTTCTGATGCCTATCAACGGTGTCCTTGAAGATGATATCCTTCGTGGAGTTGGTGTACTTGCAATTCTAAGTTTTTGAGTAGCCAATCTTCTAGCTGCTGGAGACATAGTACTCAAACGATCTATAGTTGATCTTGGTGATGGGCTATGAAAAAAAAAAAAAATGAAAGTCTTTATCTTTTAAAGATAAAGTCTAGATCTTTCAAACAATTATGTAAATAATACGAGAATATTTACGTTGCTAATGATTTTCTTGCTGCTTCTAAAGCCTTGTTTTTTCTATCTCTATGTCTTTCACCAGCTTTTTCTGCTAATTGCAACGCAAGCTGCTCTCTTTTCGGTGGTTCTGCCATTCTGAATGATGGTCCCTGACTTGTTCTTAACAAAGGTGTATCTCCTCCATCTAATCTAAATGGTGTACCTTCTATCTGACCCCATGTCATTAAAGGACTTTCACATTCACCTGGTCTTGGACTTGGTGTTGCTACAAAACTAAATCCATTTACTCTAGGTGTTGGATTTCTCACAATTTCTTTACCATCAACTCCAATTTTTCCGTCATTAGCTTTCGATTGACTTTTTGCTAGTTCGTTAATAGTTTCTTTATTTTGCTGCTCATTGAAAGGGTTGGTACGAAGTCTTGTATTCTCATGTATTATCATTTGCTTCTTCTTTGCTAGATCTATTCTTTCATCAGGAGTTAATTCAACTCCGTCAGGAACGTACATAATATAATTTTTATTTTTGTAATTCCAACTGTCTAATTGTTTAGGCTTTTCATTGCTATTATCAATGGCTAAGGTATCCGACAGTTTGTCATTGATTAACGCCTTTGAATTCTCTTCAGCTTCATAAAGCCACGCAAATTTCAACTTTAATTTTTTCTCTGCTTCAATCATCATTTCCTCAAAGCTTGCATTATCTTCGCTTGTATGTGTACTTAAATATACATCTAATCCTGTTGTAGGTTCAGTTTTGTCTTTGTCTTTCGCGCCTGTATTGAGAGGTATATCTTTTGGTACTTTTGTAGATTTGAATTGTTCATCCTCTGATTCAATTTTGTTCATAGGTGTTTCAAACGTGGCTGGACTAGCAGGTCTTTCGGTTGTTGGTCGTCCTGAACTATATTTCTCATAAAGCTCTCTCATTCTTTTCACGTCGTTTTGTTCCAATGCGTCTAAATACTGATTTTGTGCCTGAAGCTTGTCCAAATGAGGAAAAAAGTCTCTTTGAATAATTTCTCCCATTCTCTTTATATACGTATCTTCGTCTAAAATTTTCGGTTGTAATTTCTTATGTTTTTTCACTACGCCTAATGGTTTTTTAAATATTTCCAGATCTTTTATATTTTTAGCTACTTCTAGGGCTTGGGATCCTGGAGAATCCATTCTCAAACCTAAAAGAATGAACACTTGTAACACAGAACAAAAAAAAAGAAAATAACAAATATTAACAATAGGAAGTAGTTGATAAAAATATACGTGTAAGTTAAATAGGTTAAATGATTGACTTACGTTTCACAAAAGTGAGGTTATATGCTTGATTATATGCTTCTTAAATGCTTTTATTACTATATATCAATATTATATTTATTTATTTTACATTCATTTTTGAAATTAAAGCAAACACTCGATAACAATCCCAACTGTCTCATAAAACTATCCTTGCAACTCTAAATCTGTACACATAGAATTTTGAGAATGACCAAAAGTCACTCATTTGACAACAATTGCATCTAACCTACGAATGGTAATATATCGTTCAACTATGTTATGTGGCGCCATTATACGTCTACAATTAGAATTTACTAAACTGATTGATTTAATTAACTCGGACACAATATTGTTAATACGTACACTTTGTTACAACAATATTATCTTATCATTGCGCTTATATATATATATATATATATTTTGTTATCCAATTTTTTAAATACAAACATAGCTGAAACATTAAGAAAGAAAGAAACATGTTGGATTGGGTTTTCTTATTCGAATTGAAAACTTCAACGCACTACGCGTTTATTTCCGCAAAATGAGAAAGTAAGTCAGAAGAAACTAAGTCAGAAAATAAATTAAGAACTATTAGAATTTATGCTACGTCGACAATGCAACATATGCAGGTGAAGTGACAGGTAAAACTTTTTTCTTCAAAATTTCAAATAAAAACAACAAGCAATTGAAACAAGTCATTTCATATGTATTTCATACGAGTTTAACAGTAAACTTCGATGGTGCAGCATTTGCGCATTGAGAAATGTCGGCCTCGCGTTTACAAGCGGGAAATGAGGATCCAAACTCATCAACGTCGTCGCCCTCGTGCGTAAAACGTAATTGTGCAGAATAGACCCGAGTTCGACGGGGGGTGATCGACACGCCGCGCAAATACGGTCCTGGTTTTGGCTACTCTCAGTAAGTAGCCGAAGTGATATTTTGGTCGAGCTCTGGGACAGTGGGATGGGATATGATTGCCTTCTCGTATTGCTGCGGCTTGAGACATGGACTCTCGGGGAGAAAAGAGGAAGAGAGACCGAGCAAAATGATCCGAGAGGCAGTGAGGTGTTGGAAAGGCACGATGAAAGACATATGAGGATTCCAGCGGCGAGATAGGATATGCCTGCCGACTATGTTACAGCGAAAATCTTTTGAGGCCCGTCTCACGCGTATCGCTGCTGTGTTTCCCATCTTTCTTTTTCTTTTCGCAGAAACTGCGAAAGTATCGAAAACTCTCGGTGAAAATACTCGTTTATTTTTTTCGAGCAACGTCTAATTGATCGCGATTTTGTTGCGTTGCGTTATAAATAGAATACGCCTGTATGTGTACACATACACGGCCGACAAAATAACGCAAGCTCTAGCGTAAAATTCAAACGAGGACGATCGGAACTCTCGTAAGTTTGTGGAGCACGTGGTTCTGTCAACGTTACTTCGAACGTAAGAAAGACGTCCCTCTATTTACGACATAAGGTAAACTTCTTTTAGGTCTTGCTCAGTTCACGGTCAGTGTCTGTCTTCGGATACTTCGCTTGCTTGGACAGTTTTCATGGCGTTAACAGATATGTCCGTCTTTCTTCCTGTTCTTTCCTACCGTGCGTGTTTCTATATAAAATATATCCATTTTCATCGAGGATCCGAGGGAACCAAGAGTAGCAGCTCAAACGCGTATTAAGAAAAAGGCAAAGGAGGGAAAAACACAGGAACAACTTTGCAAATTTTGGCACGAAGTTGAAGTCCAATTTTAAATCATATTTGTTCCAAGTCACCTGTCGTCGTGCAATTAAGAAGGATGAGTCGACAAACGGTTGATTTTATTGTTGCGAGGTTAAGACTGGAACACAAGCTAACGAGTATGCTCGTTACTTTTTCAACGTCAATTACGCGTTATATCCAACGCTTTAATTTTAATAGATATCGTAACGTCTGTTCTTTTAGATTTAAAATTGTTGACTGAGACTACAGGTTACGCTAATTTGGAAAATATATAAGAATATATATAAGAATATATATCGTATTTGGAAGGAAAACTTTCCAAATTTTTATTAATCGAATCGTAGAGTATAGGAGAGAAAAACGCATGAAAACAAACACATACTACATACAGATTTATACCACAATTAAGAGAAAAGAAGGTGATACTAATAATAAAAAGACGTTGTGAACTTTAAATAATAATATCTCTCTACAAATATGTACGGTTAGAAGTATTGCTTTGATATAATATATCTAAAAAATTAGTCAAACATATAGATACATACAGATTTATACCATTAAGAGAAAAGAAGGTGATACTGATAATAAGACATTATGAACTTTAAATAATATCTCTCTACAAATATGTACGGTTAGAAGCATTGCTTTGATATATCTAAAAAATTAGTCAAACATATAGATACATACAGATTTATACCATTAAGAGAAAAAAAAGTGATACTGATAATAAGACGTTGTAAACTTTAAATAATATCTCTCTACAAACGTGTACAGTTAAAAGCATTGCTTTGATATGATATATCTGAAAAATTAGTCAAAAGAAAGGTACGAGGTACCATTAACCCACGTTTTCAAAGTTTTCAATACTCGAATAAAACGCACATGCAGCGAAGGGAGGGCGGTGACGACGAAAAGATTTAAGAAGTAGACAGAGACGAAGGTTGCAGACGTAAAGCGTAAACAGTCGAGGTGCGATTTGACGCGCGCTCGGACCATCCCAAGGCACATCTCCTCGCTCTCTCTCTGAACGTATGCTTTAAGAATCCCGAAGAAGCGAGGAGCAGCCCGATGGCTGGAATCTGTAAATCTGTCATTGCGGCCATATTCGTGTGGCTGGTACCGCAGGATATGAACTTCTGCTCGTCGTATATGCCGTCATCGTATACGAGACGCTAGATCTACACGCGCGTCTTCTCATCTTTTGAGAAAGCTCTTTGCATTGAAACGAAAGCCTCTCCCTATTTCTCGAAATAACAAATGCTTCCTTCTGTGTTCGCGAGACCTCTAAAGAAGGAGAGAGAGAGAGAATTTTGTACAGTTATTTCTTAATAAGTATATCAATTTCTACCATCATTTTGGTGTCGAAATACACCACAAAACAAAAAAAATATTTAACTACTGCCCGTTGTATTTACATTTTTCCAGGTAGTTTTCATCAATTCTGGCAGGTTGGAAGAGTGAGCACAGTTTTCTGAAAAAAGCTGTTCGGTTGTATCAAACTGCATGGAAACTATAAAAGCCTTGGCAGTCGTCACACGTACACGCAGTACTCCCTCTGGTAGCTAGCGATGACGGATTCATAGCCCGTGGAATAACGCAAGACCTCACCCCAAGATGTTTCGGTTTACGGATGCACGCTCCTCCTCGCTTTTTCTTCCTATTTCTCACCCATTTTTTTTCCCCTTCTATCTACCGAGCGATTCATTTGTCGGTCTTTGATCCGAGACCAACAAGCTACCAGCGGAAAATTAGTGAAATTTATCAAGCAATCGCTTTCCTTGGGCTGATGTCTGTCACCTTGTTCTCCTTTTATTTCCAGCGTTCCATCTCAGACGGAATATCATTTCAACGAATAGGATTTCCACTCGAAGAGGCCCGTATTTGGGTGGGCGAGGAGACAAGTGACATACAGCAGACATTTCGTCGGCTATTCTTTAAAGAAAGAACACCAAGATTCACTTAGACTGATTGAGTATTACAAAGTTATTTATATACAATTCTTTCTTTTCAATTCTGCTGTCTCTCTCGCTTTCCTAAGTTTACTTGATTTCTTTTTAAAAGATTTATTATTATTTAGATGAATTGTCGTTGTTGCAACGTTGGAGTCCTGCTCATCGAGAGAAAGCAGTTTCTTTCAAGTGTCTGTGAAGAATGGATCTCCGGCAACAGCTGGTTCCAGGGAAGAGAGTTGCCACCAGCAACGCAGTGTCACCTAAGCCCCTCCTGTAAGGGTTAGGGGTTAACTTCCACGGGGACTAGCTAGTACCTACGAGAAAGATGAAAGAATCAGCGAAGATAGGCCGACGGGCGGCTTTTTATTACCGGCGCCGTCACGCGTCACCGATAAGCGCGGTCTTTCTGTAGAGTGTGTAGTCTGTACTAGCACCAGTTGTCTCAAAACATGAGATCTCTTCTTTCTCCTCCTCGCTTCTGCCTTCGTTGTCCCTGTTCCTCCAGAGTTAAAAGAAACTGTCTATTTCTCGTATATCAAAAATTTCAGAATTTCATTTGTTCCTTTTTAGAACAAAGTATTATCCTGATTTAAAATTAATTTTGATATTTCGGTATTGCTTTGAGCTAGGTTACTCCTCTCATTTTTATTCTTTTTTGCGGAAACACATGAATGACTGCGAAACGTTCTCGTGAATGCACGAGGGAAGATGTTCACCGAGAGTCATTAAGGATACAGTATATAATATGTTTACACAACGAGGTTCCTCGCGTCACCATCAATCATAGCGCACGTCGGTCCACCCGTTTTTCTACATTTAGGAACTGTCAGACCCGAGACGCTCGAATGCTCGAGTTCTATGTTACTTCGCTTTGTTGGCATTTTAGTTTGTCATTTCTAACAGTCCCGACAGTCAAACCGTGTACAAGAAGTACACGCTACGTATGCACGCATATTACACGAACGTTTAGCAAGACAATTTTCGAAAATTTTGATCTCGACATTTCGGGGATAATTTGAAGAAAAGAAGTCACCAGAGATGACGAGGGGACCACAGGAGAGGGAATTCGCAGAAGGTTGTAAAAACTGACTTTCAAACTCAAGTGCTTGATTCCAGGTTTCTCGTTTACTTCATAAACTGTTCATTCTCCTCTTTCGGACACGTTGTGTAACACGAGAGGACAAGAACGAATTTCGAAACACAATAGTAACAGAATACTTGAAGAATAATTTATTAAGGCACTTAGTAGCCTTAAGCTACTCTCATGGGTTGTCACGGTGCGTTTACTTTCCCGTCTTGGCTCGAGAGCGTTTTAGGCTCGTTTGGCATTTCAGACACCCTGTATAAATAGATGCACTTTGCTCCTACAAAAGGCACTTTCTTTTTCGACCAGCCCGCCACGGACCTACGACACCAACTGATTTGCATCACGCGATTTGATCGTCGTGAGCACACCAGTGGAAAACTTTGCGATTCATTCTCTTACACATCTGCAAGATCCTTCAGTAAATCATTAACGTGAGCGTTCTGATGTATTTTAAAAAGTAAATTAAATATATCGTTGAACGTGTCAAGTGTTTTTTTTTTTTTTTTTTTTTTTTTTTTTAATAAATAAGGGGCAAGTTTTTATATAAAAACAATAACTTAACATTTACTTAAGGATCCTGCGCCGATCATATATCATTATTCTCAAGTCACAAAGATATATATACGTATAATTTATGTGACAATGCTATAACTATATATATATATATATATATATATACTATATACTTAAACAAAATTAATTGACATCATCTTTGGCATATATAACTTTGACAAAATGTTTCTTACATTATCAAGGCACGATCTTTGAACTTGTACTCTGTCCAACACTTACTTGTCCGATAGAAATATTTCCATCGAACAATTTTTAACAACAAGCATTTACCGTATAAAAAAAAAAAAAAGAAAGAAAAAAGATACTACTCTCGTCAGTAATCACAATCGTTCACAATTTTATCAAAATTGTTCATGAAAATTCCCGATGAAAGAGAAAGAGAGATAGAGGGAGAGAGATCCGAGTTACCGTGGCCCGTACAGCGACGGTCCAGTGTGAGGATGATGAGGATGCGCAGGATAGTGGACGGAGTTCATGTGGGCTGTTGGTTGCCCATGGTGTCCAGGATAAGTCCAAGGTCCTGCCGCGGTGCTACCATAAAACTGATGATGCTCCTGGCTGGATATGCCTGGGATTTGCACGGTGGGTATCGTGTTCACGTAGTTCGACGTCAGAACGCTGGTGCTCCCTGTTGCAGGTCTCTTGGCAGGATTCTGCATGCTCGAGACAGCGACGGAGTCGCACTCGTCCGACTCACAGTCACGGAAACCTTTCGCGAACGGATTGCTGGCGATCTTCAGCTGAGTGATACGATGATTCTGGTAAGCTGTGACCGCGGTGAACCGAGTTTCCGGAAAGGTGAAGGTTTTGAAGTTCTCCGTGCGGGGGTCCGGCGCGGAACCAGGCGGCGAGGGTGCCACCACAACGTGGCATCGTGGTTGATACCGGTGCATCGAGTTCAGGATTATCTGCAACAAAATAATCATCATTTACACGTATATATAGCATATAAATAGTATATATATATATATATATATATATATATATATATATATATATATAGTTGTAGTATTTTAATTATAGTATATAAATAGTATATATATATATATATATATATATATATAGTTTTTTTATAGTATTCTAATTTAGTATTAGTAAATATAGTATTTTAATATTAGTAAATATAGTATTTTAGTATTAGTAAATTTAATATTTTAGTAAACTTAGTATTAGTAAATATAGTATTTTAGTATTAGTAAATTTAGTATTAGTAAATATAGTATTTTAGTATTAGTAAATTTAGTATTAGTAAATATAGTATTTTAGTATTAATAAATTTAGTATTAGTAAATATAGTATTTTAGTATTAGTAAATATAGTATTTTAATATTAGTAAATATAGTATTTTAGTATTAGTAAATTTAATATTTTAGTAAATTTAGTATTAGTAAATATAGTATTTTAGTATTTTAGTAAATTTAGTATTAGTAAATATAGTATTTTAGTATTAGTAAATTTAGTGTTAGTAAATATAGTATTTTAGTATTAGTAAATATAGTATTTTAATTTAGTATATAAATAGTATATATATATAGTTTTTTTTATAGTATTTTAATGTAACATATAAATAGTATATATATAGTTTTTTTTATAGTATTTTAATTTATTATATAAATAGTATATATATATATATATATAGTCTTTTTATAATATTTTAATTTATTATATAAATAGCATATACGTAGCATATAAATAGATATAAATAGTATGTATATATAGTATATAAATTTAGAAAGAGTTAAATATAAATCTCTCTCAGGTAAGTTGATAGGTATCTCGAGTCTTTCTATTATCACTTTCTATAATCATTCTTATTGTTTATAATTTGTTTTATTTTTAATATTTTTATTAGTTCATGTTAGTGCTTATTGTTATGATCAAACAATTATTATTATTATTATTGACAGATCGTGGTTGTAAGGGATAAGAAGAAAAAGAAAAAGAAGAAGAAGAACAAAAAAACACATGTGAGGATCTTCCTTCTCTTAGAAAAAGGATCAGCGGCGGTCACAATGTTTGACAGCCACGAGAGACTCGGTGACTAATTAGTGTAAAAACTAACCCCCGATTTTCTCTGGCAATCCGACACCTTCGTCCTTCCTCTCGCACACACTGGCATATGCTGGCTCCGGGGCATGTGTTTCTTTGAATACACATGAAAAAGGAGTGGACGAAATGGGGAGAGAAGAGGAGTCATCCTCACGATATACAGAATGTGTGTACGTGTGTGGCCTAACGCCGGCGACCAAAGCGCGACTTCGGTTAGCAATTGTTCCAACAGTCGTCTTTACTCTTCTTTGTTCACTTTCGTTTTCAAATACTTCGCGAGCCAGTGATTTCCTACGACTCCAAGGATTTTCTATGATTTTAAAACTCTTTCGTTGCGTTTGAAGACACAAAGGCGCCAATTAAGAAACCGAGATCGTTAAGCGTTTCAACGCTGGATTCCAACTTTTTTATAAAAACCCCGACGGCGCAATTAAAGGAACAAACTGTTCCATAGCGCGTGCAAAGAAGAAGGGTCAACCCCCCAGAATTCTTTCTGCGCGAAACGCAATAAATTTCCCGAACGCGGAACACGAGCTGAAGAGTCTCTTCTTTCTGTTTTCAAAACACCCGGTGCCACGGTGTTCGTCAGGAAAAATCTCGTCCTATCCAGATGATTTTCCACTCGATTCTCGTCAGTCGCCGAGATGATTTACTTCTGTTCCTTTTCACAAGAATTATTAAAACAATACCGAGTTTCTCTCTCTCTCTCCCTCTCTCTCAAATTATTAGAACAAGCTGTCAGACGCGATTTACTTGCATTTCAGATAATCGACGATACGTTGAACGACGATGTGATTGTACACGTTTTGAAATAAATGGATGAGAGTTAAAAGCAACCAGATTGAAGTCAATTGCGAGAGGATGAGCTGTGACATTGTACGTGTGTTTGTGTGACGGATATTACGATAGTCTGAAGATTTTTGCACACCGTGTCCCTTCGCTGATCAACGACTGACGAATCAGCCGAAGGCAAATTCTGATTAATATCAGTATGTGCCAATACGCTTCAACACTCTGAGGGCACTTCTCATTTGCAATGGTGCCTGACACGTTGGATTTGGCACGGACACGTAGGCACGATTATTTTTGGCCCACTTGCAGGTGCATTAGGACATAATGAAAAGGAACGAGGAGGGTTGAGAGAAGAAAAGAATTCCTCGAGGTTCGACACTCGGTTACAAATTGGAATGTAATACGCTACTGTCGTACAAACCTGCCTTTTACTCTGTATGATTACACACTTATACCTCTCTTTTAACAATTAGTTAACCAGGCAGTGATTTATTAAAAATTTTGTACATATTTATCAACACCCATTATCCTTTGTACTTTGACATTTCATTAGAATCAGTTGTTATTAATAAGGAATAGTAAATATTTCAATTGCATCAAACTTCAATAATTTCACAAACTATATAGGATTGAGTAATGGGTCCATCATTCATTGTGATTGTTATACACACATCAATGTTATATAAATATGCAACTGAGTTAAAAGCTCCAGTTAAAATGTCTTATCTTAGCACTTAAGATATGATAAAATACAGAATTTCTTCAAGTTCTTTCATCACCAGTTGTTCTGGGATAATATCTTATAATAGAGAATATAAATATTTTATAATAGACAATATAATAGAGAAAACTTCAGTTCCTTTGGGGATACAGTAGACAGAATTATATTTTAACTTGTGAGAACAACAGTGCAGCTGTTCCTCACACATACAAAATGAAATTGGTATAATAATTTTCTGTTAAAAAGTTTTCTAATTTAACGAACTTTAAAGTGAAAGTCAAACACCAAGAAGATTTAGTTTTCTGAAAAATAACTTTCTACGTTACAGGAATGAAGAATTCTCTTACGCGAGTCGTAAACACATCCAAAGTTTTCCCAGGCTTCCACCACAGCTTAGTTTATATTATACATGTTTACGTTACTTTGTGTGCGGTATAGTTTACTATTGCCGCTCCTCGCGACGGTAGAACAATAGAATTAATAAGCCATAAACAAGAGGGTAACGTGAAATTCGACAAGAGGTAACAATATTTAGATTTCTCGATATTACCGATCACTAATGTTCAATAGTTCATGGCTACGTGTCAGTAAAACGTGTAGCATGAAATGATTTACTTTTCTGTAATTTTCCCTAATTTTGTAAGTTTGACATTAGAACTACCAAAATGACCATTTGAATATTTCTGTTAAATATGTAAAATTTATAAATATAAAACAGTATATTTTTGGAGACTTGAATAATCCTTCGTAAAATACATAAATAAAAGCTTGTGTACCCTGTTGTACTGTGAATATTTTCTGTTTCATTTATTTTAACGTCACTGATGGGAATTTTGTGCTTCGGTCGTCGGTAACTCTAGTGTTAAAATATTCGCGATATTTTGCAGAAATATTCCCCCGGAAGGGAGCTGCAAAGTTCAATGATTCGTTCCGTTAGCGATAAAGCTTCATCTGCCAGCAAGACATAAATCTGAACAACGTGTTAAAACAATTACCACTACTAATTACTCGTAAGACGATAATAGCTTCTAATGAAACCATGCTTCATTGTCGCGCTGTGTAGCCCCGATTTATTGTTTTGCGCCCGATGAAATTGCTCGGGAGAGACCGTTTCGTAGGCGTTTCATGCGCGTGTCATAAACAAAGCTGAGATTTTTCACGATTGTCGAGGGATTCGTTAATAAACAGGAAGATGAACGGTCGAAGGAGGAAGAGGAAGAACAAGCACACGGAACATCGGAGGAGGGGATTAATTGTCTCGTAAAACTTTTGCGTACGTCGGGGTAACGCCGTTGTAATTTCTCCGTGGAGGACAGGCTCGTATCTCAGGTCAATTAAGGCGAACTCGTCCGTAAACGACAAGCACATGGAACGCGATACATCTCTCATTCTACTTTATCGCATAGGTGTTTCTATTTTATGTCACCTTCGAGCCGTGTATCGTCGCGAGTAAAAGTTTCAGCAAAACTCGTCGAAAATAAAAAAGGACATGGGCGAGTGTGTATCACTTACGTGTCCGTTGTCGTCGAGCTGATTGTTTGTGAGTTTCAGCTTATCGAAAGAAACTGGCTGCTTCATCCAGTGAGCTCCGCTCGCGGGGCTGTCAGGGTGTACGTGAATCCTTGGGGGTGAGACTGGATCCGCGCGACCAGCAACCACCCAAGCGCTGCTGTGAAAAGCGTATCTGTATCGTTTGTCGTCGCAGGGCACGAAATCCATAACTAGCAGATAATCGGCAGTGGGGTCCAAACCGAAAAATCGACACTGCAAAATAATACGTTTCAGATCTCTTACACAGGACGATCTCTCTTCCATCCGTGCTCGTGTGTTAGGTGCAAGATCAACGTCGCCTGATACCTGAAACGTGGGGAACATCCTTCTTCCAGCTTTGGTGACGATCATCTCCGTTCCCAATTGATGGAATTCTTCCCAAAGAGGCTTCGCTTCCAACGCAGCCCCGGCACCGACGAGAGCCGGATGGAGAGGCCTCTTCGAGCTGGCATCTTCCGTCGAATTCGCGCCATTCTCGCTCGGATGATGATCGCTGTGATTGTGGCTGTTGTTGTTGCTGTCGTTGTTGCGCGATTGAACGGCAGCCGACGAAGAGATGGACGAGTTGGCGACGTGCGGAGTTAGGGACGACTTCGACAAGTTTGGGCTGCGTGATCGTTTCACCCGTCCCGCCGATTGCAAACATGCTGATGAGATGACACAACAGGTTACAGAATGTTAGGTGACGATGTTTCTGATTGAATAAAATAGGTAAAGGTACCTTCCATTTGTTGCATCGGGGATGGTACGTTCGTTATGGGTTGAGCGTGATGATGAGATTGGTGATGAGACGGCCATTGTTGATAACAACAATCGGTAGTAACGTCGTGTCGTTGATCATGTTGCCGTTGCATTTTTTTACCGATCCTCGAATTGCTTCCGACACACGATTCACTTACAATTACCCAGGAATCGTTTTTTTTTTTTTTTTTTTTTTCTTTTTAATTACATAATTCGTTTCGACAAATCGCACGATTAATCACGTTCACTCAGCGTTTCCATAACTGGCAACCAAAACTGTTACAACACGTACACTTCCGCAATTCCTTTTACTTTCGTTCAACAGCGAGTAAACAACAATATAAACGTAGAAAACAATTTGAACGACACGTGCAACGTGGGTATATATCGTTTGTCAATGTTGAGACCTGAGTGGGGAGAAAAAAGAAGAGATCGGTAAACCGAGATTCGTAGGATTCTTATCTTTCGTGATCGCTCATTACAACGTTCCGAAGTAATCAGCAAGGTTCGAGATCCTGAGCCGAATATCAGAGGTTGCCCGACATCGTCGACGAGCTCTCACACCTCTCGTCAACAGGACTTGTCCTCACCTCGAGATCCGGACGCTGACAAGGCTCAAAGGCGCCGTGGTGTGAACGCGGCATCGGATGAATCAGAAAGAACTCCCCCGAGTCGACTACACCTCGTGGCTTATCATCGAAACATCACTCTCCGATTTATGCCCTCTCTCTTTCCGCAGTGAAATCTCCTCCTCTCCTTTCTGCCGGTTCTTCCTCTCTCTGGAGGTGAAACCGATCGAGAAACACCGGGAGGAGGATCAGGAGGAAGGGAGAAGCGTCCACGAGGAGGGAGGGGTTTCTCAAAGATCCTCCTACACGGGCACTCACGCCAGGCCACGGCTCGCGTTCACGAGACGCTGACTACATCCTCTTCCTCCGCGTCTCGTGCCAAAAGGCGGGGTCTTCGAGGTCGGGACAAACACTCGGGGGTAGCTCGGTACATCTTCAGGGACGAGGCTCGTCTCTCGTGTACCTCGGCGCTAAGCCATCCCAGTTAATTGATCGAAATAAAGTGTTGATTCCTCTCATAAGGTGATACGTTTCCTCTCACACGGGTGATGCAGGTTCGTTCCCTCCGAGCATTATATTCTAAAGCTACTCTGTTACGTAATTATATATGTTATTGTGTTTTATGTGATTATTGATCGAATTGCTCGAGGATCTTTGTCATCTTCGATTCTCAAACTTGCAGATTTAGTAAGTTACTTTCGTCGTTTTCTTTCTTGAAAGAAATTGAGACGTATTTCGAAAGAGAACTTAAAAAATGATTTTATTTCTTAATGGGAATTTCTTCATTCTGTGATACATTGCGTTACACTGACAATGAGTGGAAGATTGTTGTAAATACTTACTTACAGACACACTTATTCACAAGTAGTATTTTCAATTCCTGTGATTACTCGGTAGTCGTGCATCGAGGTCTGATATAAATTCATAATATATGTATAAATATCATGTCACGATATGTACAAATAATGTATGAATATTTAAAATTGTCAGCATTATTAAATAATATCTGATCAGAATGTATTTATTTGCATGGGAATCTGAGTCCATATAAATATAAACTCCTAAAATATTTAATTAAAAAAAGAGTAGTCGAGTAACGCATTTGGAAAAATGGAAAGATTTTTTTTCAATTAAATATTACGAATTTATTATTGTGGACATTTTATTCGCAACAATATCATTAATAGTACCAGTAGTTTTTTTCAGGTATGTGTATAAAACGTCTCGTGAAAAAATTAAGGATCAAACAAGATGACTATAAAGTATGAAAAAAAAAAAATGTTATGGATATATCAAAGATTGTGCCTGAACGTATTAAACATAAATGAGTGGATGAGTGTGTTTTTTGTGAATTTTATTTAGAAGATAGAAATTAATGTACAATTACAAGGGAGGCGGACATGATGGGTGTTATTTGTTGCGCTAATTTTTTACAGAACAGTACCTCATGATTTCTTCTTATATACGTATTGTGACATCACTGAAAAATAGTTTTACATTCTACATGATACGTGAAAAAGATTACATTAAAGGAACACGAACAAGATCGATAATAAAATATGAATGTGTTTGCATGACATTAGTGAAATTATTCCCGACAAAAGGGACCGTTAATGTTTATATGATGAAATCCTTACAAATCGGGGTTTCTTCTTATATTTCTTGTTTTTTCTTGAATCGTATGTATACATATGCATAACTTTGCTACCTGCATTATACACATTTACAGCCTGTTTTCTTATTAATTCTATTATTACCATTCCCTTTCGGAAATTAGTAACCGCAATGCACGTCGTGAAGAATCCAATGAAACTTCACTATGATACGACACTTTATATCATAAATTTATTTCGGGATACAGGTATAAATAAGGAATATATATATGTATATATATAAGTCTTCTTTCTTTTCTTTTTCCTTCTGTTTTTTAAAAATATTCATTGAAATCGATTTTTTACTGAACAGCTAAAACATTCTGCTTTTTTTGCGATTTATAAAAATTTAATTACAAAAGCACATTCTACAAAAACGGTCTCTTTACGAAAGTCGTATCTGTATGTCACTTACAAATTTTGTGCAATTTACAGAAATGTAACAAAGCCAAATTTATATATCACATTTTGAAATGTTTGTCGTTAAAAACCACTATGTACTCGATATTATGTATATATTAATCTCATTAATAAGGTAGGTATGTATACCATCAAAGCGAAGAATGGCACAATAAAATTGCCTCTAACATTATATCAACTGTACCATGCCATGTTTTTTTTCTTTTTTTCTTTTTTTTTCTTTTTTTTCTTTTTTTTTTTTTAATCAGTGATATCGCAAATGGTCTCTAAAATGTTAAGCAACGAATTAAGAATGAATTGCCATGAAAATTTCTCGTAGTTCGCAACAATATATTATCCTAATAGAATTTCATAATTGCGATGAATTTCTAATCTAATCTCGAGTAACTGAACTTATTGTTAATTTTTTTTTTATAGACACCCATTTAATAGCATTTTTTCCCTCTTACTTTGAGTGCTTCTATTTTAATAACGAACGTTTCTTATTTTTTTTTGCTTAACAAACTATACCCCTTCAGAATTTTTTTTTACTTAAAATGTGATCGTTAATGTATGGGTGGAGTTCATGATAAATTCAAAAATAATATGATAATAGCGTTGATAATAATAATAGCGATATTAGGAGAAATAATAACAATAACATCTTTTCTCTTACAAGAACTTAATGTCTTAAAAGACTGTGGGTTTCAAGGAAGTTATTTTGAAATTCTAAACATTGCGTTCAAAAGAAAATATGAGAAACAAATCTAAGGACTTCACTTCTTCTTGCTTTTGTTATTTCCACCACCTCGAGGAGGCGTCACTGGTCTATTCGCATTCAGGCCACCATACGTTAATTTTTTTTTATCAGCTGGCTTTAGAATTTGGAAACTACACATTAGTGTTTCATCTACAGACATCATAGCTCCGGCATTATCAAATTCACCACAGTAGTTTGGTGCTGAGAACAGGGTAACTAATTGTCTCTTTGCAAAGAATTCATAGCCATCCTCTACCACCTAAAAATTTTACATATTTTTACTTAGTACTTTCAAAATTTATCGAATTGTAAAATTATTGATTAAATAAGACACATTTGCAATTTACTACCATGTCATGAAATTAGACAAAGACAATTCAGAACCGAATAATGTACTAAAATTAAAGGTTCTATCAGGCATATGACATACATACCTGATGAGCACGACATATGAGGTCAAAGTCATGCTTATGTAAAAATTTGGCAACTACTTCAGCTCCGAATGTAAATGATACTCCACGGTCATTTTCTCCCCAACCCATTGTATCTTTGTCTGGATCAGACCACAATAAATCACATAATAAGCCTTGATCAGGTACATCTGTTGGTCGCATGATACGTCTGATCTGTTCCATGTTTTGTAGATCTGGACTAAGGCCACCATGGCAACAAAATATTTTTTCATCCACTATTGCCGCAACAGGTAAGCAGTTGAAACAATCCGTAAACGTTTTCCATAGTTTAATGTTGTAACGTCGTTTGCCTGAACAACATCAGAAAGGAAAGGTGATACGAGAGCTTAAAATTTTAGGCTAGGTTAATAAGGTACAATTTGAATGAAGTTTCTTACATTCATCATAAAATCCATATATCCTATTAATGGATGCGCATTCATGGTTTCCACGAAGTAAAAAAAAGTTCTCTGGATATTTGATTTTATAGGCAAGAAGGAGACAAATCGTCTCTAATGATTGTTTTCCTCTATCAACGTAATCTCCTAGAAATAGATAGTTACTCTCTGGTGGAAATCCACCATATTCGAACAGTCGCAGTAAGTCATAATATTGCCCATGGATATCACCTTAAAAATTAAATTCATATTATATTTTGTACACACAAAGCTTTTCACAGTAACATATAATCAAAAATTAGAAAAAAAGAAAAAGATAAAATTACCACATATTTTAAGCGGTGCTTCAAGTTCTAGCAGAATAGGTTGTGATAAAAAAATTTCACGTGACTTCAAGCAAAGTCCCTTTATTTCTCCTTCTGTCAATTGTACATTTTTTCCTGGCCTAGCTCCTCGCACTATAAAATTGAAATACAGTCTTCATTTAAATACAATAAAAGATAATCTGAAAGCATAAGAATTAAATACCTAAAAAGTGTATAATAAGGGGATTTATTTTCTTACAACAGTAGTAACAATACTGAACATTTCAAAATCACTTTTATTTGTTAATATATATGTATTCAATGTCATTTCATAAATAATAGAAGCAAGTAAAAATAAAAATTACATTGCAAAAGCACGTAACAAGAGTACATTGGAGCAATTATTGAAACTTAAACCGATTAAAGCCTCGTCTAAGAACCTGCGATTTCTCTTATACACACTGTCAATTCTACTTTATGTAAACAAACAATTGTCCGTTCCTGTAGAATATTTAAGATCAGTTATATTTAAAGATAGTTGCGTAATCGATCAAAGGAAAACAGATAAGAAAAAGATAAAAGAATAAAAAGGAAGACAGCAAGACGCAATACCTTGAGACTCGAGTACCTTTGCTCGGGATTGCAAGGGAGCGAGTTACGCGTACGAGGGAAGTATAACGAAGGGTGACGCGGGCGACAGTTCGGATCTCATCACACCCCCCCGCTGGCAGGGCAAATGAGCAGAGCTTTACCTTCCAAAAGCCGAGCTATGATGTTGTCAATATTAAGTTTGTCTGATTCAGCCATCGGGCCGGGGTTTCGTGCGCGTCCCGGGCTTCACACTGAGCACCTTCCTTCGAGGATGACCTTTGATTCTCGTCGATTTCACTTGTGTCGCTCGCAGCACTCAATTGCATTCGCGGTTTCGGACAATATACCCGCAATGGCCGCCCGGACAACCGCGCACTCCACTCCCTTTTACCCCCTCCACGAGTTCGAGCTCCTTCTGTTCGATAGACCTCGATTGGTCGATCTATCGAATCATAAGACGATACGCGCACGGAACACGTTGACCCTGCAACGATTAGTAGCAATTTTGACGCTACCGACAACTAAAAAACAACTTGCAAATTATTTCGAGTTGCAAAATTATCTAGGAAATTAAGTAAGAAACTGCCATTTCGAGGTTAAGTATAAAAAGAACTAAAATTGGTGTGCTTCGTGTTCGCATAGTCTAGGGATATTTCGTGATGAAGAAATTGATAGTGAAATACCCTAGGACGATTTAAAGTTATTTCATTTCCTGAAATTTATTTATTTTAACAAATTGGCGGACTACGCATTTGTAAACAATTTTATTTCAGATTTCGAATCATTAAAAAATTTTTCGGAACAAAGCTTTTGTCAATCGAGGAGTAATCATCGTTTTACACGTCTCTACAAATTATCGTAGAATCTGTTATACATCACACGTTTAGGTATCAAACAAGTCGAAGTTAGCGGTGTTTGATACGCAATCGCACAATTTCTCTTGTAAAAGTTATAAAAGATGCCAGAAAACGTGGTAAATATAACGTTTATTTCTGCAATTTTTTTTCCACATTATCATCATTCGATGTAGCAGCGAGTAAATCGATTGCAATTTGTTTAAAATTTCTCAAATGACGCCGTAGGTTATATTGTCGCGTCCGTTTAGAAACAAAACACGATATTATGAATCTGTTTGATTTAAAAAATATCTCGTCTTGCAAAGTTGATGTAACAAATTTTTTGAGTATACACTTTTGAAATTTCTTGTTCATATATATATTTGTAAATGATTTTATGTTGATTTGTAGCTAAATGGAGATCATGTGGACGTGAAGAGTGCTAACTGTGAAACTCAGGATAACGATGAAGACACTAACGAAGTAGACGTACATTTTGAACCAATAATTTCTTTGCCATTGATAGAGGTATCCAATAATGAAGAAGACGAAGTTGAAATGATTAAAATGTAAATTTAGCCTATCAAAGTTATTTATGCGCGTAATTTTTTTTTTTATCTGATGTTAATGATATATTATGTTTTATTTGCAGGAGAGCAAAATTATATCGTTACGATTCTTCTAGTAATCCTGCGGAATGGAAAGAACGTGGCACTGGAGAAGTTAAATTATTAAGACATAAAACAAAAAATACAGTAAGAGTTGTAATGCGTAGAGATAAAACGCTTAAAATCTGTGCTAATCATTTTGTAACTCCTTGGATGGAATTGAAACCCAACTGTGGCAGTGATAGGGCATGGGTATGGAGCGTACTTGCCGATTATGCAGATGAGCAGCTTAAGCCGGAGCTACTTGCCATACGATTTGCAAATGTAGAAAGTAAACAGACATATTATCAATGAATAAAAATATATTTATGTATATGGAAAAAATTTAAATTATTAGTCATTAATATAACTGTTATTAATATTCTGTGCTGTAGATGCAACTGTTTGGAAAGAAGCGTTTGAAAAGGCAAAGAAGATAGTGGGCTCTGAATGTGAAATATATGCTGGTAAAAATAACTGCGAAGAAAAACATGTTGAGAGTGATAGTGAACCTTCTAGTGATGTAAGTTATAGTGAAAGTACTGATAATGAAGAACAAGCTAATAAATTGACAGAAGGAGATTTAAAAATTGGAAGTAATAGAATTGAGGAAGTGGAAGCTTCTGAGAAGCAAATAAAAGATGAAGAAAGTATGGAGAAGGTATCTAAAGAACTGGAACAATTGCAAGTAAAGGATATGGAGGAGAAGTAAAAATCTATATCTTCATCAATTAGAAATGTTAATGATAAATGCACATTCCATAACATAAACATAAACATACATGTATGCATATGCTTAAATATTTGATCATTGAATTTAATGTAGAAAAAATATTTTAACAACAACGTGTTAATAGACAGGTTAAACAAAGTTTCAATTTATAAATAGTACAATATTTATATGGTTGTTATGCGTTATCTGTGATTTTTTAATGAAAAATATTTTAGCATTTATACCACGATGAAAAAAATTAAACACGTTAAATTCAAAAGAAATGAGAAGTTTAGAAATAGGACAGCTGCTTAATATTTTAAATATGTGAGAATTTATTCAATTGCATTTTTATTAAATTTTTAAAGCTACTTCTATACTATATGTTTTTATGTATACCATATGTTAGCATGAAATAATATTAAAATTTTAGTGTTTATAAAAACATGTTTAAAAAAAAAATTGGAAATTGATTTTTTATGTTTTATTTGGTTTGAACACTTTTTTTTTTGTCTTTGTAACTTTTTTCACATTTATATAAATCATAATCTGAAATTTTGGAATGTATGAAATGGAGATTTACATTTACATTTGTATTGTTTTAAATCATAAAAACAAAATGCAAAGTACTGGACTTCAACCAGTTGGATATTGAATTTTAATACTATTTTTTTACAAAAGTATATGTAAAAAAATTTATAATACTGCGTGACGCTAATTTCTTCATAATTCGTCTCTGTACAAGAAAGAATGTAGAATATTACGTTTTTCTTCCATTGTGCGTTTCTTTTCATTCGATAACTTCCCTTTTAGTATGCCTTCTATTCTAGTTTGTTCCGTTTGAACAAAGACGTCTCCTCTTTCTAATATTCTTTCCATTGTTTTAACATAAACCTTCGCGGCCGCACGTTGCGTTTCAGGTAGTGTTTCCTCAAATACTTTGGCTTTGTTTAATATTTCCTGCGAAATAAAGCATAATTATAACTGCATACTTTTAATAATAATTTGACAAATTACGTTTTTGTATTAAAAAAAAAAAAAAAATACCCTTCTTTCCGTTTCTCCGCTGGTCCTGAATTCCTCGGCAAGCCTGTCTAACTGTTCCACGCAGCCAGGAAGACCAAGATACACTCCGGACTTCATTTTAATAAACCGCTTAATATTGTCCGCGGTAAAATCCGTTTCTTTCTCTGCAACGAATGGAATTGGTTCTGTTTTTCCTTGAAGAAATAGAAGAACGGCGGGGAATGTTTCGGACTTTATTTTATAACGGGCGGCGAGATCAGAATTATCTTTATTCCCATAATCTTTCACTCTCACTTCGGCAACCAATAGATCGTGAGAGTCTTTCGTTGCCGCGGCTATCTGTGCGTACTGTTCATGTTTCTCCCCATACGGAAATGCCACGTCAAATTTAACAACTGCTGTTTTGAATTTTGGTATCACCTATATCACGAACATTTTACATACTTGTTATATACGAGCAAGGAACATTTTTCACAAATATTTTACAAGGGCATGCCTAAATCAATAACGGATTCGTAAAAAAAATTGGATGGTCTTTGTTTAATCCTTAATGTTTTTCTATGAGATATTAACAGACAATATATACTGAAATATAATTGATTCGTTTTATATTTCTGTCTTATGAATTTCTACGTTTACATTACAAACATGCCTCTAACATGGGAATGAGTTGTCTAATCAACAAAGTAAAGAAAAACAAACGAACAAATAAATTACTTTTGTTTATTTTTAAATAACTACTTTGTCAATCTTACATTACAAGAATCGGATAAATAAAGTTCACATCTGTGATCTCTTCTGAAAAAAAAGGAAAAAAATATATATTTGAGAAAATTAATACCTTATCAAAGGAATAAGAATCCAAAGAGACACATCCTTTACAATCTTCAGCAACCGCAATACCAACAGCAAGAAGTATTACAATTGGCGAGAGCATATTTTGCAATTGATAGAAACCTATAAGCGGACTTTTTAAGTGTCTGTTTTTCACTTGAGAACCGGCAATTCGACGATCAGAGTTCTTTGACTATTTATGCGATATGTGTTAACCAGTTATTCGATCGTTGTACGTTCAATTGCCAGCGAAATAAAGCATGTAACTGTAGAAAGGAGTGGAGTGCTTCTTGCGTTTTAAAAAAAAGGTAGATTCGTTATACAGAGCGTTCTGTTTCTGGTCAATGTTTGAAACTAACCTCAAACGTCAGGGCACGAATACGACTTGATAAAATAGAGATAAAGCAGATACGGCGTCGACGAATCAGAAAGGGACACGAAGACCGCGCGTTACAGGAGTCAATCGCAAGTGCAACTTGCAATAATCTATATTTGTAAAATATTAAGAATGTAAAATTTTCCCTTCTTAATTATGTAGTATTTTCTAATTCAATTCTATATTTTAGAGAAACGATATTAATGATATACAGATAAATGATACTCGTTTCGATACTATGTTTTAACAATATTTATAACAAAATATTAATCTGTTCTAAAGAGAAGTTGTAAAGAGAACTAGAATCGGATTAAATTTCTGATGTTAACTAAAATATCATAGTTATTGTCGTTGAGGATGCAAATACGAATATTTTTTCATATTAAGTGCAATGTTATCGAAAAGTGCATTGTTACCTCACAAGTTGCATACATAAAAATAAAGAACGAAGTGAAGCAGAGACAGCATAAATTTGAATGCAAAGAAAGGTACAAATGTTGCAAAAGAAATCGACAAAATTAATGAAACAAGGAAACAATCAATGAAAAGTTAATTGGTATAGATAATTATATACGTCCGTAATGAAATGTGTAATTATAATAATTATTCGTTGAAATAAAAAAAATTAAGCGATATTTCAATGAAAACAATTGATAACTAAAATATTTAATACTTAATCGTTTTACCATAATACATGTAACTAGATTCAATTATACATAATGATTTTCAGAATCTTATTTGTCAGTGTAACTTGAACAGAATCAGACTAGAAAACGATTGACGATTCCAGTTCTATTGGAGATCCAGTAAAGAATCAGAACTTTTGCAAAATGAATTGGTGACATACGCGATAATATTAACGTCGAGATACTATGCATATGTACGTGGCAAATGTATGTAGGTACGTAGCAACGCAATGTTATTTTCTGTGTCAAATTTTTTAAAACAACGATATGTAAAAACATGTACACACCGAAATAACAAATTACAATTTATTATTTGCAAAATAATAATCAATGCAATTCCATTGTCGATTCAGAATAATTGTACAAGCTCTCGCTAAAGATCAAAGAGCTCGAACAATGCGTATAGATTTTGTGTCAGATGGAAACTCGACCTCCGTCCAGTTGAAATAAAATTGCGGTACGCGATCGATTTGAGGGACAAATTGCTCAATGAGAAAAAATGTGTTACCGTGTTCATTTGCCACGGAAGAGTGGACGTATGAACAAAATCAAGACGCGACGTGGTTCGACGAGATCTGTAAGGAGAAGTAAAAAGAGTCGGCATTTGGTTGGCTACAAAAGCGTGGCTGAACGAAGGACAGTACGTATGGGGTGCAGAAGGAAGAGCGGGTAAGGGAGGGTGTTAGTCACTAGAAAACAGGTATCCGCCGTAGGCGTCGTACGTTCATTGATAAGCGTATAACGCCCCGTACCTTAGAATCATGACGTCACTCAATCGCACGGACGCCTGCGCTTTTGTCAGGGCCGTGCCTATCACGCGGTTCTTGCCCCTACGTTTCCTTTTCTTTTTTTTTTTTCTCTCTATTGGACACTAACTACATAAATCGAGTTGTGACTTTTTGACGTAGCAAGATACAGCACTTCGATACTTAAACGTAAATGCGGATGTAACTTCGCGACTTTGCCTCTAGCGATTTATTATATAATTTTACACATGCGTTCACTACAGGTTGCGAATAGGCATGGAATAATGTTCTATAAAATGTATAATGTAAATTTAATAAGGCTAACGCGATTACGGTGTAACTTGTACAAATACAATGGCTTTCGAAAAGAATTCTTTCGCATCGAATTTTACATATTGGAAGGCAAGAATTTCGGTAATTAACGGTTTGTAAAATTGTCACGAATCTTTCTTTTTTTTGTATTAGGAGCAGTCTGGTTTCTTTTCTTCTTTCCTTTAGTTCTGGATGATGTTTGTGTCACCGAAAAATGTAAAATGAAATGAGAGGCAGATATATATATAGACACACGAAATAGCAAACGAAGAGAGAAAATAGATTCAAGAAAGATGGAGCATGGACGGATATATGCAGAGTAGGTAAATGGATGGAAAGAGAGAGAGAAAGTGGTGGACGGGAAAGTAAAAGGGGAAGAAGCAGCAAGGGAAAGGAAGGGGGTACGTAAAGTAGAGAAGAAAGAGGAAGAAAGACAGTTGAAGGAGTAAAGGGAGAGGGAAAAATCGCTGGATTGTCTCGCGCGTATTGATTGGTCTTTTGTGAAAGCTACACCCTCATGTAGCTACGAGACAAACCGTTTTCTAAAGTCACTAGACTTCCAGGGTGTATCAGCGTGTTCTTAAGGCTAGTTGTTTCGGTACGCCATGTTTGATTCCTTTTTTCCCCTCTCTTTTTTTTTCTCTCTTCTTTCCAATCGAGATCACAATTTTTCTAAATTGCACTTTTGCTTGACGCGTTTGCCTCGAATACTGTCGAATATTTCTTCGTTACTGAATATTTCACGTTTCGTGAAAAATGTACTTTTTTGATAGATTTGGGAAGATGACGAAAGATGATGAAAGAAACAGTAGATTAGGGCGCTATAGGGTAGAAATGACGTAAGCGATCGCTCGTGATCCCTAACGGCAAAGGGGTTCTATATCGGTATCGATCGTAAAGTGACCCATATCTGGCGGTGACGGGAGTTCCTACCCCTGGCTGCTTTTCCAGCGACAGCCTCCCCTCGCGCTGCCTCCTCCTCCTCCCTCTCTCTTTCTCTCTTTTTCCCGGTCCTCTATCCCCTCTAAGTAACTATACTCCCGCCAGAGCTGTGTCTACCCCCACTCGTTGCCCCTTTCTCCGGTGGACGAGCGAATACACACACCTCCTCCTCCGATTTCCAGCAACCCTGCCGTCTGCCTGCCTTCCACGGTCGAGCAGATCTTGGGGGCTTTGGTACGGGATGATAGCCGAGTGAAAAAGCTCGTGAGTCCCGTGAAGTTCGCTCGTCAGCAGCAGCAGCAGCCCTGGCCTGCCACAATCCCTTCGACTCGGTTATCGTAAGTGTCGTGCATCTCCGTGCAAAGAAAAACCGACAGATCGTGAATCGAAAACTAGTACGGTAGATTGTGTAAGATTCGATGATAGAAAAGGGAGGAAAAAAAAAGGAAAAGAAGGAAGAGAAGTTCGTTAGCTTTGATTGAAAAATGAGAGAGAGAGAGAGAGANGAGAGAGAGAGAGAGAGAGAGAGAGAGAGAGAGAGAGAGAGAGAGAGAGAGAGAGAATGAGAATGAGAATGAGAGAGCGAAAGCGAGAGAGAAAGAAATAGGAATAGGTGCGTATACATTTCTGATTGAAAGAAACGAAGAGAAGAATTTGTTACGGCGGGTATATATGTATATACACAAGTGTTCCGAGTGCAACTACGAAAGTGTCAAAGCGGAAGGTTTCCTCGAGAGGTTCCCTTGTAAATGTGACTGAAAGTTGTTTTTTTTTCCTTCAAACGTCTTCTTTTCACGGTACCGTTGCAACGTTGCAAGAAAATAAATGAGTCGCGTAACGAGAGACAAAGGAAACGATTGAAAATACGACCTAGTGAGGGGAAATAACGTAGGGTATAGTGTCAGTGAGAGAAATGGAAACGGCGCGGCGATGGTGGGCATGGATTGTCATTCGTACGTATCGCAACGAGAAAGATATCGAAGGGGGGTTCTCTGCTAGTTGTGCCGACGTTGCTGCTACTCGTGGTGATGGCAATAGGCTGTTCATAGTGATAGTGGATATATTACGTATCGTCGTGCGGTAGTGTCCCGTGCGCACCGAGTGTATATGTATACTACGTACCATTGGTAGTGAGATCAATAAGCAGTGCCGTGCCACTCGACCTGTGCTGATAGACGGAAACTCATTCTAAAATCTTTCCCTCTGTTCTTTTCTTGATTTAACGCCTAACCGTAGTCTCTCCCCTTTCATATCGATAGAACGTCGCCGAATCGCTTTCGTTTGTTTTCTCTTTGAATTTTTTATCGTGTCCCGAGAGGCTCGGAACAAGTGTCTTTCCTCTTTGAAAGAACACACCGTTGGTCCGCTTTTTTTTTTTTGACGTACTGCTATATATATATATATGCACGTACACCGGTGTCCATCCTCTCTTTTCATTCCACTTCTTTGTGACTTGGCACATCTGAATTGCTTTCTCTCTGATCGAAGGTAGATTTCATACTTTGATAAATTTTTCTTAGTCTTTTCGTCGTCGACTTCTTTAGCCTTTGTCGTTTCTATCGAGCTTGCGTATCGTGAGCATGTTGAAACGTATTTCTTTCTTGGACCACCGGATTCCATTTCACCGAGGATGAAATGTTGTTTGTTTTGTTCACAGTAATTAGAGACTATTTTTACATTCCGTTTGGTTTCTACGTTTCTCAGTTTTCAATCTGTTTGATGATAATTGTTATGATACACGGGGCAAATCTGTAAAGATAACTATGTACCATATGCTGTTACGCGAGTGATTAGGAGATTGCAAAGTGAAATAGCAGACGTTATACTACTTGCTGCTTGTATCATACTATCTTACTACTTGCGATGAAATTAAGCTACATGTTGTCGTCATATTGAGATCAAACAAATTATAGTAGAACTTAGTTAGTGAAACTTAGCTTTTAATGTCGAGGATAAACTGTCATAAATTAATATAAAATTATCGTTTACTCGAGGGATAGAATCATTTCGCTTAGACACTTCTCTTTTGTTTCTTGTTGCACGATGAAACACGGTATACGGACAGCTTTGTTGGAATTGATTGAACAGATAACGTGAATCGTACGGGATCTGATTAAGACTGAACATATTGCGAGGTGTATAAACGACACGGAAATAAATCATAGCGATCAGGAGTACTTTCCTTTTCCGTTACAATTCTATCGATACGTGTCTCTAATTCTTCTTCAATTGCATGGCACAAAATAATACTTTACAAAATTACTTTTCGTGAGTCTGAACGATCGTAAGGCTGATACATTTACATTTTACTCTTTCTTCATTTCTGCGAGCTATTACTCGAAATTATTCGTCGCAACGTTTGTGGTTTTCCTTTTAATACTTCGTTATGTCAGCAAAATTTTAAGCCCCATCCAGCATATTTCTCGACGTAATGATGTAAGAAAGAAACCTGCTTTATACTTGAACGTGTTAATTTCGATAAATCGTCGATTGTCTGGTATTTCGGTAGTCTCCAAATATAAAAATCAATTCAATTGAAACGAGAGACGAACGTTCGAGGGTCGAGAAATTTTTTTAACAGAACGTGTTACAATTACACAGGCCATTTTTTTCCTCCCTCCGCGAGTGATCTCGGTAACTCGTCGACAGTGTTTTTTTTCTTTCTTTTTTTTTTTTTGACAACTCTTTGAAAAATTTCTGCACGTACGACATACGATAAGCTTCCACGCGAGTATAATAACCAACGCGTCGATAAATCCCCGGTATAAATATCGCTCGCGTTATCACGCTCGACCTCGTGCATAGGTAAACGAAACAACGGGGCAACTTTTGATCGTGTCCCGGGACGTACGTATTTCGATCGGGACATCCCGAAGAACCTGTTGCCAGTAATACCCCTCGTTGATTAAATTTCTCCCCATTTAGAGGCGCACACAGTGGCTATCGATAATTTGCAATTGAGCTCGCTCGCGCAGCTGCAGTTTACGCAGCGTTGATCTCGGCACTTTTTTAAAACGAATGGGGATAGAGGGGAGCGCGTTAATCAGTGCGTTCTTCACGCGCACCTTCCACGTGTGTTTGTTACAACACCGTTTCGAAATTGTTGCGACGTTACCGTGATACGCGGCAGAGTGCGGCATGCTGACTGTGGTTTCCCGTTTAATCCTCTATATATCAGCTCCGTGACAGACAACGAAACTAAGCACGCTCAAACAGAAAAAAAGAGAAATATACACCACCAGCGATATATACGACCAGAAAGTAGAAAGAAAAGATTAGACAGATGGTGTTGTTGCTATATACAGAGGGTTGAATGCGAAAAGTGTCTTTTTTCACGAGGGTGAGGTAACCGACGTCGATTTTCAGTCGATTTTACACACGGGGGTCTGGGGTTACACGATGAAAAAAGAATTCCTTTTCGCATCCAGAGAATTGTACGCCTAATCGTGGGAGATCGTCGTGTGCAGCCTGGCAGGCCCCGCAAAAGCCGCCAATTAATTAAGATAGCTCCTAGATACACGGTAGATCGATAGGGACTGGCCGTGATAAAGACGGGCGAGGGTTTCAGACTTCAGGGATGTTGCAGTGCTGTGGTGTTGGAGGTGGCGCTTCCACGGCACCTCAGGCTCCGCAGCTGCAGGATACCGGATCTGCTGTCGGGATTACCACCTCCACGAAAACCACCATCATGCAGGACGCAGTTCTTGAATCTATTCTCGAGGTGAGCTCTCCTCTCGACTCCTTTTTTTTTTTCTTTTCAATTTTCAAACTTCTCCCCTCCCCCCCTCTCTCTCTCTTTCTCTTTCTCTCTCTCAAGCTGTCCTTGGAACACAATTTTTCTAGAATCTCCTCTGTATCATTAATTCAAATGACATTTTCAAATGAAATTTATTAACTCGTAGGCGTTTCCATTTCCAACAGCCAGATATTACGTATAACGATAATGTGCACGTAATAATCATGTGTGTCAACGAGGTGTTCGCCAGCCGATAAATATTGATGCCCTAAGCGAAATTCTGGACGCGTGGATAGAGATTCGTTTTTAATTGAAAGGACAAGCCTTCTCGCGACAGTGGTTCTTTCCCTGGTTTTTTTCTTTTTTTTTTTTTTTTTTTTTTCCAATATCAGAGACTGCGAGAGCGAATAAACAAATTTGTGTCGAGTAAGTTCGATTCGTATCTGGCTCCGAGGCACGCGGAATACAAAGGCTCGTTTCGTTATTAATATCGCGCGATGGATATGCTCCTAACCAAGCGTCATCCCTCCAGGTCATTAAAGGTGATTAGCTGCCTTCAGTCAACAAAGATTCAACGTGATCTCTTTTGGTTTTTTATATATATATATCAGTATTTTCTCTAATTTTATTCTGTTTACATATTGAAATGTCAATGAAAGTCATTATTACTCTCAATATCGTACCGACGTCTGACATTTTCCAGCAAATGCGTGAAACGGAGGCTCGAAAAGCGGAACTGGAGCGCCAACATGCAGAAGCACAGAATCAGTTGCGCGAGAAGATAGCAGGACGGTATCAAGGCCCGGAATCGGTCGAGGCACTGCAGTCAAAGATAAGGGAGCTCGAGAAAAAGACGGAGCTGCAAATGGTCAGGCACGAGGAATTGTCCTTGGAGTTGACAAGCCTGAGACGCGCACGAAGCAGAGGCCCGATGGTGGGCCATTCCGTGGTTCCGACTACTTGGCCTCCAACTGGTTCTGAAATCGACAGAATAATAGCAAAAATAGAACAAGATAATAGGTGTGTGCCTCTCGTACCTTCCTGTTTCGAAACACTGCTTTGTAACCACTTGCGCTGGCAACTGATTGCGGACCATAACGAGTGACCGAACCGCGTACACAATAACTCGTCTTCTTTTTGAATTCATCAAGCACATTACTGGATAGAAATTACCAAGAAGTAATAAATTTATTATTTGCTTTGCCTCGGTTACGTTTAAATGTACTTAAAACCGAGATTTGGGACAAAAAAAAAATTCTCGACGTGCGTGACACGTTATTCCAGCGCAAGAGGTTAACCCCACTTGCGCTGGTAACTGATTGCGGACCATAACGAGTGACCGAACCGTGTACAACAATTCGTTTTCTTTTGAATCTCGTTGGCACGATATTAGATTAGAAATTATTAAGAAGTAAATAAACTTATCATTTGCTTTGCCTGGGTTACATTTAAATGTACTTAGAATTGAGAAAATGTTGCAATTTGGGACAAAAACTTTTCGTGGCTTACGTCGTTCCAGCGCAAGAGGTTAATATTTCACTTGCAAACGATCGATACACTTTTTCGTAACGGCGCTCAGTTTTATATATATATATATACATATATGTATATAGTATCGATTAATCTTATCTAATTTTTATCAACGTATAGCGCTAGTAGAATGGTACATGATTTGGATCATACTCGAGGAACCATTACCACGCAACAACCCTCAGTTACACAGGGTATTTTGCGATCTAGCTCGGAGAATCTTCCTAATCTCGGCCAGCATCAACATCCGCCTCATCCGCACGCTCTCAGCTTAGGAATGCCAACGCAGATGAGCCACGTATGTAGATCATTGCATCTTTGTATATTTTATTGTAAAGCTCCTTTTGATTCACTTCGGTACCATTCCACTTGCAAAAATGGAAACGCATCGATCGAGAATTTGAAACAGTACGCAGGTTCGCCGATGCCCTTGACACCGATGATGCCCGGCTGTCCACCGTTGACGCCAAACGGACCACCATATCACTACAGCGAACCGATCCCACCGGCACCGTCGCTCTCCACCAGTCAATCTCAGCCAGTTTTCCAACAAAAGATGCAACCGTATCAACAACAGCAGCCGACACACACCGAATTACAGAGCTCTCATTCTCAAAGTGTTCTGCAGACGCAACAGCAGAAGCAGCAACAAACGCACACCCATTACACGAGCAGTCAGTATCAGGAGACTTATCCGCATACGCAGACCTATCAACAGCCGCTCCAGCAGCAACAACAGCAACCACAGTCGCAACATCCGGCCTCTACAACGTACCTGACGTCATCGAGCCAAAGCATAATACCTCATTACTCGCAGCCCACGCAGACCGCCCAAAGTTTTCAGTTGAACGGAAGTCAGCAGGTACGAACAAGGCTCACTCGTTCGTTTTCTATACTACATAACATACGCAATTGCGAAGAAGTGTCTTCTCCTCGCGTGTCAGTTAGTTAACGTCGATTTGTATGTACAGGCAACAACATATCCAAGTTTGTCCATTACGTCGCATCCGAACGGCACCTATACAGGAACAGGGGCGAGTAGCTTTAGTACGCAACTGTCGCATCCCAATTTCTCCGCTCCGCAAACAAGCATCCCGCAAACCACGTTATCCTCGTTGCCACCCTATTCGACAACGTCCTTTCATTCCACTCTCGGTCCACTCACCAGCGTACCACAACCTGCTCTGTCCTTCTCCAACGTGCAGAGCAGTTTCACCACTAGCGGATCCACCTATTCTACCGTCGGGACCAACGCTTTTGGCACGTCAGGTGTGAGTTCGGGTATGAATTTTGTATATTCTCTGGTAGTGTCTCTTGTTCTATTTGTACAAAAGAGAAACATTTCTTCTTTGTTCCATTTTCAACAGGAACTACATCGACAGGCTTGTTACAAGCAATAAGCGATCCTCTCCAAGCGATGCAACAACTCTCCGTGCAATCCCAGGCGAATCAGCTTCAACAGCAAGCCATCATCCAACAGATTCAGCAAAGTTTACGCGCTAGCTCGCCAACAGCACCTGCCACGACGGGCCATCACTTCCTTGGTTCGAGACAGATGCCAAAGATACCGAGTAGCATACTTTCCAATCCCCTGGATCGACTGACCAATGACAATATCGTGGCCGAGGGTCAAGTGGACATGTTGGATATACCGGGCAAGGGCAGATGTTACGTCTACATCGCTCGTTTCACGTACGAGCCGTTTCAGCATTCGCCGAATGAAAATCCGGAGGCGGAGCTGCCTGTTCAGGGTGGCGATTATCTTCTCGTTTGGGGACAGCCGGACGATGATGGTTTCCTCGACGCGGAAACGCTCGACGGTAGACGCGGCCTCGTTCCGGCGAATTTCGTTCAGAAATTGGTCGGCGACGACTTGCTGGAATTTCATCAAGCCGTTCTTGGTCTCAGGGACGTCGACGACTCTGCTTCGACTAATATCCCCCAAGTGAGCAATGTAAGATTATTACGACAAACCTTTTGTGCATCTCCTTCGCGAGGCATTGCTAACGGAGGATTCGTTGCTCGATGTTTCAGTGTTATCTCCAGGATATCGACCTGGAGTTGGCGGCTCTAGAAGAGGGGAATCGAAATCGGCAAGCTGAACTGTCCGCGTACGCGGAGCTTGATAACATTGCAGAGGAAGACGAGCAAGAGCCACCAGGTTGGTACAGTTTTCGTATTATTTGTCGGGACCTCTCGTTACGAAGCATGTTTCGTCACGATTGCGATGAGACAAATGCACAAAGTTGATTGCAACTTTACGTAGCGTGAAGGACATGCGATCAGTTTATTGGTGGAATATTGGTGTACATAGCTGTATTGTAATTTAATTTAGGCGATGGAACGTTAGATTGATGTTTCTTGTAACGAATTTGAAGTATGAAATGTTAGAGAATCTGTAAAGAAATCCCCTATACGCTTGTGTGAAGTGTTTGAGTAAAATGATTTCTACTTAAACGTAATTTGTGTGAATTTTAATTTGAAGATTGATCAACATCCAACTCACGACGACGTTATAACATTGAGTTCCTTTGTTTCAATGTACCTTCCTCTTGCACAGCTCTTCCAAATGTGTGTAGAATGTGTAGAATGTGTCTTTCCAGTAACAACGTTCTATTTGATCCATCAAGGTACATGTACATACACAAGAATACATAACAACTTTTGATTACGCTTGCCGGTAGTATACCGATTTCCTTTATAATTTCTTTCTATTCATTTATCTGTCGTTTTGCTGAAAAGTAGGATAAACGCATGTTGTCCGATTTATTTGTTAGTAGCAAGCATTGAAGAACGGTTTCCTCTAGTTTGAGAAACCGGAGGTAAATAATTGGTGAATACAACATAAACGGAATCTTGCACTGTGTTGAGTATTGGATGGTCTTAGGCTGGTTTAGAGAATTAGATAGTGAAAGATTCTTAGCTACAGCTAGGCTTGTCTTGTCTTTTTTTCCTGAAGAAGTCTACCTGTTTTCGGACCTAGTTCCGGCGCCGCAGCACCTTACGCTTGAGCGGCAGCTGAACAAGAGCGTTCTAATCGGTTGGACGGCGCCAGATAATACTCATCAGTTGGAGTCGTATCACGTCTACGTAGATGGAGTGTTGAAGGTCACCGTGAAGGCAACCGAGAGGACCAGAGCGTTGGTCGAGGGTGTTGATTCCACCAGGGTTCGTAGAAATGATTTTACTAGAATAGTGCAATAACGAGTTCTTAGTAAATTTCACAGAGACCAAAGGTCGACAATTTTCATATGTAATAGAGTGTAAACTATTTCGTGTAAACTATCTAGCTGGTACGATTGCAATTCATAAGAACCTTTTTGCCCCCGCCCCCCCCCCCCTCTCCCGTGAAAAGAATATTCGTCGAGTATTTGACGTTCGTTTGATTGATGAATGTAGCCGCACAGAATAAGCGTACGGTCAGTGACGCACTCGAGGAGAACGTCGCGCGACGCCGCTTGCACGATGGTGATCGGTAAGGACGTCGCCTTGGGTCCAACCGCCGTCAAAGCATCGAACGTGACCGCCACCAGCGCCGTCATATCTTGGATGCCGAGCAATAGTAATCACCAGCACGTCGTTTGCGTGAATAACGTCGAGGTTAGGACAGTGAAGCCTGGTGTTTACAGACACACGATCACCGGTCTGGCACCGTCGACGATTTACAGAGTGACCGTGAAAGCGAAGAATTTAAGAGCGACGCACTTCGAGGACCAAAACACCCAAGCGGCGAACAATTTAGCATGCCACGTCCATTTCAAAACGTTACCAAAAGGGTTACCCGATCCTCCGGTCGATATCCAGGTTAACAGTTGCTCCAATATGTTATTTACGTATTTATATTTGCAATTCGTGTTCACGGGCACGTTCACAATGTGTGAATGATGGTTTGCAATAGGTGGAGGCTGGACCGCAGGACGGCACTTTGCTAGTGACCTGGCAGCCTGTTGCCCTAAACGGTTCGGCCGTCACCGGTTACGCGGTGTATGCCGATGGGAAGAAGGTCACCGACGTAGACAGCCCCACCGGTGACCACGCTCTGGTGGACATACATAAGCTCATGGGTCTGAATCCGAAGCATATCACAGTCAGGACGAAAAGCAGGGAGAGCCAATCGGGCGATAGCTGTGCCACTGCCATTCCTTGCAGCGTTCTCCGCGGTGGGACAGCGGCTCATTTGCAACACGGGTCTACGCACATGCAAGATCAAGGACAACCGCAGCCATCCGGCACCGGGCAAGTGGACGATCCGAACAGGCATCGTATGGGAGGTGTAGGCCAGAGATATCCATCGACACCGGTGCCGTCTCACATAAGAAGACACGGCAACACCAGGGTCGACGCTCACGGCCAAGTGATCATTGAGACTGATGAAAATTTATCCGACAAGGAGATTTATCCTGGACAAAGTATGCCCCAAATGGGTAAGAGTTTCAATATTTCAACTGTTAACAACAGTTGATGTTAAACAGATCAGTTTATAATTTTTGTAATTTTGCCACCAGGCGTTCCAGAGATCACCAAAGATTCAGCGAGCGAGGCAAATTACAGCGAGGAAGATGATCCGTCGCGCAGAGGCAGAGGTATGCCGCTGCACCATGGCGTCCAACATCGATACGGGCCGCAAATGGGACAACAAGGACTTCCCGGGACGCATCGACCTGGAAGAATGGGCGGCCCTGCTGGTAGACCTCAAGATCCTTACTACGACCAACCAGGTCGTTCACTTGCGATATTTAAGCATGTTGATCTGCTGTGTGACATTAACGTTGATATTAATTTTCTACATATATTTTTTGCCCTCGTAGGAAGTCAAAGAGGTAGGGCTTCTAGCTACCGTGGTGGACGGGGTATGCAAGCTCAAGGTGGTGCCGGTCATCCGTCGAGCAGCGCCCAACAAATGAACAAGAGAACACGCTGGTTCGTCGCCCTGTTCGATTACGATCCGAAGAGAATGTCACCTAATCCAGACGCGTGCGAGGAAGAGTTACCCTTCTCCGAAGGCGACTACATCAAGGTCTTTATCAATCAGATTCTGTCATGATTGTCTGTCATGATAGTCTGTCACGTGTATTCATGAAATTTTCTCGCTTACAAATTAATTTGGTAGGTATACGGTGAGAAGGACGCGGATGGATTTTATTGGGGTGAATGCCACGGTAGACGAGGCTACGTTCCTTACAACATGGTTGAGGAGATTAAAGGTCAGAACCAACCTGGACAGGCACAGTCGGGAAGTAGGGGAAGATGGGGAGATATTTACGCTAGTATGCCTGTCAAGAAAATGATAGCGCTCTATGATTATGATCCTCACGAATTATCTCCTAACGTTGATTCCGTAAGTTCTCTAAAAGAAAGAAAGAAAAAAAAGTCAACAACAAAGTTTCTTCATTAAAAGATTAGAAATACCTACAAGTTTATATATATTTTGATTCTGCAGCAAGTGGAATTGGCATTCCAAACTGGGAATGAAATTTATGTGTACGGTGATCTGGATGATGATGGATTTTATATGGGTGAATTGAACGGTGTGCGCGGCTTAGTCCCGAGTAACTTTCTCACCGAAGCGCCAGATCAACCGCCACAAGGACAACTTCCTCCAGGGAATAGAAGACCACCTAATCAAAGCCAAGGGCCCGGGGTTAGAGGACCGCCTCCTCCGCCTCGAGAACCACCACCTGCTGGTCATCGACGAGGCAAAGGTAAAAACTTGAAGTTGATGACCGTTCGACTTTTTTTTTTTTCTTGCCGCGAATTCTGATACAAATAGCTCCTCAAGCCAAATACACAGACTAGCTAATGTTCATTATTATTATTATTATTATTATCATTATTATTATTATTATTATTATTGTTCTTCAACTTTGTGAAGCAAAATGAAGTTGAAATTTATGAAATGACAGAGTAAGCGAGCAGCAGAAAACCGAATGCAGTGATAATCAAGATCGAGACTGAGAATGATCTCTACGAAGATAGAAAAAAAAAAAAAAAAAAAAAACAGAACTGGCTCGAGGGGTTGAAAGTAAAATTCACACTGGCGCCGTGTAACTGTAATCGACATCGAGTTGTAATCTGCTAAGAATTTTAAAACGGAAGAAAAGAAGAGAGAGAAAGAAAAAAACTGGGGAACGTCAACTGGACGTCAGTGTGAATGAAAAGTAATAACTAAATAAAAAAAAAAAAAGTACAAAAAGACAGCAAGCAACACAAGACACGAAACTAGATGTGCCAGACGACAGACAGAAGGGTCACACAAGTTTATATGATTGAGCCATCTATGTAGCAAAAGCCCGATCGTCGTAAATCGAAGCAGAGCTTACATTTTTTTTAGGAGTATAAAAAAATTACCGAGCGATTATAATACAGGATAATGCAACATGTCAACTATTTCGATAAAGACATTCGAGTAAGTCATCCGGTGCGTTTGTCCCTCAGGAGATTATTATTTTCAAATAGCATTTCCGATAGCAAGTCTCTAGGAGCTCGTTCGAAATTATCACAAAAATCAACAGTACAGTAACGTACACGATTAATGTGTGAAAGCTATTTTGTAAATTTTTCTAGGAACATGTGTATTGCCATATGCAAAACGATTTTCTATACCTATCTATCTATTTATCTATCTATCTATCTATTCTATCTATCTATCTATTTACATATTTACGTATGTATATATATATACATATATATATATTGTGTATATATATGTATATGCATATGTATATGTATATATATATACAATAAAACACTAAGCTGCTTTCAGTGTTTTCTATTAAGTACAAATGCATACATATGTACATATGTATCTACGTATGTATTGTATCCGTATGTTTTTTTTTCCGAGCACTTTTCGGCTCTGTTACTTTTTTACTCGCCTATCTTTTTTCCTCTACAACATATGTATATATACATATGTATATACGTGTTATATTTACGCTGTATACATATACATATACATATATATACATATGCATGTGTGTAAGAGAGAATATATATGTATATATGTATATATATATGTATATAACTATATTGCGTGTATTCTATATGATAACATACTATGTTTCTGTGTGCCTGAACTGATCGATGGTCGTCGTGTCACATGATTGTCGTTCGTGTCGTGTTGTCATGCTGGCCATTTAAACATTGAAACAATTTACTGACTTTCTTTCTGACGGCTCATTTTCGCGAGCTATTAACACGATATTTTTATATATCAGATTTCGTGTCTTGAAACACAAAGCATAAAGTCGCGAGAAAAAAAGAAAATTTTAACTGCACGCGCGAGTCTAGGTTTGCCGAGTAATCTTCACAAAATTCACTTTTTTTTAAAATGCTGAGAGTAAAAAAGAATGAAGAGAAACGCGCGAGAAAAGTAAAAAAAGAAAGGAAGAATTTCGCAAAAAGAAAAAAAAAATGAAACAATATTACTTGGCACACTCGACAGCGCTTGAAAAACGTCCATTTAGAAAGGATTAAATGTGCCATGAATGACAACACGGTTTTGTTCTCTTCTCTGTTGCTAGATGCCTGCATTGTGCCTGTGTCTGTCCCTGTCTGTCACTTAGACTCTAGACAACAACAACAACAACAACAACAACTACAACAACAACAACAACAACAACCATCACTAATGAATAACCAACATCAACTCCAACATCAACAAAACAATCCACCGCATCTAGCGTACCAACAAGCGAATCACCACAGCTACACAACTGTAACCACGTCCAACCAACATGGGCCCACACCTATAGGCGCCCATCAGCAAGGTCCCGTACCACCCCACCTTCAACAGCAGGTGAGTCCACTGCTCTATCCAGAAAGTTTTTCACTTTTGCTTACCTGCGTGCTTTCTACCTTCTTCGCTGCCAAACTTTCACAAACTTGTTCGACTGTACTTCTTTCGTTTCGCTCCTCCTTCTCACTCACCGTCACACACCGCTTTGATTTCTAGTTGAATTTCTTTCTTAAGTTCCTTGTCGAACCCTCCTTCACCTGTGGAAGAAAAACCCAAAGAATGATAATCGAGTCCGGTGGCTTTGACTCAAATTAAGGATTGAAAGATATTTTGGATGATTCAGGTATGTTCTTGGAAATACTAGAGGATGAATCTATCGATGACTCAACAGTACAAATTGATATATTGTTAGAAGGTCACATGAAAAATTTATACAAGTACGAATTCAAAACACTTTTTTTTACAACCGAATGTTGAATGATCTCGGATAATGGTCCAACAGTAAGTGCTTCTAACAGTAATATTATATATAATAACATTGAGAAATTTTACAATTGCGTGAAAAGGGGAAATTGTAAAATTTTTTTCAAGAAACCAACCATTGAAAAACATGAGCAATTTCTAACATCTCTCTTTGGCATGGATTTGCATTTGGTAGATACTGTACTTGAAAAGTATGACATTTCAACTTTGCTATTGATATTCTCAAGTAAATACTAATTAAGAAGGAAATAAATTTCCGATACACTTTAATAATTGCAATTAACAAAAAAATAAAAAAAATAAAACAAACCGTGGTATGCAGAGCTTATGATTCAATGCTTTTAATTAATAGTCATATTTAAGCATGTCAATAGCCGATACGTAAGTTGCACGAATACGTAGTAAATCATGCTTCTCCGATGAACTAAAATTTTCTGGTGTTCAACTATTCCTCTCTTTCTTTCTCTGCTTTCGTCATCTTTCATCTTCGCTTCTGTTTCGTACAGTTCTATTTAGTATGTTTTCTTTTCCATTTTAGTTCTGCAAAATTTGAGTACCATATCAGGTCCAACATATTTATCGTTATCCCGCCTCCCCCCTGATCGAAAATAAATCAGTTTATTCATAAAGCGAAACGTACTCGATCACTCTTGTACTTCTTTTGTTTCAAATATCGTGCTATCCGATGGCGTACTTTAGAATACATATTTTCAATTTTCACATATTCGTCCTTTCATCTAGCTAACGACTTATATTAGCTGAAGCATATTAGCACAAATACATTACTTCTCATAGAACATCGAACGATAGCTGCGATAAGTATTAGGGAAAAAGCGAGACATCATTACACGTAATATATATAATGATAAATCTTCATAATTCGATTAGATTGAAGATTCAGATTCTTAAAGAAATCTGTTTTAGTGGAATAAAGATTTATTTGGACTTTTCAGGGTACCAACCTCTCGAAACGAAACGCTACGCCCGATCGTTTGAAAACGTATACGAAGATACGAAACAAGCACCATTGAAGCTTTGTTTGACGTTAATTTATGTCACTTTAATTTCTAGGGGAAGGGGAGGGGAGGCATGATCAGTCGTGGTAGTAATGTGCCGGGAAGTATGCAAGGCCTTGGTCAGCATATGCAGCAACAGGACTATCAGCAACAGAATCAACCGTATCCGCAGCAACAGCCGAATCAGGGATACCAGCAGCAGGGCGCGGGATTTGGCCCCCAGGGCCAGCAGTTCCAGCAGCAACAGCCGCAGCAACCGCAACAGCAACAGCAAAATCAGCCATACGCGCAGCAGAACCAAGGCTCCTCTATGCAGGGCGGTCAGGGAGCGAGTAAGCCGATGAGAGGGATACCAACAGTGTTGCCAACGCCTCAAGCGAAGGCGCCGCCGAACACGCAGCAAGGTCAACAACAGCAACAACAACAGCAACAACAGCAGCAACAGCAGCAGAGTACAGGGCCGAATCTGATGCAAAAGTTCACGGAGATGGCCGGTGCGAGCGCTGGCGGCGATATCCTGTCGAAAGGGAAAGAACTGATTTTTATGAAATTCGGACTAGGCAAGTGAGTGATTACCCTGCCCGTGTCGCCAGCTCCGCTTCTTCTCCATTTCTATGCCACCGTCGCGCTCTGTGTCGTGTGGATTGTTCGTGGCGAAGCCGGTAATTCACCGGTCGGTAAATCAGTATTACACGGAGAAACGTTCGCGGATGTAAAGCGAGACGCGCAGGCAGGAACGTACGAATGCGTCTCGTCCGATCAGATCTTCGCGAATATCCCTGGACAAATACAAACGTAAAATGTGTGCTGCCATTGCTGCTGCTGCTGTTGCTGCTGCTAACGACTGTTTATCATTTCACGCAGTCTCGTAACTGGATGAATAACGTTCGAAATTCGGAGAAGAGCACTGTTCAACCGCGAGAGAAGGCCGAGAATTGTTTGTAATGTCTTTCTCGTTGGTTCAACTTCCTACATCTTAGCGAAACGAGGAGAAACAAAAAGGAATGTTCGCTTGCGTTTTCCTAACGTCTCTCATGAGATAGTCGAGAGTGTGATCAATCTGAACGTGAAAACTCGCACGATTAATGATCTTTAGTCTTCGAAGAGCGCAGATCCCTGAAAATAACGAATGATCTTTCGTTCCTTCTTTTTTCCGTTCTTCTTCTACTTTTACTTCTTCTTCTTCTATTACTTCTTCTTCTTCTTCTTCTTCCTTGAATACAATAAAATCTTTTTTCTAGATGTCACGTAGTCCGGTTAAAATGTTAATTGGAACGCTGAAATTTTTGACCATGACGGAAAATCTCCGAACATAATACAGGGATAGAAGCAATCGAAAATGTCACTGCATAATCAGATCATTATCAAGAGCTCATCCATCATTAGCCCAATGAAATAATTGTTCTTATTATATTAGATATTGATTAGATTGATAATATTTTATCTATATACGTAAAAGAGAAAAGAACGACAAGTGAACTGAAACGAAGTTGCATAAATTTGTTAAAAAAAAAAAAAAAAAAGGAAAAGGAAAGATGGAATCGCATACTTCTTAGTTCAGGAATTTTTAGAGAGACTGTTGCAAATCTCACGTTGCAAGAAGCTTTTACTTACAGTTTCTGGTCGAACATGACCGACGAGACGATCCTAGCAAAATCGAACATCGAAACGTGACATAATAAGCAGAATAAATTGTTACTCTTGTTCTCTATCATTTAGTTTTTCCTTCCTCTCCAGTTTTTCTTTGCCTATGACGTTTCATTTTGCCTGCCTCGAAACGACGACAAAACTTTACGTTGAACTGTTGACACACACACATATACACACACAGGCGACAAAGAAAGAAGGGGTGTCTTGATAATTATCATGTAACAATGATAAGCCAAGTGCATAGATGAACCACGATGCAAGCGGATCATTCACAAAAGACTAAACTGGAAAGTCGCTCCCTGTCGTGACCGTGAGCACGACTACGAAATACAAATAAATGATTTTACAAAAGACGGAAGTCAGATGACATGAAGAAATTACGTGTGATGTAACAATTGACCGGTGGATTTATAATAGAGCGACTCGTGGATCAAATTGAACTACGTCATAAACATATAAATATATAAATATATAAATAAAACAAATAAATTAATTAATTAATTGATATCACTCCGAAGGAGAATGGAGTATGTGAATTTGAGAATAGGAGAGAAAAAAGAATATTTAAGGGGAGGGTGGGCAGGGAGGGGGTAATACACGAGAGATCATAGCATACGTATATTACGGTAATGAAATATAAATATATACATATGCATATACAGATATGCGTACATACGTATACGTATATATATATATATATATATATATATACATCTAGTATGTCGATATATCTACGTAAAGGTATGTATGCATACAATTATATATATATATATATATATATATATATATATATATATATACATACATATACATACATACATATACATATACATACTATATTTAACTATTGCAAAGTGTTGTTACATCGCTACTTGTATCGTATTTTGTACAAAGTATCCTTACCTTCAATTGTTCTTTTCCTTTCGCCGTGCTACGAATATATACATATATATATATATGTATGTATGTATCAGCAAGGTGAAAGAAGCGTGACAAATTTCAAAGAGTCATTTTTTCCAGTATCATACTTTTTGGGAGTCATAAACGAAATTGGTCATAATTGTTATTAAATACCGTGGAGATATCTGTTTGGAACCGATAATTGCCTCTCGTCCGTTCATGTTAATCGAGTGTCGACAGATATATATATATACACATAATAAACGGTGAAAGATACGCGATATAGGAATTTATTATATCAAAGGCGGCCCAATCGAAGTTTTCATTTTACCCAAAACGAGGTTTCGTTCTGGTTCCATTCTTTGTGGGAATTTCCGTTCCTTGTATTCAATTCGGGAAAAGGAATTCGAACGTGGAATTACGAAACAATTGTAAACGTTTCGTTACTATTTTTTTTTTTTTCTTTTGGTCAAAAATATGGAACTAACAAGCTGTAGAGAATTATTTGCTGGACCACGAGTTTGCATCACCTTGTAGCAGTCACTATATTGGACTTGTAGTTAATTGGTGAGTCTTGATTTTTGCAATGTCGATCATGAATCGCATAACGTTTAACGAGCAAGAGCCACGGGAAACTGTGTATACTGCGACCATGGACCAAACTACATTTCCTCTCAAGAGACCAAAATTCGGCTAATTTAAACGTTTAGATTAGATTCGTTTCCTCTTTTAATTCTGAACTCGAGAGTTTCTTTTCGTTTTCCCCGCGAGAAGGCCCGGTGCTAAGTATTTTTTCTCAATGTTTACAATCCACATTTGGAAACTGTGTAGGTGTTTGTGACTGAGCGACGATCAACCAGCAAAACCTGTCGACCAAAAGAACCGCGAGATGGTGTAACGTGTAACGCTTGCTCGATTCCCGTGTTCGATTTAACACGCAGAGAGAAATTGCAAAATCAACTTTATCGATCTCGTTCCACCTGTAATTCGCGCGGAACGTCGAGAACTCGGACTTCATTTGAATCGAAGAACTCGCTCGATAAATACGCTTTTCGATGCTCGTTCTTTGAAACGCGTTTGCCAACGTCGCTTGATCCATTGGAAAGTAAAGAAGTAGCGTTGCGCATTTAGCGTCATTCGAACTATCCATAATATAATTTCCGACACGATAGTCGCCGCACTTATTATTAGAACGCCGTTGTCACGGACTTTGTTCTTCGTTCTTGTTCTTGAATATTTAACGAATTGAATGTTGATTTAGATGACGATGTTCCAATAGATCGAGCGAGAGGAGAAACTCGTTTTTTTCTTGATATCTTTCCAATAGGAACCCCTCGCGCAATCTCCGGAACAAACATTGAGCGATTGATGTTGGAATTCCTATGAATCTTTGCTGTGAACATATCTAATGTGAAGTGTTGGTTCAGGCGATTAAACGAAAAAGAAAAAAAAAAAAAAGAAAAAAGACTGACGTGACATTTAAGATCTTCAAAAGTGCTTAACACGTTCGCTACCAAAAGTGTCAGGATCGCTCGCGCCAGTGAAGCTATCAATTTCCGGGAATTTAGTCGATCCATCGGAAGATTCAAGTATATAATTAACTACAAATATTCGTAAAAAAAAGGAACGAGATTTCTTTTTTTTTTTTTTTTTAAGGAAGCATATAAACAATTAGTGGTCCGTAAATAAAAGAAAAAAACTTTGTTTAAATGGTAGTGAATGTGTTAACTACGTATTACTTAGCAAATTTGTAATGTTCATCTTTCATCTCTTTGACAGTTTCATTTTCTTTCCTTGTCTTTCATTGTTGAGTTCCATAGCGATAAGTCACGTAGCGAAACGAGTTTAAAGCGATTCAAACGAGTACAGAGTGCAAGGAGAAATCCAGAATAGGTATGAAAGAGGGAGTTACGGGAGATCTTCGTTTTATTATCGTTAAGTGTTAGATATCATCAAACCAAAAGAAAGAAAAAAAAAAAGTATGCAAGTAGCATTAATAAATAAAAAGGCAAAAAAAAAAGAAAAAAAATGTAACGTGAGGGGAAAACCCATATGCCCACGTATACCGAGAATAACAATAAGTTCTGTCTCTTCTCTCTTTGTGATCAGACCAAATCGTACGAGATAATAATTTTTAACAACAGGAACAATAAGCTGACGCAATGCAACGGTCGAACATGATTAAGAACTTAACGGATAAACACTTGTAGCCGAATATTTTCTTGTTTAAACGTTTGTCAAAACTAAAGGTATACACGAAGCGAATAAAATTAAGAAAGAACACAGAAAAAAAAGAAGAAGAAAGAAAAGAGATAAAAATAAGTGAAGCCCAAGGATAAAATGCGAGAGAGTAATAAATGAGAAACAATTTGGATTCTCTTAGGTACCTCGGAGTCGTTTCGTTCGTTGTCTACGCTCATTTTTGTGTAGTATCTCACTTGTACATTGTCATTGTTATAAATTTAGTCGTTGAATGGATTCGTATAAAAACAATCTTTTGATACCGCGACACAGCTAATACAATATGAATTGCAAATATAAACCGTGCCGAGGATGATGCGTATATGTATATGTCCTGAATAAAAAAAATCGATCGAGGAATGCTATTCGATTCGTTCGATCCTTTTTTTTTTTTTTCGCTGAAGAGATCGTCTGACGCGCGTGATGGGAAATCCTTCTCAATTCGATTGAAAACAGAAAATAAGTAAATCAAGTATAAATCAGTGTTAGATCTCGTACTGAGATAACCTCTCTTTCAGAAAAGTGTTTTCCACATCTTAAAAAAAAGAATAGATGTACTTGCGTTACGTATTTCGATTTAGATAACGGTTAGTTAAATGATACACGATATTCCGACAGCGCTATTAGTATGACGAGTATTGATCCTCGATTAAAGCGAGGTTAAGGCTCTCTTTGGAATCGTAGAACTTTGTTCCATGTGAAAACACTTTATGGAAAGATAGAATAATAATAATAATGATGATGATTAAAAAAAAAAGAAAAAAAACGAAAGAATGTGCATACGTGTGCGTGTGTGTATATCGAAACATGTATATGATATGACGAATAAAAGAAAAACAGAAGTCAGGAGGCAGGAGTTGATTCGGAAGGGAAGCAAGATGAAAAGAAATGTAGTTGCAGCGTGTGGAGTAGAAGACCTGAGGAACATACTTCGATGGTGTTATTAGCTAGGCGCCAATTATTGTCATTCCTTCTCTTGCATCGATACCCTAAGATTGTATAAACAGAATGTAGCGCAAAAGAAGAAATCGATTATATACACTCATACAACTTTTAATATAACAAATTTATCGCATCGATTAAGCATGTCGAATCGCCAGCTACGTTTGTCATTCAGTAATCTTGCGCTTTGTTTTTTCTATGAATCGGTGCATAACAATCTACTCCTTGTTAGCCCAACTGAAATATCGGAGAAAACTGCTACAAAAGGAAAAAAAAAAGAAAATCAACAAAAAACACAATGTTATTATAAATGATTAATTAATAAAAAACGAATCTTGTTTGTTGTTACTTTTTGGTATCCTCGTCGAATCCTTCTCTTCAAGCTGCGAGAAAATGATACAACGAAAAGTTCCATACCGCGTTAAAGAGAAAGAAATCGAGCTGCAAAATAAGTTCACACGTGCTTGATGAGCAAGAATACTTTATTTAATGTGAACTATGATACTGTAGCAGGATGAGTATATATATATATATATGTATATATATAATTTAATTAAGCGATATATACTTGGATCCAGAATATCATGAACTAATGCAATATATAAAGAGAAAGATGTTTAATAGTTTATGTATCCTCTTCCCAGACAGTTTCAGTTAAGATTGCGATGTTGTCCAATCCTCTCATTGGCGCGTATTCCAAAGTCCACATTAAATTAGTAAACACAACTAAAATCAATATCGTCGATTATTAAAATATTTTGTTCTATTTATTTAATTTAAGACTTTTTACTAACGAAAGTCCAACTGTGCAATCGTTCAACTTACGCATCTCACCCTGATGTAAATCTGCTATCAATTCGGGGCAAGAGCTATTACAAGGATTTATAGGAGTCAAACGAAGCTGTGTAGCTCCTCGCAGCTGAGCCAGAGCTATAAGACCTGAATCTAGTTCGACCTTTTTATAACTCGGGCTATTGTAATCCGAAGACATAAGGACCCAATTAAAATGGGCAGGTGAAACGGTACTTGAAAGGAAGTATGGGCGTTGATAATACTTTCTCAACACTTTTACTGCATTGATGTCACAGTTCTGCCAGTGAACAAACCACTTGGCTACTTCAGGCGAATGTACCCGGCGTAAAAATGCTGCTAAGTCGGATGAACCAGTTCTTAAATTTGAAGTCAGAGCGCAAGGTACCGTTTCCATTAAGCGCTCATTTTCTAAATAAAGCTGTAAATAAAACATATGTTATATATAACATTTTATTTAACATATGTGAAATTGCTTATCTTTGACTATGTATTTATTTCATTAAAATATAATATCTTCCTTACTTTGATTTTTCTACTTACATGAGTGATATTATCAAACCAGAAATAATCTGTGTTCATAACTGCCCAAGAGTCCATTGCATCTGTAATAATTGCAGGTGCATCTCTACTTAAATAATTATCCACAAGATTGCGGTATCTCACATCTGACAAACGATCAATAGTCTCCAGAGCTTCACAAGTCTGCAAATATATATATGTTTTGGAAAGATTAGTAAAGTATTGTCTGTATATTAACATTAACTTTCTTATAGGAAAAAGAAACTTTGTAAAATACATTTTATAACATATTTTTGAAGTAATATCTGGATCAATATTGATTATCGTACCACACAATCTTCTTCTGTTATCATGTAATCATTATAAAAGGGATTATTAATCATACAATTTTCATAGTACAGAGGCTGCCAGTTCCAAATTGGTAAAACTTTAATAAGTAGAAGACGGCTAATTGCAGTAAAATGTGTCCCAACAAAATCAAGTTGGGCTGCTAAACAAGCTAAAGTGCCAAGGACAATTAGAACAAGCGTCCCACGGAAAACAAGTTGTAGCCAAGAACGTCTCATTGCAGCCACCAATGGTTGGCAAATAATATCCATTTCTTCCTCTGTGAAACCAGCCTGCTGACAATATCTGAAAACAAATCATATGAATTGCAATAATCACTAATTAAAACAGTGTAACAATATTATTTCTATGCATAATATATAACAAATTATTAAAAAAAAGATTGAACTTTGAAAAAAATAATCTGAACAATATGAATTAATACTAACAAAAACAAGTCATTTTTTGAAATGAAACTGAAAGCATTAAATAAGGAGCAATATTATAAATTGAAAAGAAAATTGGTTTACTTGTAAAATGCATTCAGCTCATCGTCTATTAATCGTAGTTTTTCCGAATGCGACATTTCTTGCTGTTCTTTGACATAATTTTTGCGCAATTGTTTAACACATTTGTTGTTCGACATTTTGTAATTTTCGTTTCAATAGCAATTCTTGTACTTATTAAATAAATTTGTAGAATTCACCGTCTGAAGCTGGACAAACAAACCAGTTATTATTGAACAGGAATACTGTCCGTACATGCGCACATTTTCCTATTATCCATGCGAACATATTGATTGTTTATTGCCCGTGTTGAAAGTACCGCGGCAAAATATGGCCAGTTTCAAAGGTTACTCATTATTCCGAAAAGCGTCAAGTGGATAACGTAAATGCATAAAATGAATTTCATCCATGTAGAAATAAGAAATTAATAGAAAAAAAAGAAAAATTTAAATAAAAATAAGAAACTAGTAGTTATCAAATTAATTGCTTATCTAAAATAAATTTAAAAGAAAATAGTATTTGGAACAAAAAAAGAACAAAGAAAGATTCCAGTTGTTTTCTGAAAGCATAAATTATTCTTATTATTTTCGCTTTTGATTTTCAAATTGTTCCTCCATTTACGAATAATACAATTAAAATATATATTTGTTATTTAATAACGTGTAGTGTATACATATATCTAGTTTTATTTTATAGTTTAAGTTAAGTTACTTCAGACTAACGACTGATAATTTTGTGACAGTCTTTATGAATTTAGAGCTTGCTATATATATATATATGTATAAACATACATATAGTTATTAGTATACACATATAAATAAATTGAATATGATGTTATTGTTGTAAAATTGTGTCGCATAATTAAAATATTAAAATATCAATATTATTGCTACTTGAAGAATACTTGACAATAATGTATAAAATAAGGTTTGGTAAGTCTATTTTGCAAATATTATCATGCATGTATATATACATATATGATACAAGAATTTAATGATAAATTTTTATTCTCTGAATCAGTTACACGAAATACAACCATTTTCATTTATAATAATGTTGCTCGAAACATTGCATCCCTTTCCATGTTGTCGGAGACTCATCAGATGTTACACAAAACATGCAGGTACCTATCCTTTTGTAGATTTATTTATATTTTTTTTTTTTTTAAATAATTGAATTTTTGAACCGATTTACTAGATAGTAATTTTAAATTACAATATTATAATACACATGTACTCCTTTCGTCTATAATGTCATACATTGTAAATATCATTGTAGAGACTTTGCAGAAGGAGAATTAAAACCTTTGGCAGCAGAAATAGACAAGAAACATCTTTATCCAGAAGAACAAATAAAAAAAATGGGTGAACTGGGTTTAATGGGCATAGCAGTTCCTGAAAAAGTAGGTGGAACTGGGCTAGACTATTTGGCTTATGCTATTGCAATGGAAGAAATATCCAGAGGTTGTGCCAGTGCTGGTGTCATAATGAGTGCACATAACTCTCTGTATTTAGGTCCAATAGAAAAATATGGCAGTAAAGATCAACAAGAAAAATATATCACTCCCTTTACAACTGGCAATAAGATTGGATGTTTTGCTCTTAGCGAACCAGGCAATGGTAGTGATGCAGGTGCTGCTTCTACTACTGCCAAATCAAATGGATCTAATTATATAATTAATGGCACAAAATCGTGGATAACAAATGCGTATGAATCAGATGCAATTGTCTTATTCGCTACAACAGATAAATCTAAAAAGCATAAAGGTATAAGTGCATTCATAGTTGATAAAGCTGCAGAAGGTCTTTCTCTTGGTAAAAAAGAAGATAAATTAGGTATACGTGGGAGCAGTACTTGTTCATTAATATTTGAAGAATGTAAATTACCAAAAGAAAATATATTAGGAGAACCAGGAATGGGTTTTAAAATCGCAATGACGACTTTAGGTATGAAATAAATAAAACATACATTTGTACAAACGCAATAACTAAAAATATAATATTTAAATTACACAATTTTTAGATGGTGGCAGAATAGGAATTGCTGCTCAAGCTTTAGGTATAGCTCAAGCATCTTTGGACTGTGCAGTTGAGTACGCAGCAAAACGGCAAGCATTTGGTAATGCTATCATTAAGTTACAAGCAATTCAACAAAAAATTGCTGATATGGCACTAAAATTAGAAAGTTCAAGATTATTAACATGGCGAGCAGCCATACTTAAGGATAATAACAAACCTTACACAAAGGTAAGAGAGAGAAAAAAAAGGAATTAAGCTTAAATGTTATCTACCAATTCTCTTCTTTCTGTTTAGGAAGCTGCTATGGCAAAATTATCGGCATCTGAAACATCTACTTTCTGCGCTCATCAATGTATACAAATTTTAGGTGGCATGGGTTACGTTACTGATATGCCAGCAGAACGTCATTATAGAGATGCGCGTATTACTGAAATTTATGAAGGTACATCGGAAATACAAAGACTGGTTATAGCTGCAAATATTACCAAAGAATATGATCTTAATTGAAATATCTAGATATTGCGTATATTTATTTTTTTACTAAAATTTTTATATGCAAGCAAAATATTTTTATATATTTTAATAATTTTATATATGTATATATATATACCTCTTTTTTATTCGAGAGTCAATAAATTTTATATATTATGACTGCAAAGTACTTTTTTTTTCTACATGATTCAATGTCACAAAATATAGATATATATATATATATGCCTGTGTCTATGTACGTGTGTGTGTATGAATATGCAAAACATTATGTATATGCTGTATATATCAATCCTTCATTATCTGCTTTTTAGCGATATCATAGGAATCTCTATTCACAATTTCTATTCTGCTCGTCATGGGATGATGACTAATAGCTTATCTATTAAAGTAATATTAATGCATAGAGATGGTAGACACTGCTCATAATGAGATTTTATTTTAAAATCTCGATTAATATGGTAATTCGATCGAATATCGCACTTAAACACTAAAATTCACAACTGAGCAGCACAAATTCTGGTACTCCCTGTATTAAGACTTCGAAACTTCAATGGTTATTTTGTTTAAATTGCATTTCTAAAGCTATCTTAAATACTATACTATAGATCCCAGTATAACAGATAACAGTATACATATAATTTGTGCAAACGACAATTACGATTTTCCTTCAACTATATATTTTTATCGAGTTCTTTCTTTGTTTTGGCATAAGCAAACATGTTGGATATGACACTTAAATTGTATTTGTTGTACAGAGATCTATTGGAATGCAAAGAAATATGTAAGTGTATGTAATTCATCATAAACATTTCAATCAGAACTTCATTGTATGTCTCTTTTTTTATATACAATAGCGCATTCTTTCAGTGTTTACTGACTTTCACATTGAAAGTTTTTTTCTTCTTTTACATATATGTATATCTGTGTATTAATTCACTTATTTTATATAATTATTTTCATATTTTTCACAAATAACATATGTTAGTACAATTAAAATTGATTTAATTAAGATTTATGAAGTTGGTCCTAACTTTGATACAGGCCTACTTTTTCAAATTTAAAAGAAACGTAAGCAGAACACAATTACAGTTGTTTACTAATTTAACACCTCTATTCTAATTATAATGTCGAATGTTAATAAATTATTACAAAATTAATTTTCATTTGTAGAACTGTTAAAATAGTTTCGTTTAATTTCTCTGATTATTATACACTATATAATTGGGCTTGAAAAACCTCAGGCCATTGCGCAAACTTATTAAAACAGTTATTTATAAATATAGTAATATTTCCTGGTTTCAAACCATAATATAATGAATCTAAAACACAAACCGCGAACTCTTATTGAACTCGCAGTCTTTGTGTTAACTGTCTTTCCTTATTTGTGTTATGCAAGCATTCCAAACGATTTATTTATAAATTTTAATATCGAACTACTACGGTGTTAAATAACAATTACATTTTTTTTCTCCACCTATATTGATTTTTATCGAACTGTACTCTTTTTTTTTTTTTTTTGAATATTTTATACATCATATAAGTTGAACTGATTTGTGTATCAATTCTCTCTTATTATTGGCTATATTATAATCTTTGACTGTAGATACATTTATCTAAAACGCTTGTAAATGTAAATAAATTAAAATCATAAGTAAATGTAATAGACATAGAATCTAGACACTTAAATTCCCGAAATTGTCCCGATCCTGCAGGATCGCCTATGACAAAACATATGTGAGTGTATTTCTATACGTATGCTTATGTATCTGAGACATATAAGGAAATTGATTTAACGATTCATAATAGAAGCTATCAAAGCCTCAATCATCAGCTCGCATACCCCTTACTTCTCCTTGATGTCTTTGCTAAAAAAAAATTTTAAAATTTTTTACAATTACATGTATATATATATATATATATACATTGCAATAATTAAAACTAAAAAAAATTACATACCCTATCTAATTCTTCTTTCGTACTTTCCTCAATTGCTCTAATATCTTCCATAGTTAAACCATACCAACGATCTATCCAACAGAAAACTTGCCTATGAAAGTTAGTAAAAAGACGCCTCTCTGCTTTTTGTATAAAGTTTTCAACACGATTTTGTAGACCAAACCATTTAAATTCACAAGTCACTAGCTTATAACATGTCATTACAGGTTGGACATTGTTCTTCCAATCTTTACCAACAAGAGGACCACGACCTGTTTTCACAGATTTAAATTTGGTTGGGTCTTCATCTTCTTTGTAATCAGCACTTGCAATTGGATCATTTGCAATATCAATGTGTATGACTTCTCTTATTTTTAATTTATCAGGAGGCAATTCATGAACCTGTTAATTAAAGAATAATGATATAATACGAAATGAAATACTTCGTTTAAATTTTTATACCCACATTATGCTGATCTCCAACATCATCAATGTGAAATGATTCGATCATAATTACAAAATTTTCTTTCATATATCCAGGATTCTGCAAAAAAAAATATATCAAAATACATAACATATATAATACATGAGAAAGTATGTTTAAAAAACAAACTGTACTCACAGTAATAACTGTTTTGCAATAAGGATAAGCATTCCAAGCTTCTTCATGAATTTCCAAGGAATTCTTTGGCAACATAATACGAATAAAAGCAGGCACTTTACTAGCTAAATGATAAATTTTATATGTATATTGACCTGAAGAATATTTTCCACCAAGCAAAGGATAATCTGTGAATGGCTCATTTTTTAGCACTTCTATACCCTCTCCTCCTCCAGTATTATTTTTGCTAGCTTCTGCTACAGAATATAGTTGAGCCACTTGGTACTGCCATGAAGTAAATCACATCATAATGGATATTACAAAGATAGTGTGAAAATTTATCTTAATGAAAGATAAGATCTAATTACACTCAAGTATATCTTACAAAAAGATTTCAGTATCTATAATTTATTTATTAAAAAAATCACTACTAGACTATTATAATTTTAAATAACATTTTTTTCTTCCATAAAGCACGAAAGTACAAAAAAAGAGCTTAATAAACATATATTGATAAATAATTAGAGATTAAATTAAAACAACTAGACCGAGGAAAAAATTTTCGTTACATCACAAAATTAAGTAGCAGTAAACATAACAATGAAGGTAGCATGATGCGACAATATTTGTTAGGTACATTAGAGTAAAAATTCGAAAACAACATCCAAGATAATTACAAACTTCTAAATAAATGCTAATTAAATGATTTTCAATTTTTTCCAAACCACACAGTAATGATGTAAAAGCTAATTTAAGTTAGTTCTTTTTCTTTTTCTATAGAGTAATAACACATTTCAAAATGGGTCATTATAATGACTTTGTTATTCATTAAATACATACCTCTTTCACATTGAGAGGTAAAGTGACACGGCTGCAACAAAAGAGAAATAGATTATACTTGTGTTTCAAATAAATAACAAACAAAAAATAATTATGTATTTATGAGCAACGACCTTGAGTACACTTAAATATGATATTAAGTACCATGTACCAGGTATATCAAAAACCGAACAGGCAGATAAGATGAGCGAATTCCTTTTGAAACGTTACTCATAAGTTAAAATGATATCGTTCGTCGCTCGCAGAAATTTCCTCCGTATGGATAGCAAGGGATGAAACTACATCCCTCTCTACCCCTCCAATCCCACCCGCCGTTAAAGATTAGTAACCATATCCCAAGAATTGCTTTTAAATATTCGGCCCGATATCCCCCTTATCACCAGTGTATCAAAACTAATAACGAGGAGATCTCAGAGAAACTTACAATTCTTTGATGAGCATTTTAACAAGCAGAGCACATGGGCTGCAGTAATTTCAGTGCGACCACACAGAACCACCCTTGCTACAGCAAATTCACTCGTGTTATCTCTCAACCCGCAGTCAACGCATACAACAGCGTCGACTTCTCAACCGACTGCCACACACTCGAATCACTGAGTGAGTAGTGAGTAACACACTGCACGGCTACCACCACGCACACATACTTGTACACACGTGCACATCGAATTTCCCCACTCTTCCCTTACAGACACTTTGCAAATGACGTCATGCTTACATGCACCTTAGCCCGCATGCGCATTTATTACACCTCGGTTTACAATAATTTCGTCTGGGGATTTTATATAGGGGAAGCCTGCGGAGAAACACATGCGGATAATTATTAAATACGCTATTTGCGAATATTTATTACGTACCATTGGCCAAATGTGTTCTTAATTTACAATTTTTATTTGCTTTGAATATATCATATATATGCATATTGTACATATTGTAAATATATGTGTACATATATGTAATTGAAAATCAAAATTTATCGAGACATGAAGATTAAAGATAAAGTGTAGAATATATAAATGAGACAATATTATATAATATAGACATTGAATGAATATTATTATTATTTACGGTTTATGACTTTCAATATAATAATTAAATTATGCAATAGGATTAATTACATAATGATTGTATAATGAAATGAGATAATGAATTTGAATATCGTAGGTATTGCTAAATACAAGGTGTCATAATTTTTGACCGAATTTTTTTTACAATAATAAACAAGAATTATTGTCATTATAAATATCGTTCACTGAATAAAATGATATGAAATAAGAAAAAATGTTTTTTACGTGAGCAGATCATTTTTTTTATTGCACACGTTGTACAAACGAGAGGGTTCTTTTGATTGGTTGTTTTTTATCTGAATATCGAGGGACATTTTTAAAAAATATAATCATCGAGTTTGAAAATTACTAATTCCTAACTTAGAAAGTAAGTAATCTTTTCGACACAGATGCGTACATATACTTAATATCGAATCTGTAGTACGTAAGTTCTAAATCTATACATGAAAAAAAAATGAAAACGATATTCTATATGATTGTGATTGTGTGTTATTAAGCCGCTTTTACACACAAACACGTAGACAAAAATAAGCTTCGTATCATATATATTAAATATTGCTGTGTGAATGACATATTTGGTTATGAAATCTATATCGTGCACACAGGCGTTATCATATATCGTGTAACGTTCGTTGGCTCATTTTAGAATCGACTGCAATCGACGAGTCCGATTGATCGATATATGTAGTTTGGTGTGTGTGTGACGAGATGTACTTGGATGACAGCGCGTATACTGACGCGCCTACAGAGCATTTAGATTCAAAGTAAAATGAAAAGACGGGGCCGTCGTTTGAAAGTTCGAAGAACGATCGAGTAACATGTCCGCACAGTTTTCTGCGAGGTGGCCCTCACTGCTGGACTGTTATAATTATCATTTAAGTTTCGTTGTTACATGTTCTATAGGAGTGTAAGTACATACGTTGAATGTATGGTGGCCTGTGAACGTGACGAGGTGAAGACGCGTGGAAAAGTTAGAGAGTAGCTAGAGTTTCGGGAGAGCTGACAAACAAGCGAACAAAGTTCGCGAGGAAAGTGAAAGACTGAGACCAAAGAACGTTCGAAGATTCGAGTCAGAATGGACGAATGTATGCTGAACGATTTGTTGGAATGCTCGGTATGCCTCGAGCGATTAGACACGTCGAGCAAAGTACTCCCCTGTCAGCACACCTTTTGCAAAAAATGTTTGGAAGAAATAGTTAGCACCCACCGTGAATTACGGTGCCCCGAGTGTCGCATTCTGGTTGATGCCAAGGTGGATGATCTGCCTCCCAATGTGCTGCTGATGCGTATTTTGGAAGGAATGCGCAATGCAGCTCCTAAATCTACGAAATCTGTAGCTAAAAGCAACCCAGGGCCTCAGAGACTGTTCGGTGGCCACCAGGTTACCTCGACTCCTATTGTAACTACTAGTCCTACTCCTGCTACATTGACGAACGAGCCAATTCGACATGGCAATACAACAGCAAAACAAATTCAACTACACAATCAAACGTATGGCCGAGCAATTTATGATTATGTGTCGAAAGTACCAGGGTAAGTTTATAGGAATCTCCTTGAAGATTGAGTTTGTATTTATTTTATTGACTGTTTAATATTTCAGGGACTTGTCATTTAAGAAAGGCGATATCGTTATCCTTCGTAAGAAAATTGATAATAATTGGTGTTTCGGGGAAAGTGCCAATAGTCATGGAGTTTTTCCTTTATCTTACGTTCAGGTATATTAAAATATCTTATAGCTTTAGTACAGAAATGTTATAAGAGTATTTAGTATTTAATATGTTCATGTGTATAGGTAATCACGCCATTAACACCAGATGTTCCTCAGTGCAAAGCTTTGTATGATTTTAGAATGACTAATGATGATGAAGATGGCTGTCTTACATTTAACAAGGTACACAGAAACATTTGTATATTTAATTAATTCAATATTACATTTTCTGTTTCTGTTTTGTAATGACTATTGTGAACACAAATTAAATAATTTAAATGATTTTACAGGGTGAAATTATTAATGTTATTAGAAGAGTTGATGAAAATTGGGCAGAAGGAAAGCTTTTGGATAGAATTGGTATCTTTCCATTGGCTTTTGTAGAACTGAATAGCGTGGCAAGAGCTTTAATGAAACTATCAACAAAGTAATTTTTACAATTTACATCTTAAAAGTATAGTTCAAATACAAAAGAATTAGATTCAGTATAATTAGTAAATATCATTTTTCTTAAATAGTACACAACCAGGTCCATCGAGAGTGGCACCTCCTACTCCCACTAATGAAGAAACCACGCTCTTAATACCAACTGATCATTCACGTAATTTACAAACAAATCAGTCGCGACCTCAACTTGTACAGGTATTATAAGTTGAATTAATTTTTTAATGTTTCAAAATATCTAAAATGTCTGCAACGAATATTGGCAATTTTTAAAATTTTTCAACAGAACACAATTTTACCAGTCTCTGACTCCATTTCAAATGTATCATCAGGAGGTAGTTCTTCAACTACTACCCCAAACACTCCTAATAGTTCAACTACATCTAGCGGTTCCAGTACTGCTCCAAGTAGTCCTAGTAGTCCAGCAACATCTCCTCCTGCAGTTGGAAATAGACATAGTATTAAGCGTCACAGTTTTACTGCTGTTAATACTGGCCATCAGGCTCATCCACATCATAGACACAGTGCTGAAATACTTAGTCCTCCATTAGATAATGCCATTGGTAATAGCAATAGTAATAGCAGTAATGATTCATTCTCTCCACTACAGGTAAAATATAATTTTTATATAAAAAATACTGTAATATTTTATATTAAAAATTTTGCACATCTTACGTTTATAGTAACAAGTTATTACTTCTATTTCTCAGACAAATACCAGCATCGCAGATCACAATCTTCGTCATAAGCGAAGTGGTAGTAGTGATCTTGCTCTTGCACAATCGTCACAAGGTTTATCTACTACAACTGGAAATACTCATTTACCAGCCGCGTATATAGCACTGTATCCGTATAAACCTCAGAAAGCAGATGAACTTGAGTTACGAAAAGGTGGCATTTATATGGTAACGGAACGATGTCAAGATGGTTGGTTTAAAGGAACTTCTAATCGTACACAAAAGTGTGGAGTCTTTCCAGGAAATTATGTTGCGCCTGCTAAGTATATGAAATTCTTATGATAGAAACGCATAATGTAATTTCTTGATTTTACATGATTCTATTTTCGTAGATGTCAACGTGGCTTGTGTCGAGGATCACCAAATACAGGACAACACCAAAATTTTCCATCTTCAACAAGTCAAAATAGTAGTGACTCACGAATAACTACGACTTATACCAAAAATAAGGGATCAGCTCCTCAACCTTATAATTCACGGACATTGTTACCTCCGGAATTGCCACCACGTGCAATTAGTCCGTCTTTTATGGTATCATCATCTTGGCATGGTCAAAGTCAAACACAAAGTCAAGAAAATAGTCCTCCCCGATATAAGGAACAAAATTCAGCAAATCCTCTTGGACGTAGTCACAGTGCTGTTATGTCACCAAACATTTGTATGTAATAATTTTGTTAAAAAAAAAACATTATATTAAATTATATGAGATTGCTTTTTGTTCCAGCTTCTCCTGGAAAACAGGTAACTTTACCACAGTCGTTAATGACTACAACTACAACCACTGGTGTCAACAATAGTAGTAGTATTGTTACTGGTGCCACTTCTTCTATAATAAATGAAATGAATAAAAATCCAAATACTATTTTACACGCTATGTCTTCTCCTTCTTCTGCCGCATCTGTTTCTGCACCTAAAAACACTGAAAAGGTATAAGCTTATCTTTCTATATTTGCTTTTTTATTATACGGAAAGGAGGGCAATAACTTTGATCAATTTGGTATGTCTAAGAATACCTCTATTCTTTTTAGAAATATGGAAGAACTTTATTCTCAAATCGTACGATAAGAAAAAAATTGTAATATGGCAATAGTGATTTTTTTTTAGTTCTTTTTTTACATTGCTAGCCGTATTTTTTTATTTTTGATAAAAATTGAAAATGTTACGGCAATTACAATGATCCATAAATATAATAAGATCATTAGATATTATGATCAAAGTTAGTGCCTCATAATATAAATATATATAAATAAAATATATTTTTGAACTACAGCAAAAGGAAAAAAAAGATAAATGTGTTTCTTTGATGCGTCGGTTAACGAATATTAAGAAATCAAAATCACCACCTCCTACGACATATTCTATGGATAATCCTGTGTTTGAAGATGGCAGTTCTATTAATCCAATACATGTTCGGTAAGCTTTTTTTTTTATTTCAGTAACAAGTTATGCTTTGTATAAGTACAATGGACTTAAATATATATGAATTTTAAGAAAATAAATCGATTTTTAATAATTTGCACGTTTATAACATATTAAATATATTTTATTAACTGTTTGCATGCATTACTATCTGAAATCATTTGTTATGTACAATGTAAGATGTATGCAATTATGTATATGTATTTTTGCTACATGCTGTATAATCGTTGAAGTCACTGCATGATTGTAATGTTTATATTAGCAAATTAATTATATATTGTGCAAAATAGTTTAAGTTTTGAAGTTGTTTTTTTCATTTTCCACTATATTTTTTAATACAATATGAGCTGCACGTGTTAAATTATTTGTCTAATTCTACACGGGGGTGGGTTGGGCGGATATATTTAAAATTAGATCGGGATCTTGCCCAAGTCAGTTGCTACAGGTGGGAGCTACACAGGAATTAAATGCTTCAAACAACCACCATCGTTTATGTCCAGGCTCTGTGCAGGGACATGTCACATCTTCACAAAGACTTAAATACAAGGAGAGACCATCTTTACCGGTCTCAATCCTCCAGAGGTTAGTTATCAAAATTATATGTTTAACAAATAAAATAATTGAAAGACTAATAGTATTTACAGTAAAATATATATTTATATTAATGTATTTGTCCAGCTCATATAGAAAACGGAAATTGTATTTAGTCTTTTATAATAAAATAATATATACATGATATTTGTGTGATGCATATATTTAACTGCATTAACATTTGCAATTAAATGTATACAGTACAATAAGTAAGTATGTTAATAAATATTGCAAAAATTAAGAAGCGTATGTTACAAATGCTTGATTATCTTGATGATGTTAAAATACATTTCATTTTTATTTTTTAATTGCATTTTCGTAGTTATTACTGTTCTTTTTTAAGTTATTAATTTTTATTAAAAATTTGCTTGTTGACTGAGTATGTGTGCATTCAATGTATAATCATTATATGAAATTGACAAGTTAGTTTTTGAAACTAATACAAATCTACTTTTATTTGTATTATTAATATTCATAGATCAAACGAATCGGGTGTGATGGCATGTACACCAATGGCAAATCACCATCGTAAGAGTAACTCATTAGATGCTGGCATGGGAAAACAAGTGAAACAACAACCTACGCGCGAACGGTGAGAATTATTATTTAAATTATTTTATACTTTGTTTCCACTTTTTCCTTCTTTTTTTCTATTTTATTTTTTATCTAATTGAATTATTAATATTTCTTGCTTCAGAGAGCGAGTATACAGATTTCGTTGTATTGTGCCATATCCCCCTAATAGTGAATTTGAACTTGAACTCCGAGTAGGAGACATTATTTATGTACACAAGAAACGTGATGACGGCTGGTATAAAGGCACTCAACAAAGAACTGGTCGTACAGGCCTTTTCCCAGCCAGTTTTGTCGAAGCTTTCTGAGATACAGCGCAAAATCATTTTGTATTAGAAACTTGTATATAATACTGCACAAGCTTACGATGACATATTGCACATCAGTTTTCAGGTTTATTAAAGGTATAATTGTTAATATGAAGGTAAGTGTACGCTCTAAATTATGAACTTAATCGTATTAGTACTAAAGGGTACTTTAACCACATGCTGCGTATACTATGTAGTATTACGTTTATATGTTTTCTTTTATGATTATCGCATAAAGAATTATACAATGAATGAAATGTAATGAAGTTGTTCAAAATGGATACTGCCATTGATGGTATATTCAAGACAAATTATTAAAACTGCTAAAGAAACAAGAGATTATATTGCATCAATACTGCCATTTGAACAAAAATAATCACGGAAAAATATACCGATATTGTTTTTTTATTAATATGATATTGTTGATGAACTTTTTATTATTGTGAGTTTATGACATTATTTTATATATCTACACTTGAAGTTTTCATTCATACGTAGTAATTTGTTAAAATAAGATAATTTGATTTTTCATGAAACTTAAATTATTATTAAATATTGCATACATTTTTTTCAATTTTATACAGACAATTGTTATTTAAATGCTATTTTTTTTAAGAAAACGATTGTTATTGAGATTTTACTTAATTCCTTTGAGTTATTTTTAAAAAATTCATACAATATATTTTGTGGTGTTACTGCAATTACATAGACATAAGAAATTGTATCAGTTTCTATCTCAATGTCAACTTTAATAAACATTTTCCTTCATAGGCATTTTTCTTAGGAAAATATAGTAATTCATATTATAGAGAAGAATATAAAATATTTCATTATGGAATGTATTTTATATTAATATTAACTTACTTTTTCTTTATATAAAAATATAGGTAACATTATATAATAGTTCAGTACATAACAATAATGATCAAATCTCACAAAGTTGATTTTGTTAAATATGTAATTGTCAAAGACTGGCCTATGTTTTTGGAAAATTATAGACATAAATAGTTTTTAACAAAAAAAGTGAGGTACAACATTAATACTTGCTAGTATTAGTGAAATCAATTGTACATCTGAACTGTACAACTGAATTTGTATGTTTTTCTTATTTACGGAATATTTAAACGTTCAAGCACAATAAGAAATTATATACTTAATAGCCTATTTCACATGATATAATTGTAAGAAATTATTAAGATTAATTAATGAGCTTCCTAATAATAATCAATATTTGATTAAATTTGTTATTTTTCTATAGGAGATACTATTCCTAATTTTATATAAATATGTATAAGAAACAGTCTGTTACTAGCATTGTTATTTTGGCATTTTTAGTTGCATTGACTTCAAAACAATGTTTATCATTTATAAAATAAGCTTAATTCTGTATTACTTTTCTATGTATGTTATAATTTATTTAATTTATATATTAATATTCGCAATATTAAAAAAAAATTTTATATGTGTCTTTATTATTGTACAAATGTATTCAATGAACACAATGTATATGGTCGTAAAATTAATCAAGTATTAAATTATGTTCATAGGAGAACTGAGATTTGAAACAGATCTATAGAAATGTATAAGTTTGTGCTTTATCAAGAGTTGTATGATATACACTCAGGATTGCGGTTTTCTTCGTAATGTATCTAAAAAGACATGTACCATACAATTTGGATTTCATCGTGGATTTTAAAAATAGATGATTTATCATTTACAGTGTAAATAATTATATTACAGTGTAAATGATTTTTACACTCTGAAAGTACTAAGTAGGATACATTTGGCTTGAGATGAGATTTAGCTGGATTGATATCAATGTTTAATATTTTAATATACGACCTTGTTATATTGTTTCCATTGACTATGTTCATGTGTGTATAACACATGGAGGCGCATATACATATGAATAGGATAACAGAGGAAGAAATAACAAAAACATTTGGCTTGATGGATTTAAGAATTACTAAGAATAAAATTTGAATTTAAAATCATGACATAATATTATTATAACAATTATTGCGTTTTAGAAAAATAGTTTTCGAAATTATGCAAAAAATACTGATACTGTACATTTTATATTTATTTTTTTAATATATAAATTTCCTTCTCTCTTCCTCTGATGTTATAAAAAAATATATCTTCATATTAGTAGTGTATACCATATAAAATGTATTTATATGTAGGTGTTTTATATAACATAAAGTAAGTAACTTATTAGTAATAATAATAGCTTATAAAATAAATATTGCTTCATTATGGTAGATATTTAAAATAGTGATATAAGCAATAATAATAAGCATTGATGTATATGTAATGAAAACTTTGAAAAATCACAATTAATATGTATGATTTATTGAACTTTGTTTATTTTTTAGTTTAAAACGTAATTTAAATTACATTCTAAAATAAATACAATAATACAAATATAGTTTAGATTTGTAAATAAAATATGATTCAACAAAAAAATTTAACTTGTTTTCTATGTCATGATCATTTTATTAACAAATTCTTAACAAATTAAGAGCAAAATTGATATCTCACCCAAGTTTTAGTAATTTATATTTTAATCAAGTGATTCACAATAATTATTTTTAAATTTGATATATTTTTATGTTCCTTTCAATTATATTTGATTGTTATATTAATTGCTTACAATTTAATAGTTTTTATTTTAACGTAAAATTATATCAAATTTTATATTATATTCAGTATCATAGAATTAACACTTAAACATCAAATAAAAAGTATACAAAAATATTATATACTGTATTTATTAGTGATCTCTTCTTGGTATTTTATTAATAGTAAGTTTTATTGCTACATTTTAAATGCTAAGTTAATGATATTAATGTCATTAAAATATAATAAGGAATACATACCATATTTAGAACACTAGTAATATTACTCCATTGCTCTATTATTCTAATATATATTTATATTTATGTATTAAGAAATACAATAATTAAAATAGACAAATTCTTTTTTACAAGATGATATTTACAAAAGATTAATAAAATTTCTACTACTACTACATGAATAAAATTAATCAATAATTTAAGGTAATTTATCAATACCTCAGTAAATTATATAACATACTAATATGATATATGAAATATAAGATATGAAAATATACGCATAACTATGAACACTTTATGTCAAAAACATATTTTAAAAAATTATGTGATATACGCTATACATTTTATTAATAGATATAATAATAATTACATTAACAATCAATTAATAACATTTTATAATTCATCGCATGCATTAAACAATACATATAAACTAATCTGTTGTGATTAAACATTGACCTTGATAACCAAGTTAAATTATTAATTTTAAAATCTTAATAACTACTAATAAAATCTTACAATTACTAATAATAAATCATTTATCAAGATATCATTGCGGTGGTATTTCCTATCTTATACGATCTCTGACCCATATTTGGTATTTATAGTTGGCAGATCTGCATGTGTTCATTATATGTATGAGTAAAAGAGAAAGACGAACAAAGAAAGAAACAGTTTAGTATATTGATAAAAAATAAATAAGTTAGATGGGTTGATTGCTTTTAACCAGCGATCAGTCGAGTTGTCGCATTGGTCATTTTTACATGTAGGTAATATTAAATTCCAAAATAAACATTTATAGTTACTAATGAGACAAATTAGATATTTTATAATTATTAATTAAAAAACACATTTGTAACACCTCATTAATATCTTATTTTATTTTCTTTATTTATTAGATTAACGAATTAAAGAATTTTAGTATTATATTACTATCATTAGTATTCTCCATCAATTTTAATAAGAATGATAGCTGGAAGGATGTTATCTACTCTTGTCAGGACAAGATTAACTTATTGTGCGAAACCACAATTACTAAAACAAAGACAAAATTTGGTAACGTATGTTTATTACTTTTTTAATTTACTTTTTATAAAAATTTATATTCTGATAAATTTGTCCCTCTTGATTAGACTATGTTTCTATTGGTATGTAAGTTATCGAGTTATCAAGTTACAAAAAATATTGAACATATTTCACAAAACAATCGAGTTAGAACTGATAAAACTATATGGAATTTTAATCATGAGGAAAATAAACCTCTATTAGTTTTACTTAGTTGGTTGTTACCAAAGCGTGCACATGTTATGAAATATGTGGATTTATATTTGCAACAAGAATTTGATGTTTTACTAGTATCAATTACACCTTGGCAACTATTATGGCCAACAAAAGGATCTAGGGTGAATATATAAAATATAAGCTACAATATATATTACATTAATATTATCGTAAGTGTGTAATTTAATTTGTAAAGGTCCTCTTTTAGCTGGTTGCAGCAGACTTGATAGAGTTTCTAGCAAAAGAGCAAAATTATCAGCAAATATTGTTACATGGATTTTCAGTAGCTGGATATATGTGGGGAGAAGTATTGGATTTACTGCAGCATGATCCTCAAAAATGTAACGATATATTTAACAGGATTGTTGGTCAAGTATGGGATAGTTTAGCTGATGTGAATGACTTGGCAGTAGGTACACCACGTGCTTTATTTCCAAAAAATGAAATGCTACAAAATATAGGTCAAAAGTATTTTGAGTAAGTTTATTTTTTACATCAATTTTATATGTATTTCCTAAAAATTTTCAATTTGATATATTAATACAATTTACACAGATATCATTTGAAAACTTTTTATAAACAATCTACTCAATATTATATAAGATCTAGTCAATTATTTCATACAAACACGCTGCATAAACCAGCATTAATGTTTGTTAGTAAAACGGATACAGTGAGTTCACTAACGAGTAATCTAAGAGTAAAGGAAAGCTGGGATTCTTTGGGTACAAAAGTAAGATGTGTAAACATATGAAATAATTATGGATGTATAAACTATAGAATTGTATAAAAATGTTTATATTTTTTTCAGACTTATATGAAGATATTTGAAAAGTCCTCACATGTTGAACATTATCGTAAATATCCAAAAGAATATACAGCAGAACTATATGCTTTCTTGAATCAATTAAATTTAATGCAGAAAGAAAAAAAAGTGGGGGTACAAGTTTAAGTGCATATTAAACGTATCAAAAAATATTCAAGGTAATCTTATACATATGTACGAAATATGTAGTTCTTGGATGTAAATATTCATTTTTTACACAAATTAAAAAAAAATAAACTACAAAGTTATTTATTAAATAAATAATTTTGGTCTAACTACTTTTGGCTGTGAACTTTATCTGTGAGTAAAATTTTGTGCAATAATATTAAAAAAGTATAATTTAAAATTATTACAATTGTATAGCAAGAAATAAGAAAGTCGGAAATTCATTTCAGACATAAAAAGTAAAAATAAAAATAGTAAAAAAAAGAAGTACTTTGTGAACTACATATTTTATATTAATATTGAACTTATTAATTGAATTTTGTCTTTAGCAAGCGTATATACACAAATACTTTTTTTTTATAATTATTTTTTAGTATTAATTCACAAGAATTGTACGTGTTTTATGCGCTGACTATTAATATATTATAAAAATATTCATATATTTTTCATTATATTATGTACACTTTTAAACATATTAAATTTTATATTAATTACATTTTATTTCTGTCATGCGAATTTTCATGAATTTTCTGTTTCTTCTTTAATTTGTTTCTTTTCTTTTCTAATATTTCCTCGATTTCATCTGGATCCTTTCCTTCAAGGATAAGTTTCTTGCGTTTGTTAATTAATCTTTTTTCATAGAAGTCCGTCTCATCTAATTTCATTTCCGCTTCTCGTTTAGCAACAGATATCTGTGTTAAGATTGTAACTATTTCCTTATCTAAATCCAAAAAAAAGATTAGATTAATATAGTTCAGATATTTGTTTTACAAAGTATTAAAGTTGAAAATATATATTACCATTAACTTTATATTCTGTAAGTTTTGTACCAATAGCATCCTCAATCGCATGTAACAATTTAATATCGTGTGGAGTTATTAGACTAATTGCCATACCACTTTTGCCCGCTCTAGCTGTTCTTCCAACCCTATGAATGTATTCCTTTGGTACATTTGGTATAATATGATTTATAACTAACTCAACTGTGGGAATATCTAAACCTCTTGCTGCAACATCTGTAGCTATTAAAATTTTTGCATGATTGGACTTAAATTGAGCAAGTGCAGCAAGACGATCTTTTTGTTTTACCATTGCATGTAGAGCTACATTTTTGAATCCAACATCATTTAATGTCATGGATAATACTTGACAATGCCTACAAAATACAAAATTGCAACAAAACATTAATGTTTATGTCATGTGATGTACTATATGTCATGTATTATGATTTCATCTTACTTGCAGGTATCTGTAAATATCATTATAGATCCATCTTTATTACTTGCTTTAAAGGTCATAATTGTTTCTACTAAAAAAGAATCACGCACGTCACTTGGACAAAGTACATAACGTTGATCAAGTTCCTTCACTGTGACTAAACCAGATTCATCTTTTGATTCCCATATGAAGGCCTTTAAAAATAGTTCCAGCTATTCATTTTACAATTTCCCATGTATTTAATCTTTCAAGTATTTATAGAATTTTATAATACCTTACTGGATACTATGTGTTTCACTTTATCGAGAGTATCTGTCATCGTTGCACTAAAAAGAAGCATTTGCTTCTGCTTAGGTAAAGCCTCAAATATGGTTTTCAATTGATCATCGAAACGACCTTCCAAAAGTCTGTCTGCTTCATCTATAACCAGGAACTTAATTTGTTTCAAAGAAAATGTATTACAGCTTTCAAGGTGGTCTGCTAAACGTCCTGGGGTTGCAACAACTATATGTGGACGTTTCGATAACTCTAACCCCTGAGTAACCATGTCCATTCCACCAACAATTACACACATTTTTACACCAATAGATTTTCCTATTGCTGAGAACTGATCGGCAATCTGTAAATAAAAATTGATTTTGTCAAGATATCAAGTGTTTCTCACAAATATACATTTTAAAAGACTACAAGTTTTAGTCTACCTGAAAAGCAAGTTCTCTGGTTGGTGTTAAAACAAGTGCAAATATGCCATATGGTTCTTCAGATAGTTTTTGTAATATAGGAAGTGCAAAAGCAAGTGTTTTACCACTGCCAGTTTTTGCACAACCGATACAATCATTACCATTTAGGATCCTTGGTATACAATTTTGTTGGATTGGTGTGGGGCATGTTAAACCTAAAATAAACAACAATAATAATAATACAACTTCTTTTATACTTAAATTATTACCTATCAATCATTTAAATTATTACCCATAAAACTGCATTGTTTAACAAGCCACGAACTTAAATTTAATGCAGCGAACGTCATTGTGAGATGCGTGAAATATTTTGATGATTAAACAATGATTTCATAAAAGACAAGTTTGATGAAGGTCTTGGTAAATCGTGCACAAGTTCATAGCATTGGTAACACATGCAATAATTATTAATAATTAATCAGTTAAATAAATATTCATATCCAAAATTGTGTGCGAATTTCACTGAACACGCTTCTATTATTCACGAACAGCTTTTGATTTTGACCGAAATTTCAAGTGTACTTTGGACAAAATTAAATGTTAAAAAGATCTTTGTTTAATTCAGAAAATGCAGTCCTAAAAATTCATAAATTATTCGGTTCAATTGGATCGTTTTGCAAACAAAATTTGATCGATTCACAAGCATGAAACCTTAACACCACGAACAGCGAAACAGTAGTACTAGCCGCTATTATTTCTGTCGCACAATATCGTTTTCCTTATTTCATTTGTGCTGTGTGTTAGCAGTGACTAAGAATAGCAAGATTAGTAAATGGTTAGAAAAGTACGACAAGAATAAGCTATGTGCTATCATCTACCGAGACATCAGAACGTTTCATTATCATTGATCGATAAGTGCAATATCTATTCTATCTACAGATGATTATCGATGAATATTTTTTCATTTTTATTGACATCACAATAGATGTCCACACACTTCCATTCTTGTTTCAATTTTAACTACATACATCTCGTTTGTGATTCAAATAGATGATCACGCCACAAACGATTGCAAAACTTTTTAGTCTTAATCTTCGAATTGTTAAAAATCATTCTAACAAACATTGCTATGTCTTTTGAAAGACAGAAAGTACAATAGCGTGCGATAGAGATAGTAATAGCGATTAATTACAATGTTTCGCCACTATATGACACGCTAGTATTAGTGTGTCTGTAGCGACCTATAGTCCCTCGAGTACGAGTTTCGAACACCAACTTGTACAAGCCGCAAGTGGCTGTGCGCCTAGCGTCGAAGTCAATCGATATTCGATGTTAAGCAAACAAAGTGCGGAACACCGCTAGGATGATGGGTGTCCATTCAGCCTAGCGAGTAGTTACAACACCAAGCGTCTGGGGTAAGGAGCCACCAAACCCCACTGGATGAGTCTAGGCACAGCGACTCTGAGACGAAACCACAACCTTTCTTCACCTTACCCACATCATCACTTTCTACATTATCCTCGCATCATCATCATAAACACTTTCAATCCCTTCATGTCTGTAGGAACTTGGAGTAGGTAAGGCAGAATTCTACCCCAGGTTCACGTACAAAAATTATACACGTAATTCTTTGGTTTCTTATCACAATTGCACTTATAAGTTTCTTACAAATCTCTCACCCTTAGTAGCGAATAAACGTAGGAGTACTCTACTTATGGTACTTATGGTATTGATGATGATGCGAGGATGATAATGTAGGAAGTGTTAATGTGGGTAAGGTGAGGAAAGGTGGCGTTTCGTCTCAGAGTCGCTGCGCCGCCTAAGACTCATCAGTGGGGCGCTGATGGCAGCGACCCCTTATATCCCAGGACGCTTGTTGTTATAACTACTCACTAAGGCTGGACGGTCTCCACCACTCACCCATCCTAGCGGTGTTTCCGCACTCTGTTTTACTTAACATCGAATATCGCTAGACTTTGACGCTAGGTACACAACCACTTGCGGCTCTACAAGTCGGTGTTCGAAACTCGTACTCGAAGAACTATAGGTCGCTACATATCAGTGGCAACTTTTACTTCCAACCAGCCATCCCACCGAAAATTTCCGACGAGTCCTTTTACTGAAGAAAACTCATAGATAATTAGCGATTTTTTTTCACAGCGTGGATGGAATTGCGATTTTCTAGAGGAAAAGGGCATTTTTTACATTGAGTCACCATATCCATACATATATTTCTAAGGATCTTTCGAGTTTTTGATCTTTGTGTATACATGCATATTTAATTTAATTTTTATAGTTTAGCACTATGGTTATTTTATCAGCGTATACGATTTATCGAACTTGGCCCAAAAAATAATCTATACAAATATAGACATTGTACTGTTCATGAAATTTATTCTTAAATGCCTCGCCAGAAGCAGATACTACTCGTCTATGAAAGGAACAAAGTTTTATTTCCAAAAGAAAATTTTCTCAGTTACATTTGTCTAATTGAAGCCTTCATTCTCTTCTTTTATACATTTTATACTATTTAAGCTTCGAAATGTACATTTAAATGTTACCTATTTTTCTACGATGGCCTTCGTCGCATTATTTTCGTATTGATGCATTTTTAATTTTTAGGAATATAGAATTATTATTTTTCACAAATTTTCACTGTAAATGTATAGATTATATTATAATATAAGATTGGTGTGAAATCATTTGGTTATAGGACCGAGCAAAGACTCATGATTGGATCTTACGTCTATGACGTATGCTACGTACATAAATTAAACTTCGTTTATGAAATATGTAAATAATTCTCAAAATAAACGCAAATTTCTTGGATTTAAAATATGTTATATTGTAATGCAACAAATAGAAAATTCTGCTATTTGTTTTTTTGTACGATGCATTTTACATACATAAGTCTATTCTTCAATTAATGTTATAAATTTGTTATGGCGTGAGATGAAAGTTCAATACACTTTCACATTTAGTCATTAAATAACAACAAATTGTATTTGTTATTATTATTATTATTATTATATTAGATTACGCAATTCATTTATTATAATACCTTAATTTGTAGAAAATAATAATTGTAATATACATTCCTATGTTTTTTTTTTTTCGACCAATAAAGATAATACAATTGTAATAATGATAATACATTTACAGAGTACGTCAGAGCTATAAATTCTTTGAATGATTGAAACTAATTCTTAAGATCTAATTTACAATTAAACTTTACTCCTCAACATGTATATAAGTTTTATATATATGTATATAGTAATTATCGTAGCATTGCACTTTATATCGTGGAAATTTAAGAAAATTCAAATACCAAGTTCAAAGAAAGGAAAAACTAACGTGTTGTAATGGCAGTGAGAGAAAAGCTGCCCGGCGTAATGAGAAACAAAAAATATTTCTGTATTGAAAGAAGAAACAAAACCGTGATAAACACACGAGTACATTGAGCATGCCTCTATGGTATACTCGCGTATGTGTTCGTTCGTATCTACATCATTTGCAAACGTTTGTTTACGTTCGGTAAGGTGTACATTTCAAACCACCATCGACTTAAATTTTCCAACTCCGCTAACGTGTACGATTAAACTAATACACACATAATTTCGATTAACCGATTTCTTTAGCCGATATAATTTTTCTGCAGTTTTCAGTCGCAAAAAAACATGCACGTTTAAATAATCGTCGCTGAAAAAAAGTTTCGGTAATGATGCTTCTGCTGTTTATGACGCAGCGATTAACTGTACTAGTAAAAAGTACTAGACTAACTTTATTAATAAAGTTACTATTTCGTATGCAGCACTAGCTTTCATTACGTACAACGATGAAGAGTCAATTTCGAATTTTTTCCCCCTTCATCCTGACAGATGAAATTCCAAATCTTCGTAATCTGAAATAGTCTAGAAAATCAATTTTTTTCTCCTCTCTCTCTCTCTCTCTCTCCTCTCTTCGTTCCTCGATAAACAGTTTCTCTGTTATTTTTACAAATCTAGAAATATACGTACAGTTCAATAATAATTCGGTCTCGATGCAATTGGTATTTAATAATTCGCTAGAATCTTAGAGAAAAACAGTCACTACGACGCTATGTTAGAACAAGAATGTTTAATAGAATAATATAGTAGGTTTATCACAAATTTTATATTATATCGTAGATCGATTAACGGGCATATTATCGGGAGGAAATTACATCTTACTTTATACGATTAAGTCCAAAAGACATAACGTTCTCACATAAATTAAATGCTCTATTATATATAATAAAAAGAATAGTCGCCGCTGTCAATGTTAATTTGTTAATTCATTAATTTTTTTTAACTGGATTTTGCAAATACAATTTCCTGTTTATATATATATATATAATGTTCAGTATATAAATACCGAACAATTTTTACAACTGGAACTTGTTCTGTTCTACTTGAAAAAAATTCTATTTTCATTAGCCGCCGCGTGCATCTTCCTAATAAACGCAGAACGCAAAAGAAAATACACACAATTACAAATGTACAATAGTATACTCACAACAAATTTGCTTTTAACTACGGCTATAAGAACGTGTTAGATGAAAATTTAACGATAAATGGATAAAGAAACATTGCGATATACATTAAGTGAGTAAGTTAGCGTGATTAATTTCAATTTGTCAATTTATTAGCCGCATCTCAAGTGTATTTCAATTTTCTTCAAAATATTTATTTAACAATCGTTATCGTTGGATAAGAGATACAGCAACAAAGATATATCAAAGTTAAAACTTAGCCAACATTTAATGTTAAACGATAAAATTATTTTAATTAAATTGTAATAATTCATTCTAATAAACTTGCATGGAACCATGGCTGAATCATTTGAAATTCATTTCTAAAAATTAAAATACACTTAAAAGAGCGACAGGTTAGGTCTTTAAAATTTTCATCTTCACATATCATGAACATGTCATAAATAAGTAAAATAAGGGAAAACCTGCGACTTAAAAATCTACTTTTCGTGTATTAATTTTTATCGTGATTTCACTATACAAGTCTAATTAATCATGAAAAATAAATAACGTTTTCTTTTCCTTTACAACATCTTTTGAAGTGAATATTTACGTATGAATGGTAAAATCTGATGATATATATTCTGTTCGAAAAATACGAACATCTTAATAATACAAGTGAAAGTGGGATGAATTTTTTTTTTTTATGTCGCTCAAGAGCAAAGAAGTAACTTAAAAACAACTTTGTCCGCTAAATTTCTTCAGATCTGAATTGTTTATTCTAACGTCTTCTAATTAAGCTTAACGCTTCCATTTCATTTAATTTGTTTCACAATTGAAACAACAATCTCTACCAATTCAATATAAAATTCCGTTCCTCTAAATTCGTGTGAGAAACTCCTATTGAAAAATTAATTATTTATTTGCATTTATTTTTTAATTTTTCTTTTTTTAATTAACCCTTTTTTAATTTATCTCACTAAATAAAATGTCTTCATACTGTTTTCGTTACTGTACGTAAACGATGACATTTATATGCAATGCATTTGCTTTATATTTGCACTAAGGCATTGTAACATGTGCATCGATATACGAAATACAGTAATGAAATTTCCTTACACGCGTTGTGTATTTGTGTTTTGTCTGTTATATGATTTGTCTATGTATGCATACGTGCATGTATGTGTTATCATTTATAATACATGCGCATATACATACACACGCGTGTACGTACATACAAGCAATATTTACAATTTTTTTTCACGATAGTTAATCACGCATTTTGAGGACAGCAGTTAATATGTGTTACCTAATATTTAGCTAATTTAATTATTGAATTATTATTACTATTATTATTATTATTATTAATATTATTATTATTATTATTATTACTATTATTATAATAACTATTACAACTATTATACATAGTATAAGAGTATGCTTTTTTTTTCCTTTGTCCTCATCTACGGAAATAGTAATTAGATATAACTCATTACATTCTTTCCTTGTTTTTAATACAAAGAGAAATCGCTATTTCCTTTATCCTATATATGTGAAATTTGAATATGATGTAAATATTTCATTAGTAAAAAATAGTTTAATAATATAAACTCATTAATATCGAAAAAAAATCGACGATGAAAGACTATATGGATTTCAAAAATTTGCTCGCTATATCGAAAAGGTAGAAATAAAATACTAATTTTATTATGAATGAATATGTCGCAATGAACTAATCACTTCGTTAACTACTTCGAATAACACGACATCAAATTTTCAAAACAAATGTTCACTACAAATCAATGTACATCCCTATTTTTATTACTGTTTTCCATCTTAAGAAAAATTTTACTAGGCCTTCAATTATTCGTTGTTAGAACGAGAAGCAAGACAAAATTTAAATAGTAAAAAATAACACAAAATCGGAACACAATAATTTTATCATATCAGATATCTGTAAAGTTTAACGATGGCATATCGCTTATCGCTTAAACTACAAATAAATTCACAATATTACAAGATAAGGAGCCCTGTTGTTACATGTCTAAATTGTATTTATAATTTGTTCCAGGTATGGAAAATCATTATTTATAGTTGTTAAGAATGTGGAAAGTCGATAGTATGAGTTTCATTGCCAAAAATTAAACGCAACCTCTTCATAGGCGGTGGAGGAGGATCAAGATTTAATTCACGTTTCTTGTGTCGTCTTTCACGATCTCGAGTTTTATGTTTTTTCTTATGTCTGCTTCTTTCCACACCCTCGACACGTAATACTTCGTACTCGGGTTCGTAACTATCTTCACTTAAACTTGTACCCGATTCTACAATGTCTTCTAAAACTGGTGAACGTTTCATGCGTAGGGTAAGTTTTAATCTGCCAGTTCTCTCTGGAGTGGTTGGACACACTTGACAACTATTCATCTGCCATTGATACTCCGAAGGAGCTGTTAATTTTTGTGCACTATCGTTACTACAAGCTGATAGTCTGTAATGAACAATTATTTTTTTTTTTAGATATAAGATTTCGTAAAATAATAAAACTCAAAATATAGAGATATAAAAATGTGTATACCTTTTTAGACTTTCACTATCTACAGAATTTTCTCTCGATCGGCTATTACCATCTGACTCTAACAATTGATTCTGATTGCAACTTGGTGGCCATGGTTCTTGTGGAAGTAATACTGGCGGTTCAGCTTTATTATACTCATCGTTGTATTGCATTTCTTGCAAATGTGATGTGAGCCCGGGTGTATGACGAGTTTCCTGTTTACGCCGCATTATTGACGGTATTCTAATATCTTCCAAATTACTTTCTTTCTCGCTAAACTCATAAATATCACCTTGAATACCCGAATCGTCATCAGCTACACCAATTTCACTAGTCGCTAATTTTTTTCGATCTCGTTTCTGGCTTCTTGTCAACCTGCTTTTTGCTTTTTCTGCTTTGCTACGAGTTTTTGAAACAGATGTAATCATATTATCAGTAATTTTATGTTCTATAGCAGTTTCTAACTCTTCTCTCAGTTCAGAAATTGTAGATTTCTTCTGGCTTAAAAGTTTTCTTCTATTTTTGTGAGATCTTAGTGTTGCGTGTAATGAATCATTTTTTTGTGTAGGTTGATTTAAAATAGTGTTATGAGTATCCCCTAAATTACATTTGTTAATCTCACTATAATTATTAGTTTCCATTGTACTGAAATTTTTATTATTTTCCTTGTAAGGATCTACCCGAGAATGTAGATTTTCTGTACATGTATCAATAATTTCAGTTTTTTCAGATTTTATTTCTGGCGTTTCAACATTAACTACATATATATTATTTTTCATGATTAAATCATTTTGGCAATTTCGTTTATTATTTTCTACATCTGTATCCTCTTTTACAAAAGTCATTTTACCATGTTCATTGTTATCTGGAGACTTATTAGAATCCGAAACGAATCTATCAAATTTATTTGCTTCATTTTCTATTAAGTATTTGACCAAGGTATTTGAATTTATAGAATCATTTTTCTTTAAATCTTTATTGCATTCGTGTATATCAAACGTAGATACTGTTGTACCAGTTTCTATAAAATTCGAATTTTTAGGAGAGTTTACATGAATTAAAGGTATTTGTTCTTCACTTTTGCAAGAATAATCCTTATACACGGGCTCGTGATATTCTTCTTTTTCTTCTTTTAAAACTTTCTGTTCAAGTTCTAAACATTTTTTTATGCAAGTGTTTGACTTTATCGATGTTGCAGAAATATTATTTATATCTTTGGAATTTTCAACTGAAGACAAATTGTAATGACAGATTCTTGATTGATGATTTTCTTGTGGAATTATCTCACTCTCAGTTTCGTGTAAATCATTTAATCGGCTTTCAGGTATGGAACTTATATGAACTGAATCACAGGAATTTGTACTATAGTGTTCTTTTTTAGAATTGGAAGTATTAATATTACCTACTGAATTAGAATTAATTTCTATAATAATATCAGGTATTTCCTTTTCATTTACCAATTTGCTATTTAGTTCCTCTTTGTTATTTTTAACGAATGTTAAATCTGAACACTCCCTTTGAAGATTAGAACAAGTTGATTCTTCCATTATATCGTGATGTGAGGTCTGAACATGGCAAACGTTGTTAGTTTCCTCATCTAAGTTGTTTTTTGAATGAGTCTTATGTAATCTAGAATATATAATTTCTTCATCTACTCTATCAGAATCTTCTTTACGATGACTTATGTCTTCTAATTCAATAGTATTTATTATGGAACCATTTAAACAAGGAGATCCAGCTTTTTCGGAAACTTTGTTCTTTTTTGATTCAGTTCTTTTATGGAGTCTACAAATGAAGTTTTTAATGCATTACTTTCATTTTATAACTATAATTTATAATGTAAATTGTGAGATAAAGTATCTTACCTGGATGACCGAAGCGTATGATTTTTAACATTATTCTGATGATCATTGTTACTGTCAAATTTGCACAACTGTTTATTTCGTAGATTTCTCGTCACAGAATTTGTAATGGCAATTGGGTGAGGTCGAGATGTTTGTAATACATTTTCCCCATTATTTGTAATAGGTTGCTGTTGAGCAATATCAGAAAAGCGACATCCTTGTGCAATTAATAACTCTGCATCATATTTTGTCAATCCCTTTCTTCTTAATTCTTTCATACTAAGACTTTGTGGCGCTACAGCAGCATTACCGACAAGCACTGCATTTCTTTCCGTGAGGGCAGTATCAGCTTGTTGTTTATTACGACCTAGCGGCTGTTGTCTATGTTTCGTACGATTGATACGATTGTCTGTTTCACGTAAACGATAGCCTGTATATAGGAATTTTCAAAATGAGTATACATACATATTGATATTATTTTATATTCAGTTCTTAAATTCAGTACCGGATGAAAGTTCTTCTCCTGGTTTTTGATTTGCAAATGCTCCAGTTCCCCTTCTTTCACACGTTTCACATTCACAATAACAGTTACCATCTCCAAAAAAATCTTCCCCATAGAAACAAGTAATTTCTTCCCCTACTTCAATGTCACGAAGAACCTTAACACAAGCTGTATCTCTCCCTGTTGCCACGAACTGTATTTTATATGAATCAAGTAAAATAAATTAATCTTTATATCACTGATATAAAAAGAATATATATGAATATATAAAATAATGATGAAATAATGATCTATGTAAATTTATTAACCTTGCAATTGGCTCTACAGTCATGATTAATGTATGCTGCTGGACCTAACCATAATTGTGCACAATTTTTTCGGCAACTAAACATAACAGAAAAATCATTTTTTCCTGGATGTAATAATGCTGCTTCTTCCTAAAATAACATTTTAGATATGCAATAAATAAAAACTATTCAGTATTTTACTTTGTATTTTGTATAAGAGATTAAACAAACCTTTTCACTAAGTTCTGCAATACAACCAACAAGACAAGATATTTTATCATGTTTTAACCACTTGCGAGTTGCACAAATTTTGGCACCTTTCTGACCTTCTAGACTATACCTATAGCATGGTTCTATTGCAAATCCAGAATCTTTATCAAAAACCTTTAAATACCTGTAAATCTATAAAAATGAAATAAGATTAGATTGATAGATGAAATAAGATAAAATTGGAAGTTTTCAATTCACGTATACAACTTACATGTTTTTCCAAATTTATTTGTTGCTGTTTACATTTTGTATGAGGAAGTCTTGCGCCCCAGTCACCACCCATTAATTTTTTATATGCTTTCTCATAATTTTGCGTTTGGATAAATTCACAAATAATTTTGCGAAGTTCATCTTTATTTGCTTTTAACGGTCTATACCTTTATTATTAAATAATATAAAATTATTTACATATCTCAATCTCTTGCTACATCATATCATGCAAATTCAAAGTAATATCTAAAAATCAAATACCTGATATTCATTTTATGAGTAGTAAATCCTAGGTAAGGATCTAATACGAGAGAAGTAGCTAGGTCATCATTGTCAGAAAGTTCTTTGGGTGTCATACCACCACAACTACCAACATTGTTGGGTTGCATCTTTGCAGCCACTAACCCACCTAATCTTCGCTCCTGCTTCCGTATTATAGCTACTGAGCCTTGAATGGATAAGCAATCCACCACCATTCTGCAATCTGTACTTTTACTGTAGAAATAAAAAATTAATTGACAGTTAGTTCAAACAGTTGAATGAAAAGATCGTTTCGTTATTTAAACATGTAAATGCATATTTCAAGAATGCTTTTATACAAAGTGGCAATGATTTTTTGCAAACCTTGTAATTTATAACATGAACCAACACGTATTCTTAAACTCTTGGTAACAACAAAAAGGTAAAAACTGATTTTCCAATGTGTCGTGTTAGAAATAACAAAATTGACAATTTTTATACAATATTCCTAGTAGTATAGATACAGAAAGTGTTTCTCAAATGACATACAACGAAATAAAAAAAAAAATACACAAACGCTCACAGCGGATGCACGTCAGTTCGCGAATATAAATTAAATTGATTATCATTTGAACAGGGTGTGAGAAAAATAAATAAAAAAAAAAAAAAAAAAAAATGTATTCTTTCCAAAAGGATGTACACTACAAGAAAAATTTTTGAATTACCGTCAATTGTCAATCGGTTATTTCATTTCCTTCTCGAGCTGGAAGAAGGTCAAATAACGAAAGGCTATGTGTAATACGAGTCCGAAGGAACAGTTTCTCATGATAATATGCTATTTTGATAATATAATAGAAATATCTGGCGATCATGCTCCAAACGCTAATGGCGCAGACGAGCCAGAGCGCTCTTAGAGGCACGCTGCGCTCCAAATTAACAAGAGAATTTACCGTTTTGTTACGCCACTAGAGAACGGTCGAAGTTATTAGATTCTCGTCGGACAGTATGCTCACCTTTATGAAGCTCTCCTGACAACAAAAATCACACATTTTGCTAACAATCCCTGACTTTTTTCGTGTAAGACGAAGACGCGTTCGGATCTATCATGGCAGATCTACTATACCATATACACATTTCCTATTTTCGTAATGCGAGGAGAGCCGTCATCGTGCTGTGTTTCGCGATTCGTTCACAACATGGATGAAAACCAGTACTTCCCTCGTCGAAACTAACCGAAAAACAACGATCGTTTAATTGAAAATATAATCGAGAAAACCCATGTTTTGGAACTACAGACTGTCGCGCACGTCATACATGTCTCGAATACAACGATCTAGTAACTTTCCTGATTTACCAAACTACGCGAATTTCGGTAAAATAATTCAGCTTTGAACTCTGTTTTGAACGTTCGTGAATAATTCGCACGAGGTTACATAGTATTTTGTCGTTTCACTGCGATCGAGGAACCGAAGGCGGTACATGCAACACGATGAAGGAAACTTCGATCCATTCTTTTTAAATCAATCTGTATTTGAAGTAATAAAGCGATCGCTTTAGTAATGTAGAATTTTCAAAGCTGTAGCACTGTGTTTCTATGACAACCAATATCAATATCTAGTATTTCCTAGTTAGAATAAGTAACGAAGTTGCCTCGTTGGAAATTGTAGTTTTTAGGATGTTGCAATTTTTTTTTTTTTTTTCGTACATATATCGTCCAATCGTATTTTTACAAAGCTATCTCATTTTAATTGTACGATTGTACTCGAGCATTTATAAAGTAATAGATTTTAGGTTATACCCTAAAATGCTGTTATTTATGTTGTAATATTAGTGTACAATTAGAGAATATTGAAATAAGCAACGTAAGAAAGTGCAGTATGACTGCAAGATGATTTCCACATGGTCGAAAAATTTTTACTAGAGTTTAATTGAAAGGGAACGAATTGTGAAATACATGAGATTTCAAAATTATATCATGATACTTCGATTGTTCCTTTGTTACCGATCAATGAATAATTCCTTTGTCAATTTTATATAGATATAAGTGCGCATGCGCGTACGTTCAGAAACTGAGGAACTTGTAAAAAAGAGAGATGTGAATCTCATTGTGTAAATAAAAAAAGTTACAAGATACAAATCGCATTACTAATTTCTAATCAACAAATAAATACCCCTTATCATTTCCACTCCGATAGCAGATAAACATTCAAATCAGTAGCAAAGGCAATAGAGGAATACCACGTGCTAACCTGTCATTTCAATTGCATTTTAAAATTCATTATTATTTAGATATTAGAGAAAGATGGCATTTGAATTCGGTGAAAAAGAAAATCAACAATTAAATAATATTAGAACTGGTTTAATTGACTTTGTTTCTGGATCACTTGGTAACATGATTCTAAATACATTATTACTTTTAGTCCATTTTAATAATTCATAGGAAGTAAATAAATAATTTGCAAGATGAGTCAAATTTTCGAATATCTATAGTTTCCATAAGTAATTCATAAAATTTATTTCACATTATGAATCTAAATTTTTTTGTTGGAAATTAGTTAATATCTTCATCGTTAAAAACAAATAAATTAAGGGATTAGTAGAAATAAACTGTTTACTTACAAGAGATAAATTATTTTTTCTACTTCGTGTCGTTACATTTCATTTTGATTTAAGGTGGAATAGCACTTGTATATGTTGGACAACCGTTAGATACAATTAAGGTAAAAATGCAAACCTTTCCTTCCATGTATAAGGGAATGGTTAATTGCTTTTTACAAACAATGAAAACAGATGGAATAATACGCGGTTTATATGCAGGAACAGTACCTGCATTAGTTGCTAATGTTGCTGAGAATTCAGTATTATTTGCTGCATATGGTGGATGTCAAAAAGTTATTTCTAACATTTTAGGTAATATAATTTTTTTAAGATGTAGTACAGGTAAACTACAGGTTTCAATTAATAAGGAAATTTTATTTATATAGATATTAAGAAAGTAGAAGATTTGACATCAATGCAAAATGCCTGTGCTGGATTTTTTGCTGCATTTTTCTCCTCATTAACATTATGCCCCACAGAACTTATAAAATGTAAGCTGCAAGCAATAAGAGAAGTTCAAATGGAAACTAACTCATCATTATCTGTAGTTAAGGTAGTTACGACAAAAAAAAAAAAAGTATATGAAATTCATAGAACTCAAAAAGAAAAAATGATTTTTTTCAAAAAAAATATTTTTTTAGAAAAAAATTGGACCATGGGGATTAACGCGTGAAATTCTTAAAGAACAAGGCATAAGAGGTTTATTTACTGGTTTGTCATCAACTATAGCACGTGAAATGCCAGGATATTTCTTTTTCTTTGGAGGATATGAAGTAACCAGAGAACTTTTAAGAAAGCCAGATGAAAGTAGGAATGACATTGGATGGCAGAAAACTATGGTAGCTGGTGCTGTTGGTGGGACTGTTTTATGGCTTGTAATATTTCCAGCTGATGTAGTTAAAAGTAGGATACAGGTTTGTCTTATTTTACATAACTTAAATGATATGATTTCAAAATGCAGACAAGTTTAATTAATTTTTCTTTTGAAGGTGAAAAATTTGAAAACTCCTGCATTAGTAGTTATGAAAGATATCATAAGAAACGAAGGTATAAATTCTTTGTACAATGGTTTAAAACCAACATTAATAAGGACAGTGCCAGCAACAGCTACATTATTTGTAACTTATGAATATACTAAAAAAATAATGCTTGATTTTTTTGAGAATAGTTGATAGAAAACAAATATATTTTTTTAAATATTATAGAAATTATATAAAATAGATTGTAATAAATATATGTAAAACCAACTACTAAAAAATTTTTTATTATAAAACATAATATGATTTTTACAATAGTGATAATTTAATAATAACATTATTGTATGTACAATACTAATTACTTTTTGGGAGCTGAAAAGTAAGGAAATACGAATTTTTAAAAATTCATTATCTAAAGAATATTTTTTAAGAAAATCAGGTTTTAAATAAATTAGACTGTATATCTTCATAAATTAATTGTCTTAAATGTTGTGCTTTACTTTCTTCATCCATACACTCCCAGATATTTTCACAGATCTATAAAAATTATAATGATTACATTAGTATATATACATTATTCAACAATTCTTAAATATCAATTATATATTATTATAAAAAAGAAATATATAATTTTGGATATTACTGGAATTGGTGTATATCCGATGATCCTCAAATGTCTCCATTTCCTATAGATATATCCAATATAACGATCAGCATTTGCTACTTTTACTGAAGCAGACAATGGAACTAAAACTTTCCATTTTATATTTTTTAATTCATCAGTATCTACATTTTTAATTGAACCTAACGGCATTGCCGATAAAATAGATCCAATTTCAACAGGATTGTTATGTGTATCCAAACCAAAAATAATATCTTTATTTAAGTAATGGGGTAAAATATAATCACTATATAATTCTATCCCCAATTTGTTCTAAAACAACAAGATTAATATATTAAGTATGTTTTATTATTTTGAGTGTTTTCTCTCTCATATATAGTGTACCTTGCAGATAAATGCAATTTCCATTCTTAACTTTGCATTGACATCCTGTTTATAGGTTTCAATCTCATGATTACAGTTTTGCTACAATAATAAAAAAATTTTAATAAATTTAGTTATTTAAAGTAAAATGTAAATTATTAATTTATCAGTGTCTCTTAACCTTTTGATTGTCACAGACCTCTGTTAAATAATTTTCTATCATCACAAACTTCCAAGATATATTTTCAAATATATTATCTGCTAATTAAATAATATATTATTTTATTTAACGAGATATTATTTGAAATAACTATTAATTAAAATAATTCATTATTTCAAATTGTTATTTTTTATTTTATTCTGCAGGGGACGCATTCTTCCCTGGTCTTGATCCTACAGCCAGGTCTAATAAATCTAATGTGAGAGATGCATCCCTGGGAAATACCGTTAGGCTAATGTCGTTAATTGCGAAAAATACTAACTTTTATTTAACGGTACATTTTGGCCGAAAATGAACTGCCTTCCCAATCACATAATTGGAAAGGACACAAAGAGAATTGGCATTCTATAAAAAGTCGATACTGCAGAAAATTTCTCTACTTGCTATTAGTCTACTTGGCTACTGATCTATTTTTCGCACAATTGCTCCGGATATTACCTCTTCGCGTCCGTCATTACTATCCTCACCGCATATATCCAAAATTCTAAATAAAATATTCCCAGTCTGCTTTCTTACAATTATTTACTTGTGTATGTGACGACTTTCCAAGAGGCTGTGGATCACAGGTTAAGAAACACTGCATTATACTTTACCTTTATTAAATATGTATACAAATTGTTTTCGAGCAATGGACCTTTGTAGTAAGCCAAATCTATTTTAACTGAGCAATGTAACATCAACCATTCATTTGTCAATAATTTGAGATTACTGTTGTATGTCTTTTTTACAAAATTGGGCTCAAATACGAATTCAAGTAATTCTGGTACGTATATATTTCTTATTGTTAAGAACGTCAAAATACGTATTAATGATATTGGATATCTACATTTAACATACTCATTAATTTTTACATAATTAATATATATGTATGTAATATGGAAAAAAAATTTACCTATTAATTTCAGCTGCTCTAGTAGTGTTATAAGTGAACATCATTTCATTCACAAATTTATGGCATATATTTGTATAGTAATCTGTGATGGGAGCAACTGTACATATGCTATAAATAACTCTTTCAATATCTTTTAGTCTTGCAGTTTTCATTTCTTTTTCTAATCTAAATTAATAGTTTAAATTAATAATTCTCTTGTTTTAATGAATATATTTTTATAATTTCTTTTTTCTGCTTAACTTACCTTTGAAGAATCTTATTTGTTAAAATTTCATCATATATGCGTAATGATCCAAATGTATGTGTTGTATGGATTAAACACTTCAATGATAGCCGTGGTATTTCATCACGTAAGGACAACAGTAATTCTTGAAAGTCTTTCAAACAATGTTGACAGTCACTATATCTATGCACACATTTATATATGCTAATTACAATAATAATTATTACAAAAATTTTTGTATACGTAATAAATTATTTAATTACCTAATTAGTTTCATAATTGATGCCAAAGAAGTATCATCTATAATATCAATTTGTTTAATAGTCTTAGCCATTATTTGTGGCATTAAAAGTCTATTTTGAATTCTTCTTTTCTTTCTAAAAAAACCTCTTGCTATTATCCCTAATTCATCTCCAGTTAGATCACACATGCATTCTTGTACACGACATTCAAGTTCGTACATATTTATAGAACTTATATTAACTACAGGTAAAACAAAAAACAACTGAACCAGTGATTTTGCAGAAAGTTTATATACTTTTGTAGCCAATTTTCTCATTGCACGCCATAAAAAATCAGAATTTAAAGGATCAAGCTGATAAAATGCATCAATTATTAATAAAATCTCCTCAACGTTTGGCCCATAAAATCGTTTTATACATTCTGTATTTAATGTTTTTATAAATTTTTTATAACAAATTGTTTTTATTATCATCTCCTGTAACGCAATTGAACATTGCAATAAAATTTTTATTTGTTGATCCTGTAATTCTGGAAGGCATTTAGTACAGGCTGTAAAAATGCTGTCATAAAGTGGTATTTCTAAATGGGTGCCACTTAAATAAGAGTATGTCAACTTCTTGATAGCATTAATAATGTTGTTTGGAGATTCGTGAAACCAATTCACAGTATATAAATGATCTATGTCCTCAGAGCTAACTATTGCGGTTGTTTTAATTGGTGGAAAAATAGTTTTATCATAGTATGTGGACTCTTGAAGAATCGAACGAATAATTTTATGTTCAGGTATATACATATTTTCTTTTGTAGAATCATTTTGGACAATGTCAGTAACTGCAACCATTTTATATGTACGGAACGAAATGAAGTATTTACATTTTTCTATAAATCTTGGACATACTTTCAAAGCCCATGTATGATTAATCATACTTATACAATTTAATTTATTACATAACCTTAAAGTCATTGTTTCAGTTCACTTAAATTCGTTCTTGCAGTAACATCCATTCATTGGACTTTATTAGAAGATACACAATTTACTAAATCTTTTACACTTCTAACTAAAACCTTTTATACAAAGCTGAAACGTGAGCCAAAAACGTTTCATATGCCGGCAATTACAATACACAGTGCACGAGATGAACAGCTGAGAGCTATATACTAGGGATGTAGAGTCATGTATACATGTACGTAAATTCACTAAATGCTAATTGTAAGTAAAAAATAATTATTACTTTAATCTATAGAATAAGTAAGATTAAAGATTTTAATTAATCGTGTATTCCTAAAGATATAATTTTCATTTTCTAGAAAAAGAAATAAAACTACTTTGTTTGAAACCTTTTGCGTATTACGTATGCAAATAAGTACTTAGATGTACATTTGATATATTTATATTTTTATCTTTTACCAATAATTGTCAGTCAGTGTTATTAATTTAAATTAATTGCGAGACTAAATTAATTATATGCTATACGTAAAAACAATTTGTACTTTGAACGTAGTATCAAATTATGGTTATTCATTTGAAAAGAAATTGTAATACTACTGGATTTTATGTGTAAAAACTATTAATAAGTTTTTAAACATTTTTTCATAATGTTTCCGTTTTTTACCCCGTTTATATTATTTTATCTTTATTTTTCTAGAAACAAATACTATTGCTGCTTTGTTGCTAAATTCCTCTGTTAAATATAATTTCAAAAATAGTTAGATAAATATAGTAATTTATTGTAATACTTATAAAGTTTAAAGTGTTACGATTTACGTCAATGGTTCTATATCTCAGTACATTTGAAAACTTTACAAATACATAAAAAATACATTAAAATATATCAAATTTCTTAACGATAGAAATGTTTTCGTTAAGAACGCATTTCATTTTTCAAACGTTCCAGAAACAGTCTCTGTTATTTGTTTTTTTGATGTATTTATATACAAGGTTTTAATAGATAGACTGAAGGTTATAAAGTTATGCTATATATTTGCGATGAAATGTAAAATGATATTTTAATTTCGTATTCTCTATTTTAGTTAGGGTTATCTGAGGAGTTGCTTCGAATTTCAAATATATTTTCTTATGCTGCAGCACATGTGTATTGTTAGTAACGTGGATACAATGGTTTAATATCAATTGTAATTGGTTCAAAGGCAATGAAGAAGCAAAGGTGGTTTACTTGAAGAGAAAAGACCGGAATAAATAAAAAGGCGGCAGCAGAGCAAAAATATTTTTAAAACAAAAGTAAAAGTAAAGGAAGGGAGATTTTATTTTGCGTATGTAGAGCGAGAAAGAGAGAGAAAGAGAGAGAGAGAGAAGATTAAATGTACATTTCTGAAATTCGGAATGATGAAAAATGCTTGCGCGAGCCGAGAAGATTTTTATTTCCTGATCATTTTCGTTCAATAAGTATCCGAAGACTCCAACTCTGACAAAAAGTTCTCCATTAAAGCTGGCTTTCGTTTATTCATTTCGTCGCTCCTTAATTTATGACGAACAGATCGCGTGATGTCCTTTTGCAGATCCTGCAACAGATTAAGAAGAAGATATCAGATATGCTGCTACTTTCGTAATACTTTTGTAATACTTTTCTTAATCAATTTTCATATCGATGAAAGAAGAAAAAAAAACTGTACATCATCAAGTAAAGCAATTAAGAGTCTCGACTTGGAGAGCGGAACATAAGGAATACGACGTGCTTCTTCAAACTCCTTGACGCAATTTATGTTCCCTTTACTTCCTTCGCATCCTTCGTATATGATCGGGAACATCGCACGTTTCCTCGACATTGTACCTCTGCAGGTGTGATGGAACGGGTACAATCTACGAGTATGTACAAAAAGTCTCATTAAGTCATCAAGTTTGATAAAAAAAAAAAAAAAAAAAAGAAAATATGTGCGCATTGTATACGTACTCGCAGTCCACACCTTCGCTCCGAACGTGAAAATAACAGAGCAGGATGGCAAAAATGATCATGCATCGTTGAATGAGCGCCACCGGCTGTAAATAATTTCGACGATCGTCATTATTAATTTATAAAGAAAATTTTCAATACGAAGAGAAGGACGTGTTAGTTCTATAGATATGCGTATTATTTTTATTAATTGTCGTTTGACTTAAAGAAATAAATAAGCAAGTGGCACTAAATTTCGTTTATTTTCCTTCCAAGGGAGGGAAGATGATTTCATTCTGAGTCAGATGTCAGATCTCCTTTTATTTTCAATTTGTTGGAGGCAAGAGGGAGGACAAGTTCGCAGGATATCGCCCAATTTGCGCCAACGTTGTTCTCCTCGACGTCTCGTTATTTGCTGGCGGATGTTTCGAATGCAGCGCTTGATAATCTCATTGGACGGAAAATATTGGCCGCCGAAACGTATAAGAATTTCAAAAATTTAAGTGGACGTACGTAAGTTCGAGCATTGACTTACCAATGATAAAGAACACACGAGAAACTGCGAGATAGTACGAGGTCGAAGTTTATAAATTTTCCGGTGACTTTTCCTGTTTCACATTGTTGCGCATGCCTTGATAATTTGCTTTATAATTTTATACCCTTCAAAAATAGTAAAATGACAGACCCGCTTTGCATTCAATTCGTGATTCAGCCTCGAAAGTGAATAAGTGTTTCTTTTTCTTTTAATTTTTAAAAGTACGAACGTCGAATTACAAATTACTTTCGACATCCTCGCTATTTGAACGTAATGATCAAGTAATTTGCCCCAAGTGATTCATTTCTAATCCGTGCTGATCAACCAATTTCCAGTTTACGTAGGCACAAGTGTTTCCTGGGAGGATATGTGCTGTCGCGACTCGATTTAGATTTCGCTGGGCATGTTTATGAAGAGAGGTTGTAAAAGCAATGTAAATGGATGATCCGATGGTTATCGATTGAACTCGCATAGTTTAACTTTGACCGATAATATTATGATACACGAGTTAAATCTTCAGTTGCTCTGTCGAGTAATTTCAATCAAGACGAAGACGAAGCATGATGATTAAAGTCTTTTTTTTTTTTTTCAACGACAGGAACAGACGAGTTATTATGTTATTAGTTTTTCTTTTAAATTTTTCTTTTAAAATCGTTACTTATATTACAATATATACTTTGTTACTTTCGTACTAACAATGGCTATAAATTCGTCACTCGGCGAAGGAAATGTCTCTCGACGAGTTGATTTTTGCTCGCGATATTGTTCGACGACGTTTGTGCATTAATTTGGAAATTTATCAAAGGAACCGCTGAATGGGGTGTAGGCAGTAGGTGGTGACGCGCGATATATTGTTGCACATGGTTAATTTTAGCTAATTGGTAATTGGTCTATCGCAATTGCAGAAATTATGCAAATTGATCGACAGTTGACGATACCACCCGAAAAAGCCAGCAGCAACTATTATAGTTACGTCACCGTTCTCAACCTCGTACGTACCAGAAAGACGCGCAATCTCTCCCTTTCCTTCAAAAATCACCCAATATTGTATAATATGTATTTTCCTTTGCCAAGGAAGTTCTATATACGAAACGATCGAAACCCGAACGTTTATTAACCGCAAAGGGCACAAACTTGCTTATAGTTCATTTGTAATGACGTAATACGGGGTTGTTTGCTGCTTTAACGCGAAATGTAAAAAGAAGCCGATGGCTGATGGATTTTAATTAAGAAAGATTGTGGCGGGCTTCGATAATGAGCGCGTGTTCTACAAACTCAGATGTATCACGGTATTTTCACCTTTTGAAATGTTTCACCTTATGAATGCTGACATTCTCGTCTGTATTTCCTTATTAAGAAACACATTGTGTTACTATAGCGTCGCTATAATGCACGATCTTATTGCTTGTTACAAATTTGATATTATATATATATATATATATAAAGTAGGTTCATATCTGAATAAAATTTATAACAAATATATATATATATAGTGTACTACTTTATATATATATAGTATAATTATATATATTATGTATATACTATAGCATAATTTATACTATATAGATATATAATTATATATTTATAGTATAATTTAATAATATATATACTACAGAGTATAATTTTCTACTATAAAGTATAACATTTAAAAAGTATATATATAGATACTTTTTCTACTTTATATATATACTTTACACACATAAGGTCTGCTCTTTTAAAGGTCTATTAAATTTTTTTTAAAGTTTCGAAACCGTGAATGGGAAGTATGTATGTAAATGAAATTGATCTCAAATGTCAGAACTAACAATGTTAATACTACGTAACGAATTAATTATTAAAAAGAAAGGTTCTTCTGGCGTAGTTTCCTGTACCCCCTTTCATCGTGGATAGTATCAATTACCGCTTTTTTTTCGTAGAACAACTCATTGTTTACTCGAGGGAAGCTACAGCCATAACGAACGGTATTAACCGTGTTGGCAACACATTATACAGTAATTCGTCGCTTCCTTTTTGAACTCGTCGGTACGATATCATTGGATAGATATTATTGAGAAGTAATAAATTTATTATTTGTTTCGCCCATTTTGTTTTACTTAAATATACTTGAAACTGAGAAAATATTACAATTTTGGAACAAAAAATTAGGTTAACTTGCGCTGGCAAATAATTGCGGACCATAACGAGTGACCGAATCGTATACAATAATTCGTCGCTTTCTTTTTGAACTCGTCGGTACGATATCACTGGATAGAAATGATTGAGAAGTAATAAATTTATTAATTGTTTCGCCTATTTTGCTCTACTTAAATATACTTAAAACTGAGAAAGAGAGTATTGCAATTTTTGGTACAAAAAGTTCTCGACGTGCGTGACACGTCGTTCCAGCGCAAGAGGTTAACCACTTGATAGATTGCGGACCGTAACGAGTGACCGAACCGTATACAATAATTCATCGCTTTCTTTTAGAACTCGTCCGTACGATATCACTGGATAGCAATTATTGAGAAGTAATAATAAACTTATTATTTGTTCCGCCCTTTGTTCTACTTAAATATACTTAAAACTGAGAAAGTATTGCAATTTTTGGAACAAAAAGTTCTCGACATGCGTGGCATTTTGTTCCAGCGCAAGAGGTTAATACAACGCGTAAGTTTTGCGTAATTCATTGAAAATCCGAGGGTGCTCCAGGGCCGAGAGATCTAAAATCTTGAAAGATCGTATTCTGTCCCTAAAATCCTCCACAATCTTTGTCGTTTTGTTAGGCGAAACGCTTTGGGCGAAAAGAGGTTGCTTATCGTCTAAACTTGAAACGAAAATGTCCTGCCTACGCGCCGGTTTGTGGTGTAAAATTTCTGGCATAAAAAATTATGTCGTCTGTGTATTTCATTTTTATTATCGTTAAAATTCATTCAATATTAAAAGTACTGGCGTCACGTGGAATTTTTTTCCCAAAGACCGAACGACGTTGCATTTTCTTTGATCCCCTGTCGTTCTTTTTCCCTTTTTTTTTCTTTTTTTTTTTTTTTTTTTTTTTTTTGCTACGATTTTTATTCTCATTTGGCATCGAATTTCTCAAAGCTTTTATATCTGGTTACATTTACGCGATCATTAATGACAAGCTCGTCATTTATAACGTGTGCAAGTCTGTACATACTTGATTTCCCATACTGTGGTCAATATTTGCCAGTTCTTTGGGAAACAACGTAACACAAATTTCCGCGCAGCGATTTGTTGTCCCTTGCTCCCTGTAATTTCGTAAATTTAATTTCAACAAACCCTATAGTTCACGGCGCGCGTATTTCTTTTTCTTTTTTTTTTTTTTTTCAGCGAAACGATCAACTTCGTTTCTCTCGCACCGCCAAGGAGGAAACAATTCCAACGTAAATAACGCGGACAATTTTCTACAAACAAAGCTGGCTCGTGGGTGCTTTTAAATTTAGAGAAAGAAATGCAATAATTGTGTAAGCGTACGAGAAAGTAGGTATTATTTGTCTATAATTGATCTCGAATTGGGAGAGGATCGTCTTCGTCGGTGAAATTAAACAGAAATACGAGATGCGTAAATAGTTACATATTCGGGGAGGACAACAATGGACAGGGAGAAAAGGAGCATAAGCAAGATAGTATAGGGGGAAAAGCTGGAGTCCAACCGATAACTAACTCCTGTCTCGGAAGTGGGGCGTCTTGGCGACTCTCTGTCTCGTGGCACAGAAAAAGCTTTCCACTTTTTCCGTTCTTCTCTCCCACAATCTTTCCTCTCTTTTTCAGCTTTTCACTCGCGGCGTCGTGCCCTTTCCCCCTAGTAGCCCGTGATTTCGTAGTCGCCGGGTTCATTTTATTTCCATTCCATCGATATCGAAACTTTTCATCTTCCAACGCGCCGATCACGCGAAAATACACGCCCTTTGCGACGCAAAGTTCTCAATATAAGTATCTTAACGTAGATAAGTATTTCGATTAAAATTAATAAGTGTTTCGATATAAATTTAATAAGTATCTCGACGTAACTTTAGTTGTTAGGAAGACACGTTTTTTTACGTTGTCGAGCGTATCAGCAGGAAAAAGACGGGGCGTTCGCAAAGTGCGTTGACTCTCCGTTATGTAAATGAAATTCATTGAATAAATTCATCGAGCGTCTCTCTTTCTTCCTCTTCTTTTTTTTTTTCTCGTTTGTCGAAAGTTCCCGATCAACGTTATCGTTGGATTTCCACCATTTGCCCGGTGTTCAATTCAATTCAGACCGGCTCGTTGATCAAAAAAGGGGGAGGGAAAAGGGAGGAGTGTGATTTAATGAATACCGTGAAAACCGCTAATGTTCTAACATGGAATCGTCATTTCCAGTACATCGATCTATCATTCTTTCACGTCAGGCTGTCGTGCAAATTCGCAGCGGTGTTTAGCCGCGTATCGATGTCGATTATTCACTGGTCAGTCAGAAAAAACGCGAAAAATATTCGATGATTATTGCGGGCAGTGAAAGGAAGATGGCAGCGACGAATCTTTAACGAGTACGCGAACAATCCGCGGCGACGGCGAGCTGCTATGGTTACGATGAATCGTAAATTCTGTTCCTTCCAAGTGCAAACAAGAAACTTTATGTATTCGCCGGCGACACCGGTTAGACGCAGCAGCGTATCCGAAGCAGTTGGATTTCATTTCTATGTCTCTTGCATCCTCGTTTCTGGTCCTCCGTCGCGTCTCATTATTACTTTCAGCGGAAAAAAAAAAAGAAAACAATAGAGATAAATTGACGATAGAGATATTGATGGATAGTAAATGGCACCGTAAATATCACCTAATAATTATTAATTATGTTGTAAATTATATAGATAACTAGTATATATAGATAGTAAGTTATATAGATAACTAGTATTATATAGATAGATAGTTAAATAAAATTAATAATTATTTCAACTAGTTAAATAAAATAAAATTAATAATTATTTTAACTAGTTAAATAAAATTAATAATTCCCGTAAATATCACCTAATAATTATTAATTATGTTGTAAGTTATGTATATAACTAGTTAAATAAAATAAAATTAATAATTATTTTAACTAGTTAAATAAAATTAATAATTCCCGTAAATATCACCTAATAATTATTAATTATGTTGTAAGTTATGTATATAACTAGTTAAATAAAATTAATAATTATTTCAACTAGTTAAATAAAATAAAATTAATAATTATTTTAACTAGTTAAATAAAATTAATAATTTCCGTAAATATCACCTAATAATTATTAATTATGTTGTAAGATATATAGATAACTAGTTAAATAAAATAAAATTAATAATTCCCGTAAATTCCACTGTATCACAATTCATCACAGATATATATATATATATACATATATTCTATTTCTCCGGTAATAATTTTGTCTGATATCGGATTCACGGTCTATTGTGTTGAGAATTAATTTCTAATAATAATTCAAAGTAAATTCCTTTCCTGGTAAATCGTACTTTCTACGGCAGCCTTTTCACAATTCTCGTTTGTTTCCTCTTTCACATAATTCCTTTCCTTTCGCAGATACTTGCAAATGTACCAACCATGTAAATTGACGAGAAAAGTAGTTTTGAATTATTTAGAGATTCACTCAAGAAGGAAAATCAACGACTCTCGAGACAATAATTATTTCATAAAATTGATCAGCCGACAAGGAAAATTTTCACCTTCGCTCGTAAAAACGATTTCTTGTTTGGAATACTATTTCGTGACGCATACTAACATTCGTCAGTTGTGAATAATCGTAAAATGCAAAAACAGCCGAAACGAGTATATCTTTTACGGCCCGTCATAAATAACGATGATGGTTCCCCGAAACTAATATTTTATGCGAAACTAATATTATTACGATCGCTGGCTGATCGTAAACGAAGGCAGAATTTTATACAGCAGAAAGATCTACAAACTGTACTCCGAGTTCAACGCTTCCGATTCGATACGTATCACACATCTCTCTTTCTTCTCTGCTCAATCATCTATAACTTTAAGCTACACAAGTCAGACATGAAAAATAAATTCGAGTATTATGTGAGGGAACTCTCAACATTCTGTTGTATTTGCCTTTGTGCCTGAGCGAAGGTGAGCGTGAAGAATGGAAAATAGAGGAGAATGGAAAATTTGTCAACACTCACCGTTGCCATGTTTCTGAATTTAGACCAGGTAGAAAGATCACCAGGTAGACGAGGAAATAGACGGTTGTATATTTATTTGTAGATTTGTTTCGCTGGATCCAGGTCAAAATTAAATCTCAGGTAGCTCTCGGCGATGATGTTCGAACGTGGCACCGCACAAGGTGATGATCGCGAGGCGCGAGTTTCGTTGCCCAAGTGATAGCTTGTCTCTTGATCGTACGGACAAAGAGGGGGTGTTTGATACCGCGAGAGCTTGAAGTTTGGAGGTCAGAGGGCGAGTGATTGGTGGAGCTTGCGCGGACCACATTTATACCATTCACCCCTCTTCCACCTTCTTCTTCCGTACCACCAAGAGGACCAAAGCTAAACCCACCACTGTTGGTACCAGCATCCAGTATCATCAATGTGTTCCTCCTCCACGTTGTTACGACCGCCTCCCTGTTCATTACATTACGTAATCGGATTCTGCACCCCGAAACCGACGATATCACAGAAGTCCTTCGAGAAAGGTGGCGGAGCTGTACTCCCCGGAGAGGAAGGAGAGACTTCTTACGTAGATTCATGAATGAACTGCCATGAATGAAACCGAATTGGGAGGGGAGGGGAATGATGTCATTTCCAGACATATATTTATATATATATATATATAATGCAATAACTTTCGACTCGTGTCTCTTTCTATTTGTAATTGGGCTGGAAGTAACGACGCGTGGTCTTCCCCCTGAAATTGAGAAATGTGATTGTCTCGTCGAGGAGAAACGTCTGTTTAAATCGTTTGAATTTCAAGTTTTCACTCTGCCTTATTCGCTTACTCCTATTCTCCTCTTCTTGAAACAAACTTGTGTACGCAGACGAATCATAAAAATCAATGTATAGACGTCGAAATGCGAAGAGATACAGCCGAATAGATTGCTTCCGCAACCTTTCGGTACAATTGCAGTTGATATTTGTGTTTGCACGCTCGGATAGATTTTGCGCTTTCGACGATCAGATCCATATACCGCCATTGTGCCTTGATATATTGAAATCTTCGTAGATTTATTTGGGCATAAAGAACCTTTTACTACTTCTTATCTCTGTGTTTTCTTATTTAGTGTAGACTGAACTATACTAGAGAGAGAGAGAGAGAGAGAGAGAGAGAGAGAGAGAGAGAGAGAGAGAGAGAGAGATCAAGCTAATTAGCATTTTCGACGATTAGCGGACAGTGATTGAAAATCAAGAGAACAGCAAAGAGTGTATTGGAAAATAACCGAGATATTATGAGTAAATGTTGACAGGCCGTTTATTATAATGAAACAACGGAACTTAATATCTGTTTCAGAAGGTGCTCTTGAAAAATCCACCGACAACGGTGGTTAACGAACGTAAGAATTGCAGAGGCGAGTTTCTCTCTCTCTCTTTTTTTTTTGAGGAATAATTAACCCACAACGCCCGCGTAGATCTCATTAAAAACTACAGGCAAGACTTGGCAGGCAGGTATCTGTTTAATGTGAAAAAACAGTCGTATGCTTTCTTTCTGCTTTGCTTTCTTCTCTCCTTCCCCTCCTCTCCCCCTACTTTTACGTAAGTGGTCACGGAAAGTTTATTTAAAATATTCTTTTACGAGTAGGTTAAGCGTCAATCTTGTTGTATTTATCCTAGATCTAGATCTTTTCGTTTTCAATAACTGCGCTGTGCTGTTTAACAATAGATTCGCGTCACTCGTAATTTTACAGTCGATTAAGAAATATATGTTGTTTAAGAAATATTCGTGGATTATTTTCCACGGTGCGGAAGAAACATGAGAGCTACGTCAATTAATTTACAATTATTCCGTTCCGTCTGTTTGATGGGAATGTTTTGAACCGAAAAGGGACAAAAAAAGAAGGTTCAAAAATGCGTTAATAACAGGGAGAGAAAAGGGAGAGGGTTGAAGAGGTGCAGAGAACAGACATGGTGGCGCCTTTGGGGCGAAAGATCTGCGTAATTCGGCATTTATCACCGCGACCATTACGTAGCAATATCAATGTGCGTCACGAAGAACGATTTTGCTCTATTTTGCGGTGTCGCTACCTCTCATTCTGAAACTTTTCACTTATTTGAATTCCAGCCAAATGTGTCTTGTCTTGTCTCTCCCTTAAACAGGATTATTAAATTATTAAATTATTTAGTTATTAAAAACAGGACACTAACAATTTAAATAGTTTTAACAGTGAAATATTACGGTAATTGTCGACAGATGAAATTGGAAGAAGAGATTTACGTTCGTTGCTTTGAAGAACGTTGACTTCATTGAAGCGAATTTTACTAAGGCTTCGCGTTCGAGAGACGGGATGAAATTTATAGCTTTTACAGAAAATTCGTTCCATAAGGGTGTAAAGCCCTTTACCGTTAGCTATTAAGCAGAAACGATCCCGTTAATAAGGTTTTACAATCGTCAGCTTTGCCAGTTTACCTTTTCCTTTTCCTTTTCTCTCCGATTTAATTCTAGAACTAAATATACAAATCCTGAAACTTTAATAGCTTCTTTTATAGCTTTGTTGTTAACGATCCTTTGTGCAGGGGAAATGGGCGAGTATGCAGAGGACTAATAACTGTATACAAACAATGTGAGGGATGCATACCTGGGTAGTATCGTTAGGCCCAGTAATAGACAAAGTATAATTGCGAGTATGCCTCATGGGCATGACTCTAAGGGTGCATTTAGGTCAAAAATGACCTACCAATCACGTGAACGGTAAGGAGACAAAGACAATCGGCCTATATAAAGGCCGACACGGCATACGGAGGGCATTAATTTTTCTTTGGAGCTACGAGTTGGACGATCCTACGAGCTGGACAATTCTACGATCCATCTACAACATCGTGTAAGTATTCCCAAACTAATACTTCTCTAATATTTCTTCAATAATATTCGATATTTAAAACCGTTTCAAAGACTCACGAAGAATACCTACGTAATTTAATATAAATTTAATTAAAAATTTTCGTGTGAAAATTATCCGGGCTTGATAAATCCACATTACATTTGAACTCTCAATTAATCTTGAAGCTTATAATTCCTCTTTTCGCTTCTTTCGGACATCAATTGACACTCTTCGACGTCTCTTTCAGTATATTGCTCAATCCTTTTGCTCGATCATGATTAACGTGTTAGCGTTATTATATTATATTATATAGCTATTATATATAATTATTATATATAAGCGAATGTTCATGCAAATCTTTACACAATTAAAGAAGTGATATGTCAGAATGCATACCTGTGTATTCATGTTTCTAGAGAATCGTATCGTGTGTTTCAATAACTTTTCCATTTTATTCGATCGGACGATTGATTGAAACGTTACGACTCACTCGTTTATTGCCTCGCAGCAAACTAACTCGCGTTAATGCACCTTCCGACGCATCGATAGTAAAACTACCCTCGTGTACCTTCCTCGGTTCCATTCCGGATCAGTGGTAAAATCAAACAAACTTTTTGATATGTCAATCGCATCACCGTAACGTGCTATCACTTTCACTTACTTTGCCTAGTAGTAACTACCTGCGAGAATTTTTTGTTCGTAATTTTCCAACCGATAGCTATATTAAAGGGAGAGAAAAAACGAAACAGCGTACGGGACAAAACGGAGCAAAGTGAATCTTCTTCTGTCATTCGTTCCTAGAAACAGAAAAAGTAACGGTTGTGATTGAAAAAGGAGGGGGGAGGGGGAGAGAATAAAGGAGACAGACTTACGGCAGAAAGAGGTAAAAAGAAATGTGCGTAGGCTGATGGCGCCTAGGCAAGCATCCTTTTCATATGGATCCACTGCTTGTTTATGCATTCTGACTTTTATAGATACGCCGACATAGTCGAATGATTTGAGCAATAGCGGGGCATAATCTTGCGATACAAACGACAGGGTCATGTTTTTATCACCCCCTATTTTTATTACGATTATACTGAAAATCATATGGATCATTGTAGCAGGGGATTACCGCGCAATTTTTTCCTGTCGATACCTCGTAATTTTTTTTAGTGTCCGGTGATGTACTCTTAGGCGTCATGCTACTCGAATATCTCTCGCTCTAAATTACGGTGTCACGTTTCTTTGTTGCAAACGATTGTAATTGTAAATGAGGTTCGTGCGATGATTCATCGTCGTGTTGTAGAATGACACGTCACTTTTTTTTCTGTAATGCAACAACAATTAAAGATTCTTCTTTCATATTGACGACATAAGTTGTTTTGTTCTGTATTCAACTACACAACATTTTGAAAAGCTTCTCGAACGCTGATTGGTTCTCGAGACGTTCTGTTGAACGTACATATAATTGCAATCGAATTATTAATTACTTTCAATATAAAAAAGAGTATGTTACAATTATGTACAAATTATACTTAATTTAATGTTCCGCTATTATTATTTCGCTATTATTATATTAAATTAAGGGAAAACTTAATCGAATATCCTTACGCGAGTATTCTGTGGCACAGTGGCGCCACCTCGTACAGGTTTCAATACATTACACGAAATTTATTATACCTGATGTATCCTCCATACTAGAAAATACGAAGCGAATTGGCAGAATAAGGACGTAAATAGCTGTCGACACATCGAGTAAGGATAGCAAGCGAATTGCAAGTTGAAGAAAATAAACGTTGGAAAGGAAGTGACGAAGGACAGAGAAACAAGACCTTCTCCTGGTCAACAGTGTACTAAATTGTTATTTGAGTATCCTTCTGTATTTTTGCCGATAAACAGTTTAAGGTAATTGTTCTGTTGTTTTGCGGTATTGGTCCTGTGTGATACGTCGTGTACATTCATTCGCTGTATGTCCTGCGTGTACCTTGCTGTACGAAAATGTCGTTTGCATTACCTGTTTTGCTGTACCCGTTCTTGACGAAAGATTTGAAATGAATTTTTTTCTAACCAAATTGTACATGAAGAAGAAAGTTTGTTGAAATTATTTGTCGAACGATAGATAAATTTTTTGATATACAGCGAATAAAAGGAACGATAATGGACTTCCGCGATTCCACTTTTCTTTTTAAATTACACGTATAATTAATGAACGTGTTATAAGTGATAGTTGAAAATTTATTCTAGATGCCAAATATTAAACTCCAAAGTTCTGATGGCGAGGTTTTTGAGGTGGATGTCGATATTGCAAAATGCTCTGTTACTATAAAAACCATGTTGGAAGATCTTGGAATGGACGAAGATGAGGAAGAAGTTGTACCTCTCCCAAATGTTAACTCTGCTATCCTAAGAAAAGTGATACAATGGGCTACCTATCATAAGGATGATCCACCACCACCTGAGGACGATGAAAACAAGGACAAACGTACCGACGATATAAGTTCTTGGGACGCAGATTTCTTAAAAGTAAATGTTTGATTTTTATTAATATCGTTCATTCTATAATTACAATGATAGTAATATTATTATCCTTTTCAATATTATTAGTTTAGTTGTTGTGTTTTATAATAAAACATGATTTTAAGTTTAATTAAACTTACAGGTTGATCAAGGAACATTATATGAATTAATTTTGGCTGCTAATTACCTTGATATCAAGGGATTATTAGAGGTAACGTGCAAGACTGTTGCCAATATGATAAAGGGTAAAACACCAGAAGAAGTTCGCAAAACATTCAATATAAAAAATGATTTCTCTCCGTCAGAAGAGGAGCAGGTTCGCAAAGAAAATGAATGGTGCGAGGAAAAGTAGATCAAATCATTTGTAGATACTTGATTTTTTTGATTTTCTAAAAATTCGCGTCCACCAGAAATTAAAAGAGTTAATGCATTATCTGTAATCATTTCAAAAGAATTGTAAAACTGATCACAGCACTAAATTATTGTTAATTAATTGATGTATGAATTCATATGTTTCTGATTCATTCATTTTAAATTTCTTGCATTATATCAATTAATTAATGATAATGAACATTTGATGAATCAGAAACTAAATTAATGTAACTTTAAAGCCAATTTGCGAATTTGATGCATTAAATGTATGCTGCTGTGATCATTTTTATGATTCTATGTTCATTTTTATTATATTAATTAAAAACAATTAGTACCATTTAGTGTGCATAATGGATTAAACAAATTTGTATTATTGTAATGACTGTTATATATACTTGATTAAATTAGATCTACAAAACAATTGTGTTTCATTTACATGTAAGGCACATTTATTAGACTAAAGTATCTAAAACTGCCAAATCCAGTTATTAGTTAATAACTTAAAAATTTATCATTAAAAATAAAGAGAGATGTGTCAATGCGCACGCATGCGCATATATGAATATATATGATACGTCTTGTCTATATAAATACACAATGTATACTTTCGTTTTAACGAGATATTAATTATTGCATTTTATATTTTCAATCCTAATCAACATATATAAAGATCACTCATTGTGATATACAATGAAAAAGCTATTATTTACCTATTACGTTAAAAAAATATGCAACATAACCTATGATGACAGCTTCTTATATATCAAAGAATCAATATTGAATAATATTTAATCTGTAATGGGTAAGGGTAGATACACTGTAATTTAAGCATTCAATATCTTGATTTAAATTAATATTTATTAAAATATGGAATTATTTTAGATGATGGAAAAGAGAATTTTGTACTTTGTTCTAATGATTCTAAAAATCATATAAAAAAGTTGCACGAAATTTGCAATTGGGATCAACTTAATAATGTAGCTATAGAATACCATGATTTACAAGAGACTATTTATATAGATTACAGAGAACTTTTTTTTACACAAAGTTTGATTTCTGATTATTTAAGATGCATCAAATGTGTCGAATTTGTTGGTATAAATTTTGATATTCCAGAGTACTGTGTTATTTCTGTAATACTTGGGTAAGATTTTAAATTACATAGAATATCCGACGTATTGTCATAATAAACATATTATATACTTATGATTTCTTTTGTAGAATCTTGAATAGTGGGCATAGTTTTGTAAATGTACCTGTTGATTCAATAGAATTAATAAATTTAAAGAATAATTTAAATCTACATTATTTATTTTCTAAACAAATAAATGTTGAAGGAGATATTGTACATCAATTTAAAATGCATAAAGAATGTATTTATCTTATCAAAGTTAAAGATGTCCAAAAACAAGATACACAAAAAGTAAAACAAAATTATTATGCTTATGCAATTTCTACATCTGGTTCAACAGGAACTCCAAAAGTAGTTAGAGTGCTCCATTCATGTATAGTTCCTAATATTTTAGATTTGAGCAAAGTGCTGACAATAACAAACCGTGATAAAATTTTTCAGTTTACAAATTTTACATTTGATCCTAGTATTGTTGAAATTTTTCTTGCACTCTCAAATGCTGCAACACTATTCATGGTGTCAAAGCTATTGAAAAATGATCCATATAGGTGAATAAAAATTATTTGGAGAAATACAATTTTTATATAGATATTAATTTTTACATAAGTACATTTATTTTCAGACTTTTAAAAGAAGCTTATTCTAATCAAATTACCATAATGCAAGTAACTCCATCAGTTTTTATGTATAGTTGGACAGCTGAATCTTTGAAAACTAGTATTTTAAGTAATAATTCTTTATTAAGAGCTATTCTTTTTGGTGGAGAACCTTTCCCTAAATTAGAGTTACTTTCTGAAGCCAAGCATCCTTGTAATAATACAAAAATTTATAATGTCTATGGTATTACCGAAGTATCTTGTTGGGCTAGTATAAACGAAATTGTAATAACAAATAGACAATTTAATGTACATTACTTGGGTCAAGTATTATCACATACTATATTTGAAGTTAGAAATGAAAAAGAAGAAGTAATAACAAATGGTACAGGCTCTCTCTACATAGGTAATTTTATTAAATATTTTATCATAATTTTATAAGATCATGAATAAAGTTGCACATTTTTTGACAGGAAGCAATCATAGAATATGTCTGATCAATGATGAAAATATTGAAGACTTAGAATTACCAGTATTTCGTGATTCTGGTGATATAGTTAATGTAAGTTAATACAAATTCAATTAATGATGATAATAGTATATAGTAACAATAATTATAATAGTAGTAATGTTTTTATCTTAGATTGATGAAGAGGGAAAGATATTTTACAAAGGAAGAAAAAATAGCTTTATTAAAAGATTTGGGAATAAAGTAGATTTGATAAAACTTAAAGAACTTGTATTGCAAATAGATTTTGTGAAGAACTGTTATGTAATATGGGATGATAGTTGCCATCATTTACATTTATATTTTTCTACTAAGGAGAATGTCACAAATCATATTGTAAATACTGATATAGTGAAATATGTACATAAACTAGATCCTTTATACAGACCAGATAAAATTCATTTTATAGAGGATGTTGAATTTACATCTAATGGAAAGATTTCCTTAGAATTTTTAAAAAAGTATTACATACAACAAACTATAACACATGGAATGTTAAAAAACATTGACTTTGAACAAATTGAAATTATTTTCAAATCAATTTGGGAAAACAATTTAAAACATGAAAATAATGGATTTGTAAAACTTGGTGGCACATCTATAATCGCATTTCAGATATCAAATACTGTATCCGAAATATTAAACATAGAATTTCCTGAATTAATTAGCATGCTTTTAATGGATGCTACTATTGATAACTGTCTTTGTTATATAAGAAGTGTTGTACTGAATAGTGATCAAAACAGAATGATTAATCTTAATTTTCATTCTAATAGTTTATTAATTAAAGAAATTCCTTTGATTACTAATATTTCCACTATTAATTTAAAAAGCAAGAAATCTAATGATGAAAGAAAGATTTTTGACTCAGTGATGCAAATAAATGATATTTATACATGCCAATGGTACAAGTGTAGAGGAAAAATATATAAAAGTGTCCAAGATATTAATATTGAACAAAAATTACAATATAACGCAATTTCGAAAGTTGAAGTATTGAAAACGTATGATTTGAAAAAATGCGTTGATGCATCGCCAACTGTATTTCGTTATTCGGAGTAGGTGCATTTTTTTTTAACAGTTTCAAACATATCTTATAACTTGATTAATAATTATTTTATTTAGTGGAAAAACATATGCAACTGTTGGTTCTCATTCTGGTTTTATTTTTACCTTTGGATTAGAAAAGGAGTGTTGTAGCTCTGCATTTAAAGTTAAACTGCCTGACAGAGTTGAAGCTTCAATTTTGGTTTTGGATGATTTCAGAGGTATAGTGGGTAAGTTTCCTAATGTATAAAAAATCTATTTGTATTTCCTTAAATCCTCTTTTTTCAGGATGTTATGATGGTAACGTATATTGCTTTCACTTAAAAACAGGAAATGTTATTTGGAATTACCAAACAGAAAATGCTATAAAAAGTTCTCCAATATTTTGTAAAGTAAAGGAAACGATATTTGTTGGTTCTTATGATTGTTATATATACTGTTTATCTGTGAAGGTATATATTCATAATAATACTGAATATAAGAAATGATAATAATAATATAAAATACGTTATAGGACGGATCAGAAGTTTGGAAATCTAAATTCGGTAATGGAAGCATTAGCGCTTCTGGTTGTTTACACGTTCCGTCGAATAGTGTGTTGTTTGGAACATTGGATGGACTTTGTCTAGCACTTGAACAATCGTCAGGGAAACTTTTGTGGAAGCACAAATTATCAGATCCAATTTTTGTTGCTCCTTTGCTATTAAATAATGGACTTGTTTTATTTTGTTCTGTAACAGGGCTATTGCATTGCTTTGATATCGAAGTTAATGTCAAGGTAACAGATGTGAAAGAATTGGTATTCATTGTTTTGCAAAATTAATTGTTTTTATTTTCTGACTTTACAGATGTGGTCATACAAAATCAATGGCAATGTATTTTCATATATTGTGAAGCAAAGTCATGCCTCCGTAAAATATGAAACCATCATTGTAGCCAGTCAGAATAAAAGTGTGTATTGTTTAGAATCAGAAGAGACAAACTTTAAAACTAAACCCAGATTGAAATACGTATTAAATTTTCATTCACCAATTTTTGCTACTCCCTGGTGTGAAAACGATTCTTTGTTCATAGCATGTACAGATGGTACTTTAAATATTTATAATTCAGCAGAAAATAGATTGATAAAAACTGAAAAACTTCCTGGGGAGGTCTTTTCGTCACCGGTTGTTGATAATGATATCATAATCATTGGATGCAGAGATAATAACGTCTATATCTTAAAACTTGTGTAAATTATTCTTGGTAAGTAAATGTGTTAAACATTCTTTGTATCATGAAATAGACAGGAATACAAATTAATATGAAATTAATATAGCATGATTTATTTTTTTTTTGACTGTCACATTACAGTTACGTGAATAACGTTTCAGATAAAGTAATAGGGAATCACGTACCTTTTTCTTCATTGACTTTCATATATAATACGAATTCGCGGTGCGCTTACAGTTTAAAGCGAAATGCAAGCGAAATAAAGGATTCTAAGAGATAGCCAATCACTCATTAACAAAACATTCACGCATACGCAAGTGCACACGTATAGTAACTTCAAAAACGATGTACATCTATGCATACTTGTCTTTTTCAGATTTATCAATTTGTTTTCTATCAGTAATGATTATCTTACAAAATATTGAACAAAAAAATATTTCAGCTTAAGTTCACATAAAATAACAACGTTTCAACGATTTCGCATTTTTTCTATAATCGCACTCTATTTTGAGAATGAGAAATATTTATATATATATATATATATTTACGTTTAATTGGTTGACCATTCTTTTTTCCCCCCTCCAATATTTTGACAGACATTCTTTGCAATCTTCCCAGTTATAGGCAATTACTTCTCGGAAGTGCTTCAATTTATACGTATGTACTTCGTATTTTTTAATGTATGTTTGAAATTTGAATTAATATCATAACTAAATGTGCAGATTTATGACATATTTTCTAATGCTATACCGCGCCATACTATTTATATAATTACGTGTAGAACTGACTTTTTTAAATTACTCTTATCTTGTATCTCATGTTACAACTACTGCAATTAGCAATATAACTATAGGATTCTTTAACATTTACAATTTCAATAAACAGATATTTTAATTTGATAGTTAAAATATGATACATTTATAAAGTCGTGATAATCGACACTGTCATGTTTTAATTCAAATTACATGTCAGTGACGAATACATGGATACACTTAAATCGTATAATAAATTGCATTTTATAATTTGTTCAGAATTTATCGGCAAATATCCAGACGACAAATATTACACGTTCTAATATCAATGTTTGTTTTTTCTTTTTTTTTTTTGTGAAAATGGTCGTACTCGTGTACTTTGGACATAATGTAAAAAGGGCAGTTTATAGAATTAGATTGAGACAAATTTGAAAAATAAATTTTGAATAACGTTTGGGTTTGTTATTGAAATTCTCCATTAAAAGAGAATCTAGGATCTTAGGCATATGTCTATTTGGCAGATTGAATCTGCTCTGAGACTTCGACAAATACCGACGTTATCGGTATGCACGCGTTAAATTTTGTTGTTCGCTTGTTTTCTGTTTTTCAATTCAGCATTAGCTATTTAAAACTGAACAGTAATTGTAACTATTTTACGGTTACTGATCCTCGTCTAGGTCCTGTTTTACTTTATTAAAATCGAACTCTTCACCAGTGGCCCGTTTAAATATATCAAGAACATCTAGACAAGTAGTTTCAAAATGCGTTGTAGCATCGTAGCTTGTTGATATAAAAATCTGACTGTCCAGGCCGTTGTCTGTTGGCTCCATGTAGTCAGAAACTGATATAAACTTTTGTTTGATCGGTCCGAGTAGATCCAAGCCTGGTTTGATTTCGGCCTCTGGATTTTTCGTTTCAACGGTAGTAGACACCATGGCAATGAACCATCCTTTTGCCGCTACTTGATGAGTATGCGATACTAAAGATACGTAGATATCGGAATTACGATTAACCTAGTTAGAAATAAAAAAAACAAATAAATGCTATGGCAACACATTGACACCAATTAAAATGAGAGCTAGAGGTAAATCACTATTTACTTGTTTCTGAGGAATAATAATTTGCGTTGAAAGAGCGTCTGCTGTATTTGGTATAGGATGGTCTAAAAGACAAATGCATCTTATGACCTGACCCACTTTTTTCACGCGTTCAGGTACATATGTGGGATCACAAAATACTTGTTTGCATTGAGCTACTTCGTCGCCGGAACGTACACCAACAACCTGCAATGAAAATCGTTAATTATCATCGTGGAAATTAATTTGGTTGATTTCGGTTTATTTTCAGATTGTCACCTTTCCATCCTTCATTACGATTTCGTCAATCGGTTTGTCCAACATGTATGTCCCACCGTAGATGGCACTAAGCCGTGCAAAACCTTGAGGAAGTTCACCCAAGCCGTACATAGGATACAGATACGGTGATTTTCCGTAGCGTGCTAAACTATCGCTGTACAATTTAATTCTTCTTATAGTAGTAATTGCGCTTTGACTTATATACTCGTCATCTCTGCAAACAACGAAACATCATCGTAACACGAATCATTATGTCATTAAACATGCTATTTGTACACGTATTTTCCTTACCTATACAGAGCCAGCGCATGTCCTGTGAAATCTTGAGTGTTCTTATCGAGATTAAACTTATTGTACAAAGCGCTCATGCTATTATTAAATGGATCGAAACCGTCCCAAGTTCTGGGGTCGTCCTCTTGCATGTTTTGCACCCATATTAGGAAACTACGGAAACGTCTTTTCTCGAAAAGACCCATCAAGTCACTGGACAATGCCTCTTGTTGATCTATCGGGACCTTCGATATCTTCCCGGACTTGTAGACGTACGATCCCTCGACGCATTTAAATTCCAAATAACGCGTCACGCCTGTGTGAATCAAAAGTTTTACCAGCAGGCCGTTCGCCATCAGAAACTTTGGGATCAAGTCGACGTTCCAGTCGCGGCCACGGCCGTAAGTCTCGTCCGGTGCCGGGGCTTTGAATTTCCTGGATAATGCACAAGAAACTAAAATTAACAATCGTAACGTTATATTCTCGTTGAAAATGCAGTCTTTTGTATTACTTTCATAGCACTGCGAAATTTGATGATACTGATTATTGTGAAAGTAAACAATGAGAAAGTTGTCGATAATTATTAACGAGGCTCCTGTTAAATTTATTTTTTAGACACATTCGAAATGTATAAACTATCAAATAAAAAAAATAGTGAATAATAATCGGATGTAAAAAAAAAAAAAAAATAAAAGAATGGTGCACAATTTTTTTTATTAACGTTGCAACATTTCTGGGATGCAATTTCGTTTTTGACTTCTTAAATATTCTTTGGCCCGATTATACGCGGCTGTAATCTAACGACAGTCACTGTTGCAACAGACGTGTAGTTTAGACGCGTGTTACAATTTATTATTGAGTGCAACCGGACACATGATAACCGTCTCCCCGATGAACCAGAAGCGCAATCACGCGGACGTGTTATCGTTTTTTCGTTTTACGAACGGCGAAGGAAAAAAAACACGTTGCTCCGTCACGCCATGATTAGTTTTCTACTTTATAAAGCATTTAATGCGAATTAACTTCGCATTTAATGCGAAAAAAAACAATTAAGAAAAAAAAAAAAAAAACAAATATTGATGCGTGAATTGTAACAAGCACGTACACAGCCACGTACGCACGAGGATCAATCCTCGTTTAAAATTTCGAGTTGGCGCAAGGAAGCAAACATATGTTCAATTTCTGCGGAAAGTGGACTAAACTAACGGTACTAGGTTCGTTTATTGAATATTTTCTCCCGCTAACGGGCGACTAATTCCGTGTTCTCTGCAGTCGAAACGATCGTGTTGCGGTGTACGTAATTTTTTTTCAAATGATAGACGGTGATACGTGGAAGGAAGTGGAAGGAGGGACGGGCAAACGAGCAGCAAAGGAAACAAAAAAAGTATCACGGAAAGGAACAACGTGCAGCGGTAACTTTGCAAGACACCCGAAACCAATTTATCACGTTCGATGGGCTATGTATTCGTTCGACGGGGCGGAACTCTCCCCCTCTTTCTCTCGGCGAATGACATTTTCGCCAGGCAGCCAGCCGAGAAAATTGTTTAGAAAGGGATGAACAATCGGGAGGTGATCGGGAAGCAACCGACGCAACTCGCAGCAGATGAATTACGTGTGTCGTGCTTCGTCCCGAGACACGCATGACGGGAGGAGAATCGAACCGAACGATAACAAACGGCTACTGCGAAATAAAACTGGGGGGGAAAAAAAAGAAAATCAATATTTAAGACGAATCATCGTGTTGCACGAGCATCGTCAATCTACCAGCTACAAATACGATACCAATGCCGGCAAAATATTAGTCGTTTGACGTTAAATTGTATGTGGAATGTGGATGCTCGATTCCATCAACTTACGAGAACAGATCCTCCAGAGGCGTGATCGACGCAGATTCACCGCCATAATATTTGTTACGATCTACATGGAGAACCTTTTTCCCACTGACCGACAGCATACCCGAAAGTATACATTCCTTGAGTCCGGTGCCCAACACGATCGCGTCGTATTCTTCATTCATTGTTGCCCGAAACACAAGAGATTGATCCACACGGCACTGAAACCTGCGAGAGCGCGAAGTTCACGCGAGTAAGTTTCTTCTGTCGGGTAAATGCTACGAAAGTCGAAGGGGGAAAAAAAGATAGTGCACAGCCGCGCGTCTGCCAACTTGCACGACTATTATGCCGGAACGGAAGACCTCCTTCTTTCGTTCGCAACCGATGACGGGGCTGCTGAGTAGAACGTCACTGACGGTGATGGTGGCGATTGCCACCGTCGATGGAGCTACTGTAGCGTTGTACTTTCCCTAGATGCTTCTTAATTCTTTTCTACTCTGCGATTTAACCTCTTGCGCTGAAATGACGTGCCACGCACGTCGAGAATTTGTTGTCCAAAAATTGCAATGATTTCTCAATAGTTTTAAGTATATTTAAGTATAACCCAGACAAAACAAATAATAAATTTATTAATTCACAATAATTTCCATCTAGTGATATCACACCGACGAGTTCAAAAAGGAAGCGACGAATTATTGTATACGGTTTGGTCACTCGTTATGGTCCGTAATCAGTTGCCAGCGCAAGTGGTTAATATTACCGGACATATTTAATCTCGTTACACTAGGAAAACTGTAAATTTTTGGAGCCTGGAAACCTCTACACATGGTTCAAATCCTGCCTTATTTATTTGATAAACGTTGGGTAAATCTGTTGAATTTTAGACGGAAATGTCAGCGAAATCTCTGAGCGAAAACGACGATAATAAATTGATTCTTGCCGCGAGTGCAACGTGACTTTCAAAAATCGCGGATAACTCGCGCCTAGGGACTTTTGCGTTTGGTACGTTGAAAGATTCGACAGCGAAGCAGACGATAGATAGAGGCACTAGCACCAAAGGTTACGGTTGCGCTTGGTCAGCCCGTCGGCCGATACGACTTGTCAGTGCGTGTACGACAGTAGGGATGTTTGGTTCGTTGTCCGTGGAACGCGAAATTTGACTCTGGAATCTCGTATTTAGGGTACTATATCGGTGCGCGTTTCTTGAGACGATCGTGGCGATCGTTTCGAGTAGAGGTCATTGGCAGGTGTGAAGATGTCTAAGTAACAGAATTTGACTATTTTAACGGAGGTGGGAATGTTTCGAGAAAAACGCGGCACTCTGTAACCCGTTATTTTTCTTGTCGAAAGAAAAAACATACGAAAGTACCGGTTGGCTCTCCGATTTCCGGTGCGTTCGATGCGCTGAGATTACGAGGACGTGGGGGTATAGCGGTGTGTGCTTACTACCCCTTGTGCTTCCACGAGCGTTAACCAAGGCCACGTGGACCACGTTGGGTGCCTGGAAAAATGTAAGAGCAAGATTTTTTTTATGTTACCGTCGCTAGATCACTCTGATAATTACCTGATTATCTAGATTCTCGACAGTGTTTCATTTTTGTTGCGCGAACTGTTCAAATCAGACAACTGGAGGTAGGAAGAGAAAACGAAAAAGACGTCAAAAATGAATGAACGTGAAAGAGAAATACATGCACTTTTTGCTCCGTGTTATCAAATTCATACCATTCTGTATAAAACCGTTAAATTGAAAGGATCTGTGATTGTCAAAATATTCGCGTAATTTATATCAGATGTTGATTGGAAATTCCGAGTGACGCAGAATATTGCTCGGATCAGTCACTTTGTCGAGTTTCACGATTTTCAACGTGTGTTTTTTTACATCGTTGTTCTGACTATTACATACTTAATTATTACGAGAAAGTTTCTGTCTAAATGCGGAAGTACTAGGCGTTCTAGCGAGACGGTCTGTGAGAGAGTCTGCAAAAGCGAGAACGTTTAAACCTTTCGATATTGACGATCGCTAAAATCTTTGATAACGACAAAAGTAAAAGAGTGATAAGTAATTAAAAACAAAAAAAAAAATACAACGGTTATTGAACGAGATTGTCCAATTGTCATTTTCTTTGCAAGTTCTAAGAAAACGCACGTAATAATTTTGGCTTATATATTATTAAACATTTTTATTACAATCAAATAACAAAGTAGTAAGAGAAAATTTCAATCGACACATTCAGTCAGAATAAAGATAAAATTATATTGTAATATTTAATATTGTAAAATATTGTAATGTTAGCCTATTAGGGAGCAAAATTTGCGTTAACGTAATATTTCAATTGTTAATTTTCAAACAATTTGCATTATCGAATTCTGCTTTTAACATTGTACCTGTGAATGAGAATTGCAAGCATTCGCGTGACTTTTCCATTACTGTTTCTTCTATTTCGTAGATTTTGCAATTTTATGAAATGTAAAGATACTGAACCAGTGACAATATTAGATTAGAAGAGACAATATTATTAGATTAGAAGTAATCTCACATTTTTATAAACAGAACTGAAGAATCGGGACACGAGTAAAATTTCAACTGCGTAGACTCGTAAATTAGTACAAAATATCCAAATAGTATGATTGTTTCTTGGTTTGATAAGTATCTAAAAAGCATCCAAAATTTTTCTTGGTTTTTGATGGATTACGTTTCACGAAACTCGGTATATTTCTCGGACATTGTCGAATGGGTCGAAGGTTAGTGTTGGGAATCTGTTTCTTTTTTTTTTTTCTTTATTCCTTTCTTTTCAAAGTGACCGTCGGTTGTGGTGTCCGGCCATGAAACCGGTTGCGCTCGGTCCGACTATCGTTGAGTAGTCTCCTAGAACCGGGGCAAAAAAAAAAGCAAGTATCCGAGCGAGGTCATCTCTGGTTCGTTATCCAAAGGACCATTTTGCTCCCAAGCATCCAAGTACATGCTTGCTTGTTGAATTGCGTAAATTTCATCACAATGCGTTGAACGATTCGCGCTCGGGCGGATTGAGCACCGGCGCGTGCAACGTTCACTGGCGTTGAGAAAATAAAAAATGGGCCGCGACAGAATTAAAATAACTGCACTCGGCGTTCACCAGTTAAAAAAGAGAAGCGACTTTGTTAGAATTTGATTTGAGATTGGCAGGGTCGGTAAAGTGGATCGCGACGGCGTGGTATGCTAGGACGAGCTACATAGTTGAGATTCTAAATGTTTGTTCATTGTAGCACTGTACAGTCTAAATTTGTTTAAATTCTTAGTATACCACAACCACTAGTAGAAGTTAGTAGAATTTAAGTTAATTAGAATTCTATTATACAAAATGAGATGAAAATTAAGGATTAACAAAATTGCGTTGGAGAATCTATTTTTGAGAGAATTAAGTTTGCAAAATTATTATTATTATTATTATACGTATGAAAGTTAAATTGAAAATTAAATATAAAAATATCTTCTCTGGTCCTTTAAACAAAAAAATTATTTTACTTTGTTACTCTCGATTGATCTCTAGATTGAAAATAATTGCAAATGAAATTTTCTTTATTCTACGATGATCTTTTCTCTTTAATACACGTCGATTCGTAATACTTAGAATTTGAACCTAATCGACTAATAGCGAGCACATTATTAACATTTTACCTTGGGCATTTTACACGTATGCGTGTTTATCGTTTACACGTTACTTGTAACGCACATTACACGTGAATGCTTTTTGTTCTTATCGATCATTGCTAATGTTTTTTTTTTTGGTTATCATTACTCGCTTTTGGATGACTAAACAACGCAGTGACCATCGGAAAATTTTCGTTTTTCAAGCTCGTTGACGTAAATGCGAATTTCAATAAAACTCGTTTCAATATTTCTTATCAAACGTGTCAAGCCAATTTGTCTCTATTAACCTCTTGCATTAGTAACTGGTTCGCGGACCATAACGAGTGACTAAACCGTCATACAATAACTTGCTTTTTTTTTTTAATTCATCGGTATATTACCGTATAGAAATTACTAAGAAGTAATAAATTTATCATTTTCTTTGCCTGGGTTATATTTCAGTATACTTAAAATTGAGAAAATATTGCAATTTTGGGCCAAATATTCACAACGTGCGTGGTGAGAGGTTAACCAACTTGCGCTGGCAACTGATTGCGGACCATAACGAGTGACCAAACCGTGTACAATAACTCGTCTTCATTTTGAATCGATACGTATATCACTGGATAGAAATTACTAAGAAATAATAAATTTATTATTTGCTTTGCCCGGGTTGTATTTCAATATACTTAAAACTGAAGAAATGTTGCAATTTTAGGCTAAATATTCTCGACGTGCGTGTCACCTCATTCTAGCGCAAGAAGTTAAGTTTCTTCGTCTCATTCGTGTTTCTCAGTATATTATATACACACACCATTTAATGAATTAATTATCGCCCAATTCGACTGTTTTATCAGTCATCGATCAATTGAGCAGGAACGTAAATTTGATTTGTCTATTCAATGCATCTAGGCTTTCGATTCACGCTTTCAAAAGCCAATCTTATCGTCACAATATTTTATGACAGCTACAAGGAATAAAATCATAGAGCAATTACTTTTAACTCTGATGACTGGTGAAGATTAAGAAAAACTAGAACAACATACTTTACTTACAGTAATACAAAATAAAATAAAATACGTCGTTCCACGATTGAAATCGCAATTTCGAACTATTTATCGTCGTTGCTCGTCGTACGATAATAATAATTAGGAAATCGGTGCAATGTTGACGCGCACGGGAACCTGCCCGTTTACATAGGGGCGTGTGGTTATTCGCTTGACCCTATTCCATCGTTCCTCTACCCTTGATATTGTCCGTGTACATTAGAACACGGGATTTACGTCGGCTGTTATCGATCACCCAGTGGAATCCTTTCGTTGTTGGTTTGTACATGCACGATAAGCACGTTTGCTTCTCTCGCAACTACTACGTGTCTATTATGAGGAAAAACCTCTCACTGTGTCTCTTTCTCCCGTGATTATCTGACTGACGATCCTCGCGGTATCAGAAGCTGTCCGAGCCAATTCGAACGACAAAATCTCGTCAGAACCTTGGAACGTTCGAAACCTCGAGGACGCGGTCGAGGGCATCGTCGAAATAGCGAATTGATTATTTAACTTCACTGGCGTCTGACTAGGTTCACAGTTGCACTTTGCCTTCTAATTATTTCCTTCAAAATCAGACGGTTATTTTCGGTGTGGAGTTTTTCATTGATCGTGACACATAAGTAGGTCTTTGGATCACTTCCATTTGGACAACGTAATTTTTGCTGCATAGCTGCTGTCGCTGCATAGCCATCGTGAAGCTTTAAAGTAAATACAATTAACGTAATTCACCCGCTGGAACCGCCCGTTCTCGCTGAATGATATTTTTTATCTATTGAAATTTCCGCTCTCGCAGCTTGTCTGCTCGCGGCGGAGAACCTCCCAGTGAACGTTCAATTGCGCAAGAGGATTAGGCTCGGGTGTTGTTTCTGCGAATGTCGAGCTCTCGTTGACGTTATTGACATTGACAAACAAATTTACAGTCCGGCCGATTAAAATGTTGCTTTGTTTTAAAGAGATTGTTCGAAGTTTTATTTTATTTCATTTTGCATTACTACATGACCACGTCATTCTAGTTTCTTTTTTTTATTTTCGCCAGTCACCAGAGTTAAAAGAAAATTGCTCTGTGATTTTATTCCTTGTAATTGTTATATATACCGTGACGATAAGATTGGCTTTTGGAGGCGTGAATCGAAAGCAGATGCATTGAATACAAATCAAATTTACGTTCCTGCTCAATTGATCGACGATTGATAAAACAGTCGAATTGATCGATAATTAATTCATTAAATGGTGTGTGTATATAATATATCGAGAAATACGAATAGATAATAGACGAAGAAACTTAACCTCTTGTGCTGGAATGACGTGACGAGAATATTTAGCCTAAAATTGCAACATTTCCTCAATTTTAAGTATATTGAAATACAACCCAGACAAAACAAATAATAAATTTATTACTTCTTAGTAATTTCTATCCAGTGATATACCTCTGAATTCAAAAAGAAGACGAGTTATTTATATTGTATGACGGTTTGGTCACTCGTTATGGTCCGCAATCAGTTACCAGCGCAAGTGGTTAACCTCTCACCACGCATGTTGTGAATATTTGGCCCAAAATTGCAATATTTTCTCAGTTTTCAGTATATTGAAATACAACCCAGGCGAAGCAAATAATAAATTTATTACTTCTTAGTAATTTCTATCCAGTGGTATATCGATTAATTTAAAAAGAAGACGAGTTATTGTATGACGATTTGGTCACTCGTTATGATCCGCGAACCAGTTACTAGCGCAAGAGGTCGAAAAGTGTGGGGTTTTATTTAAAAATTATGTGATATTTGCGAAACGTTTCAAGATTATCTCAAGATCAAAAGAATGAGAGCATAATATTTAATTCTTCATACGTTTGTCTAAAACAGTTTTGTCATTCATCTTTTTTCGTGTCATTCACATTTCTCGAGATATTTAGATGTTACCAGTTAACGGTCGTACGTGTGTACATCTGTTTCTTAAAATTAAGGCTATTCTAAAAGGAAAAGAATTAAGAACCATGCGCTACAGAATTTCAACAATGTATGCGGTCGATTATTAAAATGAATGAAACAGTAATCAAACGAAAAGGAGAATTAAAAAAATTCGCCCCGAAGAGGTTAACACAAGCACACCGCCGTAGAGCAATAAATTCTCAAGCATCAGCGTTGAAGGTGAATATTAATGAGGGCCACCGTATTTTAACTCAAAGAACCGAGAGATTCTTTCGGAGTGTTCGCTCTCTTCAATCTCGAACGACGTTGATGTTCGAGGGCACAATAACGTTATAAAGCCAATCTTCTCAACAATGCTATTGGATTATTCGGCATAAGGTGATTAGAGTTTCGCAACATTTGGTAAAATTTCCAGAAGCACTGTCGAGAACGTTAATCGATCGGTTTTGCCCAGTTATTTGCTCGCAAAACTTTTCCCCACCATTCTCTCTCTCTCTCTCTCTCTCTCTCTCTCTCTCTCTCTCTTTCTGTGCAATCTTATTAATAGCATATCTATGTCGAGTAAGTGCAAGTGCACTCAGGATCGCAAGAGAAAGAGAGAGAGAGAGAGAGAGAGAGAGAGAGAGAGAGAGAGAGAGAGAGAGAGAGAGAGAGAGAGAGGTGGAGGAGAAATGCGTTATGTTACTTCCTGCGTGCCATTCGACGCGGGGGTCATTTTCCTCAGCGAGCGTTCCTTTTAGAAAGTTCATGACCAAAGATCGTTCTCCTGGACAAATACAGACAATCAATAATAAACTATAACACACGAACTTTTATCTTATATCGTACAATTATCAATGCTGACAATGTACGTACATATTTTGTTAATCTTCTCGCAAACTGAATCAAACTGGAATACTATCCAACATTTTGGTAATCACCAAAGCGGTCGAAGTGATCACGTTTATAATTTTTCTCTGGGAATTTCATACATATTTATAAACTCAACAGTGTATTTTCAGAGTTTTGATTTTTAACATATATTAATAGAAGCTTGTGTGTGCTTTATCGTGTTATTAACTTTCTCTCGTACCTTGGCAACTCCTTCGCTACGAATATGTTCTATCGTACTTTAGTCGTTGATAATTCTAGTATCATGGCTATTTTCATCATATGGTATAGCTTGGTATTTATATGGTATAACCCTGTATAATATGGTTTAATAATGTTATAGTATGGTATAGTATGTTATAATATGGTATTATATGGTATAGTATGTTATAATATGGAATTATATGGTATAGTATGTTATAATATGGTATTATATGGTGTAGTATGTTATAATATGGTATAATATGGTATTATATGGTATAATATGATATAGTACGGTTTAATATGTTATAACGTGATGTAATGGTATAAGACAGTATACCACTGCATAATATGTTATAGTATTATACAAAATGTTATGATATGGCATAATATGGCACGATATGGTAGAATATGATATATAATAGTATACAATAGGTGTGATATGTTAAACGTGTACACCTTTTGGTCCAAGACTGAACGAGCGAAGAATTAGCTGAAAAATGACATTCGTCATTGGAACACTTGAATCGACAAACGATGAGAAAGAAAATTTTTTCGATCGATTCTGGTTTGGTTTAGATGTGCCAGCATGTCCGAGGTCAGTGCGGCAGAAGCAGCGAGCCAGGAGATCGACAGACAGACGTCGGTTTACGTGTTCTCAGGAACCGGCCGTCAGCATTATCCCGGTTCGGCGTCAACGACTCCTGTCCCCGTCGTCGATACCGCGACTCCAGTTTCAACGAGCAACGCTACCTCGTCGACCGCGAGCGCGTTCGCGAAGGGGAAGCTCGAGAAGGAGAACGTCGACGAGGAAATAGCGGCACGGGGCGGCAGACGAAGGCCATCGTCCACGAGGACCCATGCCAGATCGGCCAGCCACGGTGGAGTGTTGGTGGAATGCCTGACGAACACCGGTGGTTACCAGCCGCACGCGGGTTCCTATCTGGGGCCTCTGTCGGCGATCGGTGGTTCGAGGCCATCGGCCTTGAAGAAGCCTGGCCACCAGAGAGCGTTCAGCCAGGGTCAGGTGATGGACGTTCAGGGACACTCGGTCATGGGGCACAGCCGCGTCGGCTCCAGAACCGATTTCATTCTTCCGCCTGGCCACAGGGAGGACTCGAGGCCACCCACTGCTGGAAAAGTGCCCTCCTTCCGAGGCCACTCGCGGCAAGCGTCCAGGTAATCCAAAATTTCGTTACACTCTGTATGACGTGCCTCTGTAGGTGATTGTGAAACTGGCCGGTAGTCATAATATTTCTATATCTCGTTTCCAGACGAATAAATTGAGAAATATTTTTATAAAGTTTCTTTGGAAATATCGTTGGCCTTGTGAGACGAGAATTTATCGTCACTGTGAAATTTTTTGTGTGTAGCCTGTGATGGAAATGATGACGACTTGAAGCTTGAAATGGAAACTCGGACCATTCTCAAAATTAAAACTGACATACAATGAAAAAAAAAAAACAACGAATTTTGTTGAAAAAAAAAAAAATGCAAGTCAAATCTATTAATTTGCATTTTGCAATTGTGTTTCTAAGTAATTAATTTTTATCATTTCTGATTTTTCCTCTCATCCTTCGGAAATTTGGCGGTTCAATTTTTACAGCTTCTTAGAAATTACGTCGGATTATTTTATTATGATGAACTCATTTTTTTTTTTCAAATTCTTGACTTGAACCACTTTCGTAATTATGTATCTATAGCACATATATATGTATATAGGCTATTGTCATACTTATACTGTCTCTTTACGTTTAATACGCTAATCTGTCGACTTCCTTTCTTTTCTCGTAGATCAGAGTCGATATACACGATAAGACGTAGCGTCGAACCTCCATGGTGGAGAAGGCTCTGGGCACGATGCTTCGGTCCGTTGCCAGAGGAACCTCGTTTAAGGACGATAGTACCGAATCACCTAGTGCCGCCAAAAACGCCGCCGAGTCAGCATCCTAACGGCAAGAAAGTGAGCAATAGGTAAATTCCTTGTTGCAACCGATCCTTGTTCCGTACATTGTCATCATCAGTAATCAGTAATGGAAGATGGCGTTCCATTTTAATTACCATTCAAGCAGTAATGTCTATATTTACTATTAACCGATAGTCCTTTAACTTCTTGCGTTGGAATGACTTGTCACGCACGTCGAGAATTTTTTCTTCCAAAATTGCAACATTCTCAGTTTTAACTAGTATTGAAATATAACCCAGGCAAAACAAATAATAAATTTATTACTTCTTAATCGTAATTTCTGTCCAGTGGTATACCGACAAATTCAAAAAGAAGACGAGTTATTGTATGACGGTTTGGTCACTCGTTATGGTCCGCAATCAGCTGCCAGCGCAAGAGGTTAACCCTTTGCACTCCAAACTATTTTTCAATTTTTTTTTTTTTTTTTGGCAGTTTAAAAATATCGCGTATGACTCAAAGCTTCGAAATTCCTCTCTTTTTTTCTAGACAGTTTTGCAATTAGATATAGCGTTGCAAAAGTGTTAGAAACTAGAAACAAAATCGACATTCCTTTCGAAGTCTTCTCAATTTCCGGTTTCAAATGTGCGTTTCAGAGTACGTACAACAAAGTATACGATGCTGACCTTCCTACCTCGCAATTTCCTCGAGCAGTTCCACCGCGTGGCCAATATATATTTTGTATTTATCGTTCTACTTAATTGGGTGCCAGCCATAAACGCCTTTGGCAAGGAAGTCTCCGTGATACCCATAATATTTGTCCTTGGTGTGACAGCGTTGAAAGATTATTTCGAGGATCATCGGAGATTCGTCAGTGATCGACGTGTAAACAATTCCACCTGTCGTGTTTACGTCCGGTAAGTAAGAAATTCTGTAATTCTAGTTTCTTTTGTCAAAAGTTTCCACTTTCTAGTTTACGTCTACGTTACACTTTTACATCACAGTAGACTTGTATTCTACTATGGTAGAAAATATTAGTTTTTTTACTAATTATTATACTACAGTAGAAAATACTAGTTTTTTTACTAGTTGTTATACTTAATTTTATATCGCAAAGTATATAAGTTTGATTATTTTGCGTAAAGAGTGAAGAGTTGTATAACTTCAAAATACTGAAACCCATGATAATATATGATGACATTTCCATTCTGTACAAAATATCTCAACTTTTTTCTTTTGGAAAAAAAAGTCCCAAAGAGTACCTAAAATGTGGCACTGTGGATTAGAGCGTCGCTTTTAATTTCATTGCAAAACGTAGTACTGAAGTAGTAGCTGAGACGGAATAGCAAATAAGAATACGGTTTGTCGTAACGGAACACGAAGAATGTTTAGCGAGCAAGTCCGTGAAGGCTTCTCTGAGTGACTAGCCTTAGAACATTGGCGCCACTACGGATTACAACGTTAGCCGCCTGCATCAGTAGACGATCTAAGCAGTCTCGTAATTTATTAATACAGTAATCCCCACGTAACTAACCAAAACGAAAGTCAGTTAAGCGAGGAGGTATATTCTAGGATTGGCATCGAAAGAAAGAGTGGGAATAAGCGTCAACTTTTTTACCAATACAGGCACTAATATCGGTATCATATACATCGCTTGTTTTGTGTGGCGAGTGTTATACAGGGTAGTCACTGAAAGACATAAAATTGTTATGTCACTGCATGACATAAAACAAAAATAATTTCTACAAACACATGTTTTTTTAATTTTTTATTATTAAAAAAAAAAAATGAAATAAAATACTACAAAGAAAGGAAATAAAAAAGATTGAAAATGAACAAGTTATGACTTTTTCAAACTCTTCAGCTTTTCAGTGGCCACTCTATATTTCACGCGGTCACACCTCTAAAGTATCGTAGAGTGGGGATAGGCCCAATTCCAAGAATTGGTGGGGGTAAACGCTGGTTCCGTAGTCCAAAGTCAGTCACGTGGGGACCACTGTATCTCACGAAACTACGAAAATGGCCGAATGGTATAATAGATCTGTGGTTAGGTTTGTTACGTGCTCGTTGCTCGATTGTAATCTAAGCAACGAAAAATTAAAAAGTTCGTGAAATCGCAGAACTTGGAACGGGGGTTGAAGCGTGACTTCTGACTTCTCGTGCTCTTTGCTTTGCTCTTTGCTTTTAATTCGGATAATGGGGTTCACGGCCTTGGCCACAAGCCTCGGAGAAGTTAAAATTAAAATTCACGATAGAATACGGGATTCGATATATGGTCGCAGAGAAGTGAGGGGTTCTCGAAATGTTTTTGAAAAGACATTGTTGTTCTTGCACGCGAGTGTCTGTACGAGTATATACCGGTTTGTGCTCGAACGTAGAGAAGAAAGTGTTCTCTCCTCGTGTCCCTGTCGCGGAAGAGAATTATCGTGTGTCCCTGTTCGTGTTTGGAACTTTAATTTTCGCCGGTGCTCGTTTCCCCTTCGAAAAACGTTCGAAACGTCGGAAAGTTGCTCGCGAGGACTCGAACACGGCAACAAAGAAAAAGAGAAAGAAGAAAAAACAAACATGCAATTCTTTTCGCGGTCGTGACAGTTGCGTTTCGTTTCTTTCCTTGTTTGGTCGTCGTTACTCCGACGTTGTGTAAATGCAATCTTATCGCTATAGGAAGCCTTGTTTATTCACCGTTTTCTCAGCCTTCGTACTAAGAATTTCAAGGTATTTTTGTAGTTGCGTGTACACACATACATACACATATGTACCAGAAGCTCTCGAAGCGATATTTCATTGTAACAAACAAAAAAATCTCCCGAAATAGAATTTTTCTCGATCAATCTGTGTTCTCCGCGTGCTTAACCTCTTACACTGGTAACTGGTTCGCGGACCATAACGAGTGACCGAACCGTATATAATAATTCGTCGCTTTCTTCTTCTTTTGAACTCGTCGGTATGATAACACCGGGTAGAAATTATCAAGAGGTAATAAACTTATCATTTGTTTTGCCTGGATTACATTTAAATATACTTAAAACTGGGAAAACGTTGCAATTTGGAAAAAGAAATTCTTGACGTGCGTGGCACGTTATTCCAACCCAAGAGGTTAAGATGATCATCTCACAATCAGCTGATTTCAGGAAGTAGCAGACGAAAGGAATAAGATAGCTTAGCAGATTTTTAGTAATGGCAATTGTTACGATTTATTCGTTTGTTTCATGCACGGAATTTTATTCTGTAAATTTTATATTACTATTTTGTATTTCTTCGTACTTTGTAAATTTTATATTACGTATTTATTTATCTCGTACAGTGATTTACGAAAGCATTTGAACGTAATGTATAGGTACACGTTACTCATGAATTTGCATTGAAAATGAAATTTCTTCAAAGTCAATTGATATTTATATAACGTGCGAAGGAGTATCCCATTTTATTCCAACTTTTAATCTTTTATTTTTTGCTCTGATTTGATTTAATCTATCAGAGCAGCGATTCTCAACCTTTTTTTCTCTTACTCTTCTCACCCGGCTCAAAAAAGTTTGATTAATTTTTTTTCCATTTTCTTACGTTAGCTCATATTAAAATTGTCAAACCTAATGTCATTTCAAAACCCTGTAACTTTGTTTCTGTGTTTTTATTTTAACTCCTTTCTTTTGGGCGTTTTCCGCCATTATCAATCTTATTTTAATCCCAACACCATTGTATTAGAGAAACCTTAAATCATCTTCAAATTACTAGAACTGACTCTTTTAAAAATACTTCAATTTTAACGGCCGTTTCAACCGTCGAGTCGTCATTTCGCGACGATATCGAACAGTGATTCGAGTAGAAAGCGCCAAGTCCGTAAACGTTTGTGCACCATCTGTGACGGGACCGAGTGACAGTAGGAAGTAACTAGGCGCATGTATCGGCTGGCAAAGCCGGAGAACGTAGAGAGAGCATATATCATCTATAATGTAGCTCAATTTCGCGAGACTCGTCACGATCGATGGCCAAGCACGCAGAGCGGAGGCGACTTGTAAAATAATACGACCCACCGACCTTGCCCTTCGTCGTGCCACTCACTTCTTTGCAATTTGCCCGATGAAACGTATGACTTTCTTTCTCCCCAAGGAAACTGCTGGCTAAACGAGCCGATTGCTGATTTATTAACGCGCTTTGCTCGCTGACAGTTGATCGTAACCTTCGATCGAAATCAATTCAATATCTAGTCCAAAGCCAGCGAAACCTTTTTTTTTTTTTTCTTTTCTTTCAATCGTCCCAGATATTACACCGCAATTCTCCCCGTATCATACAGCTACTGAATTAATAATCGTCCACGACTGATCCGTTGGCCACGATAACGCTCGATGATACGATAACTCGAATCAATTCGCGACAAACGACACCCCCGTTACCATTTTTTATCATCTTCGTTGTCATTCTTCTTCACTTGCGTTCTCACGCTTTGTTAAAAAGAAAAAAACACTAGTTTTGCTAATTTGGAAATTTCGGTAACTTTCGAGATATTTGATAAAGTATGGTTTATGAAAACTAAATTTCCCAACTTTGAGGGTAGTTTTCGCCCCCTATCGACGATTCTCAAAAATAAAAAAGAAAGGATACAAGTGAAAAAAAATTAAGGGCTACCCATAATTAGTAATCTAATTTATTATAACATAACCTATATTCTAGTTAAATATAGTGACATTTAGTCATATTATGTTTATGATTAAATTATGTTACAGATTAAAACTGTCTTAACTTTTGAATAAAATAAAATTCAGTACAGTATGTAAAAAAACTTGTATTACTCATGGGCACTACTAATATTTTTTCTGAAAAGTCAGAAAGTTTGTATTATTTAAAATATTGACGATGATCGTTGGCTCTCAAAAATCACGACGATTTCTTTATTCACGGTTTATTTGCCTCGTGTATTCGATTAATTTGTCCCAACGATTTTCTGTCGTTTCAAAGTTATGGCTCGACCTACATACATTGTTGTGCGAAACGTTTAACGTGCAGATCTGCGCGATAAAATTCGGTCACGTAAACACGACGTTTCATCGCCGCCCACGATTGTGTAGTTACTCGGTAGATTATGAAGCGAATCGCGACAGGTGTCTCCCGTGTTTCATTGATTTCGCCCACGAGACACATTAGTGAATATTCATCGGCTCGCATCGATCGTCTGTTTTTGTTTCTTACGGCAGAAACCGGTAAAAGGATTACGTCAGCTGAAACAAGGATTGGGGGGGGGGGGGGGGAAGGTTGAGCTTGGATAGAGAGAAATATGTCAGAGAGAATATCTAAAGTAGTCACCACTTAACCTCTTGCGTTGGAATGACGTGCCACGCACATCGAGAATATTTGGTCCAAAATTGCAATATTTTCTCAGCTTTCAGTATAACTCAGGCAAAGAAAATGATAAATTTATTACTTCTTAGTAATTTCTATCCAGTGAGATATACCGATGAGTTCAAAAAGAAGACGAGTTATTGTATGACGGTTTGGTCACTCGTTATGGTCCGCAATCAGTTGCCAGCGCAAGTGGTTAACCTCTTACCACGCACGTTGTGAATATTTGGCCCAAAATTGCAAAATTTTCTCAATTTTCAGTATATTGAAATATAACCCAGGCAAAGCAAGTAATAAATTTATTACTTCTTAGTAATTTCTATCCAGTGATATACGGATTAATTCAAAAAGAAGAGTTATTGTGTGACGGTTATGGTCTGTGAACCAGTTACTAGCAAGAGGTTAAGCGTCCGCACGTTTCCCATTTAGGTATTCGCTATCCCCACCAATTCTTAGAATTGGAACTATTCCCCCCCATTCTACTTTACCATGAGGTTGCGTGAAACAAACGATATATCGATACCGATATTTCAGCACATTACAATTGTTTCGGATCGAAGTTAAATAGGCAAATTTTATCTTA